GTAAAACAAGTCTGTTCATTCATTCGTTCATGAATAATTAAAATCGCGTTTACATTGTTGTTATTAAAATAATATATTTGGATAAATTATGCGAAATTTGTATATACATGCACTTTAGTCCTATTATTTGTTGTCCTATGACATATTAAATGCTAAATAAAAATCACAAATAAGTTTTAGGGACAATTTTGTATATTGGATATTCAACTTCAACTAATACATTTATTTGTTTACCGGTCAGTAAAAGACCACTTTGTGTATGACAGTTGACAGATGATGTGTCTGGCAACTTCTTGTTTTTGTTTTGTTTTAGCTTTATTACTAGAAAAATCTGGCATAAATGACTGTCAATTCTGTTCCCTATAAGCAAGTTTAAAGTCTCATTATCGATACAAAAAAAGTTGAAAGAAAACTAAACTATTTCAATATACTGAATCTTAAGAATAAACGAAAAAATTCATTCTTCATTAGCTTTATTACTAGAAAAATCTGGCATAAATGACTGTCAATTCTGTCCCCTATAAACAAGTTTAAAGTCTCATTATCGATACAAAAAAAGTTGAAAGAAAACTAAACTATTTCAATATACTGAATCTTAAGAATAAACGTAAATTTCATTCTTCATTAGCTTTATTACTAGAAAAATCTGGCATAAATGACTGTCAATTCTGTCCCCTATAAACAAGTTTAAAGTCTCATTATCGATACAAAAAAAGTTGAAAGAAAACTAAACTATTTCAATATACTGAATCTTAAGAATAAACGTAAAATTCATTCTTCATTAGCTTTATTACTAGAAAAATCTGGCATAAATGACTCAATTCTGTCCCCTATAAGCAAGTTTAAAGTCTCATTATCGATACAAAAAAAGTTGAAAGAAAACTAAACTATTTCAATATACTGAATCTTAAGAATAAACGTAAAATTCATTCTTCATTAGCTTTATTACTAGAAAAATCTGGCATAAACAACTGTCAATGCTGTCCTCTATAAGCAAGTTTAAAGTCTCATTATCGATACAAAAAAAAAGTTGAAAGAAAACTAAACTATTTCAATATACTGAATCTTAAGAATAAACGTAAAATTCATTCTTCATTAGCTTTATTACTACAAAAATCTGGCATAAATGACTGTCAATTCTGTCCCCTATAAGCAAGTTTAAAGTCTCATTATCGATACAAAAAAAAAGTTGAAAGAAAACTAAACTATTTCAATATACTGAATCTTAAGAATAAACGAAAAAATTCATTCTTCATTAGCTTTATTACTAGAAAAATCTGGCATAAATGACTGTCAATTCTGTCCCCCTATAAGCAAGTTTAAAATCTCATTATCGATACAAAAAAAGTTGAAAGAAAACTAAACTATTTCAATATACTGAATCTTAAGAATAAACGTAAAACGCATCAGGTGCCCGGAATATACCGCATTGGTAATAACGCTAGTAAATTTATACCGAAAAATTCCGGCGGGCCACTAACAGGTTTTCCAGAACGGTCGTGTCGTCGTTTTTGATTTATATTAAAAGTGTGGCTAGGAGATAAAACATTTTTAACGCCACATCCTCAGTTGTTTGTATTCAGAAAATAAATTTATTGTTAGAGAAAATGCGAAAACGGTTTGCATTCCATTTTTTGGGCTCGGCCGAGCATCGGGCGGCGTCACATACAGTAGTGTGTGTGAATGAAATATTTATTCGAATATACATTTTTTTTTATTTCCCGCAATTTCTCGTCGCACTTCCTGCACTTGTTAGTTTTCGGTTTGCTTTTCGAGTAAGTATTCGAAATTTCCTGCAAGTTTTTTTTTGTTAATGGAGGAAAAGGATATGTAAATTTTCGGGATTCTCGTTTGATTCCCCCTGTTCTCCACACGCCGTCGAACAACAATCAATCGAGGTAAAAAATTGCTCAACGACGGAGTATCTCCCCCCAAGGAAAACCGAATTAAGGCAGTCTATGTATGCGAGTGACTCCCATTCAATCTAACAACTTAATTCGACTGCACAGCGCGGATATTCCGTCACAAGGCTCTTTATGGTCCCCGGGGTATACAATCTAAATGCATTAGTAACGTGAAACCATCTGGGTGAATAATTAATGTGGCACCCTCTAATCATAACAGGTAAAAAGTCTCCGTGTAGTATGTACATAACTTTCTTTTTTCAGGTGTTGTGTCACAGCAGGAGTTATTCACTTGTAAATACGTAATAAACGTTGCGAATATTCATATATGTGGCAAAGCAAACACTAACAAGTTTTGCATGAAATATTAAACTCCTGGAATTTATTATAAATAAATTATTGCTCGGTGATATATGTAAATACTGCATTAAGAATACAAATTGGTGTAATACCAACCTGTGCTGTAAATTGACTCGTTTTTTTGCAAATTTACCATCAAAAAGCTGCGACAAATATTTCAATTTATTTGTATTTATGCAGTTTCGCGTATTCCCTGCGATTTTTCACGTGAAATATTAATTTTGGGAATAAAATATCAGTCAATTGTATTTAATAAACTATAGTTGAAATTTATATCAAACGACATCATTAACAAGTTCCAAATTTGATCCCAATTATTATAAAACGTAAATAATAATTTATTAGTTCAAATTAGTCTTCCAATGGAACAAAATTGCTAAAGCAACGAACAATTTATTCAACTTGTTCGTGTGAGAATAACACCTTAAATTCGCTCCAACGTAGCCCTTTCGAAGAAACGTAAAAATTACTGTAACTATAAAAAAAATTAACTGAAAAAGTTTTTTGCGCAACTGCTTATTTCGAAAATTGGAGCAGAAGTAAAACTGAGTAGTGTAATGGAAGCGCTTTATTTCGCTTTCGTCCTTTATTCCTTCTTAACGATTAGGGTTTGTGCAATCTGACTCATACGAATTGTATTTATAAATCCATTACTACTTATTTTTAGAATCTAGAACGAACTGGAGTAAATTACAGTTACCATACCATAATCGTTTTATTGATTTTTCAGTGAAAATTGCGTATGTGTCGAATTTAGCCCTTTTTTTTATTTGAGCATGATTTTTTTAAACGCCTCGGATGCTTATCAAATTACCTTTAGAACATCGGGTCCCATAATTAATGTAAGATATTCTCTCGTCCCTTTGGATAAGGGTACAAAAATTCCGCAACAAATAAAAGCTATTAGGGTTATGAAAACGACGATGGGGTGACATAAAAGAGGTATTTTTATTAGATTTTATTTTCGCTATATTACAATAACGCACGAGGGATGAAATTTTTGACTTATTTTGAAGAATAAGAATAAAATAATGCATCTAGTGTAATCGATTTTCAATGGGGAACCACCAAAGGATGAGAGTAACAAGAGAAGTGTGCAATTAAAGATTCTTCCTTTCAATCAATAAGAGGTATTTTTATTAGATTTTATTTTCGCTATATTCCAATAACGCACGAGGGATGAAATTTTTGACTTATTTTGAAGAATAAGAATAAAATAATGCATCTAGTGTAATCGATTTTCAACGGGGAACCACTAAAGGATGAGAGTAACAAGAGAAGTGTGCAATTAAAGATTCTTCCTTTCAATCAATAAGAGGTATTTTTATTAGATTTTATTTTCGCTATATTACAATAACGCACGAGGGATGAAATTTTTGACTTATTTTGAAGAATGAGAATAAAATAATGCATCTAGTGTAATCGATTTTCAATGGGGAACCACCAAAGGATGAGAGTAACAAGAAAAGTGTGAAATTAAAGATTCTTCCTTTCAATCAATAAGAGGTATTTTTATTAGATTTTATTTTCGCTATATTACAATAACGCACGAGGGATGAAATTTTTGACTTACTTTGAAGAATAAGAATAAAATAATGCATCTAGTGTAATCGATTTTCAACGGGGAACCACCAAAGGATGAGAGTAACAAGAGAAGTGTGCAATTAAAGATTCTTCCTTTCAATCAATAAGAGGTATTTTTATTAGATTTTATTTTCGCTATATTACAATAACGCACGAGGGATGAAATTTTTGACTTATTTTGAAGAATAAGAATAAAATAATGCATCTAGTGTAATCGATTTTCAACGGGGAACCACCAAAGGATGAGAGTAACAAGAGAAGTGTGCAATTAAAGATTCTTCCTTTCAATCAATTTCAATAGATTCTCCTCCATGAAGGGTGAAAAGAATCGTTCGCTTCACGAATTATATTTTGAATTTCCTCCACCTGCCGACGATTCCTAAAGACCGACTCCACAGCGGACGTGTTGCGAAATTAGGTTATCCTTACGTGTTGCGTGGGGATTGAAACCGCATTCTGAACGAGAGAACAAAAAAAACAACCGACCGATAATCATATTAAGCCGGAATTCTCGACGAAAAGAACCGCTGGAAAACAATATTGTAGCGGGAATTGCCGGGAGTTCGCCGGAATTGCCGTTAATTTGTAATACGTTCGTCGAAAGAAAGAGTTGCTTTTATTTCTTCCGTTATTATCGACGAGGTTCTCAGCTGGAATGATGCCGGTTTTGTCGGTGAAATTAGAAACAATTCCTGATAGTTGAGTGTGTTGTTTTCATAATTTTAACGACCTTTCGTGGACTTAGTGGAGGTGAAAACTTCGAATCAAATCCATCGACAACAGGAAGAATATATTTTACTAGGAAAACTACTATTAAAATTTTCTTATACTCTGAGCACGGTTCTGTGTAGGTGCTCTAAAATCCCAAAAACCTGTATGCAGGATGTACTAGCAACTGCTCTCGTGCCGTTCTCTCTTCCTTTTCGTGTTTACATTCTTTAGGTATTTGCATTGTCGTATTGAAAATATTCTGTTTTACAACTTACGAAAACTACTTAAAAGCGAATGCAAATATAAATTTCGCTTACGAACTCTCGTTTGTTGCCGAATTAAGGAGCTTGTTAGACGAACTCGTGTAGAAATTCGATAGAATAGAATGAAATAAAGGGCTCGTTTTACATATGTAAGTTAATTTAGTAATTTATTTTGCAGTTTTCCATGACGTTATGGGTAATTCGATGTCAATCTGGAAAGGATACCATTAAACTATTTCGTGGTGAGTATGCAAGTTTTTTACGAGTGAATTTTACGCTTTTCTAACATAAAATATCGCGAATATGAATATTCGACCATTTGATAGATCTATAAAGCTCTGAATTGGAAGAACTAGAATGAATCGGGAATAATCGGGAGCTTTGAAACAAAACTTTGGTGTATCGCGCCAATTACATAGGCACTCGTGGAAGTTTCTAATGAAATCGCTTACTGACTTATCATTGCGAGGTAAGTAATTGACGTTTCGAAGCCGAAACGTCATTAAAGTTGCAGGGAAACACTCGAATAACGGGGATTTACCCTGTTCCGACGAAACGAAACGTTAAAATAATTACTGCGGCGTAATTACTGGCTATAAAAAAACGCGCTCGGATTCCATTAAATCAATCACGAAGCCGAATGTTTATGCATCAATATACTTAGCTAATAATTTACTTACTTTATTTACTCTGTTTTTTTAGTTTATTTATAATTATAATTAGTGAGTTATATTCTTTGAATTACCCTCGTAATATGTAACTAAATCGCAAGCTCCAGGAACAAGGAAGTGTCGTGGTGTCCAGAGCAGATATTTTTCTAAGAGTGTGTGGAAAGTGGATATCTTTTCACACTCACGGGTCATCTGAACTTTCAGTATTCAGCACTATACTGTTGAAAATACTCTCAAGCATTCGAGTTATTCGAAGGAAATTTGTTGGGAGATTCTAATGGCATTTCCGATTTACTATAATTTTTGTGGAGTTTTTACGATTTTGTATTTTTTTACAAAGCACTTTAGTTCAAAAAGCATATAAAATATTTAGCGGAACTAATTCGGAGCTGAAATTTAATAATATTATCCTCATGTTTACAAAATTTATCCAGATAAATTAATTAACATGGTAATACCTTTTAAAGTCCCTATATAACAAAATCATATTGAAATTATAGCGTTTCATTAAAATTGTATTAACTACATATTGTTCAATGAAATATTAAATTTTACAACGGTAATTTAATTAAAGAAATATCAAAAACGCGTATTTGCTATAAAAATCGCCAACAAGTTATTCAATTAACGAGAGTTTATATCATTAAACTAAAAGCCTCATTATATCGTCTTTTGTACGAAATAGTACGAGTATTTTAAACTCCTTTAATAAATTCCTTTTTGTTCGACTTCAATAAATAGGACAATTTTTACGGCAACTTTCGAAACTCCGCGTTTAATGTCGAACTACTTTAAAATGATTTTATTCGAAATGCGGCTTCGGCTGAGTTTAAAACTTGCTCAATAGGCTTTAATTTACTTACTACCCCGTTCTTGTACTACATTAGTTAACTAACTTATATATCCGCAAACTTCAAAAAACATCCTTGTTTGCCCGATGAATCGATGCTACAGCATTCGTTTAGGTCCTTTGTAAAAGTCTCAAACTTTAATTAGTAGATATTAAATTAACACAATTTAGACACATATTTTCACCTCTTTATAATGCTGTATAGAATAAAGTGTCAAAAGTGTCATTAATGTCAAAATTCGTGTGACAGTAGTTTAATAGAGGTGGGAATCGACTTTATGGTATAGAGGTGCAGTAACGACTGTTACAAAATAACCGTTATTTTTCACAATTCTTCTCGAAATTAATTGTTATTTGGGAATTTCGGTGCACAGGTATAAGTACTATTTTGTGGGTGCAGTTGTTGATGCTTTTCGACCGTAAGTATTCTTGCGGAATGGCATGCAAGGGGTTTAAATGGCACGATCCGGTAACGAGAACTGGAATAGACCAGAAAAAACGCAACATTTTATATCCCAAACGGCGGAATTAAAAAAACACCTAATGCACCTTTAGTTTCGCCCTAAAGTACGATCAGGAAGTAAAAACAATATAATGCACTTTTCTCCAAGTAATTCATGCCCCGTCAACAATGGAAACCGAGAAGAAAAAAGAACGGAATTCGCATTCGTTGGAAGTTATCACTGCGGAGGTGAAGCAGTTTTTCGCTTAAACGAGAACTAAAACGGGAAATTACGTTTCGCTTATAAATAGTAACGCGATGATCGAATAAGAGACACAATTACAAACCATTTGCGAATACCATCCGAAAGTGCCCTCGTCTGGAAATATTATGACGTCGATGTTTTCGAGTTCCAATTAGCTTCGATAAGACTCCTCGAATTTGCAACAGCACAAGCATTTTCGCCCAAAGGAGCTCTTAATTTAAAAGTAAAATACATTTTTTGCACCATGATTTTACAGCGAGCAAAAAATAAAATACCTGGAAGAAAAGAGCGAAATAAAAATTAAGTTATGATGATTATATTCCACTCATCATCCGGTGTTGGCTCGGTTAATGAGCTTTTTAGTTCAACCAGAGGTTATTCGAGTCAAGCTCGACTTTAAACTAAAGACTGCAAAAATAGTAGTTCAGAAGGGAGTATAATTAAAATTCGAAATGATATATTCCTCCCACCAGCACTTCAAAGGGAAACTTGCTAGATTGGATATCGCACAATCTTTGAATAAATCTTGCGCAAAAAAATAAAAGAAACTCCAAGTTAAATTACTTAATTAATTGGGTATGAGTGGAAACTATGAGTGGAACAAAGAAAGATTAATAAAATGACAGCTGTCAGAGTGAAAAGTTGCAATGATATAAATGTCACTCTTTTTCTTTTATAAGTGTCTAATGGAAGTCTTTATCGCACCTATAGACAGTCTATATACCGTGCTCCATTTCCGATTGCAATATGGTCATTTCTATGAGTAGAACAAAGAAAGGTTATTAAAATGACAGCTGTCAGAGTGAAAAGTTGTAATGACACAATGTCACTCTTTCTTTTTCCTTTGTAAGTGTCTAATGGAAGTTGTCTTTATCGCACCCATGGCCTATATAACCTACATTGCAATCAAAAATAGAGCAACCTGTATATAAAAAACGGTTTTATTTAACGTTTTAACACAACTCGCACGGTATATAAGTATTGATTCCGATCAAATTTGTTTAGCTCTTCGGTTGTTTAACTTTTCATTACCCTCCACCAGGAAACTCGCAACGAATTTCCAGCGGATCGGAAAATAAGCGAAACTCGTCCGTTAATAGTTCTTTCAACTTTAAATGCACTTAATTACTGTCTCCGGCGTCGCGAAAAATCCCGACGACATCGAAAAATAGAAATTCCCTGCGAAAAGGGGAGCAAATAAAACCCGTTCGAATGTTTTACAGTTCGGGACACCTCGACGTTTCCGGCGCGGAATTTCCGGCAGAGTGGTCGATGCACCATTTGATTTAATAAGTAGCATACAATGGGACGTTCCATATAAAGTGTTTGCGTTGCTTTTGCTTTAATTTAACGCAAAAAGAAGACGCGGACAGAGTTCGCAGGACGTTGCAAGAGTTTCGGGTTAACAAACGATCTAAAACTTGTTCTATTCTTCTATTAAACACTAGTATATTCTCGAGATAGTTCTCTTTAAGAGGTGGTAATTATACGGATACCCAGGTTGTATACTGAACAGTCTAGGTGCTTGTTTTATACTAAAAGTAAAGCGAATTTATTTGAGGAATTCGATGATACAATCACAAAACTGTCAAAACTGACATTAATGACATTTCGTGACAGGTTTAATAGAGATGGGGGAATCTATTTTTAGGTATAGAGGTGCAATAACGACTGTTACAAATAACCGTTATTTTTTCACATATCATTCTCCCGATTAGCCTTCTCAAATCTACTTGAAATCGATATTAATGAAAAATGAGCGAAGAAAATATTATCTTCGGTACGACGGTTTATGATTTAGATGATTGTACGGTATAGGCGGGTGCATGCCGCTGACTCTGTGCCGGTTATAAACATATTTAAAAGGAAAAACCGGAGGCTCATCTGCATATTAACTGAATTATGGAAATGTAATTAATGACTAACAAGCTGGGAGCTAACCGGGACGGGATTCCTTTCCGTTTGACTATATGTTAAAATAAAAATTTAATTTCGCCTAGAACGGAATACCGGATCGAGGCAAAAAAGCTAGTTAGCATGATATTTGCGAAACTTATAATGCCTTGAGTTTAATTAGAGAAACGCAGATTAAGGATAAACGCGCAAACTTTATAAAAATGCAAATTTTTTTAGCGATACATTCTATGGGGAACGTATAAAACCGGCTGCGATATTGAGGATTTAACCTGCTCATTCGACCTGTTTTTTTATTTACATTACATGCACACACGTACGCGATAATTAACGAAAATCTATAGCAAAAATATTACAAGTACTCCATTGTGAGGATTTAATTCTAACTTTTTAATGAGGCAGATAAAATTTTTGCCACACTTTGAAGCCTCAACAGCTCCACTGCGAACTGGATTAAATTAAACCAATAGTTGAATGTATTTCGAGTTGTAGAGTTAACAATTAAGCACGACACATACGGATGATTTATATTCTGTCAGTGCAGTATCTTTCCGGCGTCAATTTAAAACGCGAACAAACGAAAAGGGAAGGAAAATCCGTTGAAAACTGGGATGTGATTAACAAGTAAGCAAATATATTTTATTGTTTTGCGTCCTGAGAGAGTAAGCAATTATTCCAATTTCCCTTTCATTAGTTGATTTATTGAATTGACATTTAATGACAGAATGACAGAAATTTAATAGAGGTGGGAATGGATTTTTCGATATAGAGGTGCAGTAACGACTGTTACAAAATAACCGTTATTTTTCCGTTACTTGGGTAAATTGTACCCACCAATGAAATTTTAAAACAAATTTACCGTTTCTATTAGTTCCCGATTTCACGCCGTATTGAATTGGCTTTGGTAATAATACACAATATTTATTAGTCTGCGGAGGTGTTACAAACAGACTTTTTCTCGGAACGTACGGCAATAAAATAGCAATTCAATATCAATGGGAAATTCTTATAAAAATCATAGCGAAAAATGTTTTCCCGTTCGACTGGCGTATCTAAAGAATAGAGGGTTTCTTCGTGGGTAAAAGTCCGCAGTACGTGAAACCGCCAAATCTTTCGGCACTTCTTCAACTATTGTTTCCGGTACATTACGCGTGTTTCCGAGCCATATTCTCGTTCGAAACTCTTATCGCGACCGGCTACGATTATCCCTTATACTTCCTCCTATTTGATCTTATTTTATCCAGAGCTTCGGTGATGTATCTAACGCGTTTCGCGCTTGACAAGCTACTTTATTTCGATACGTTCCTTTTTCCTTGTTATTGCTCAACTGCCACGCTGTCAATCGAAAGATTTCGCTGCTGATTACGATAATAACGATTGTTCAAGAGTTCTTATTATATCGAACTCATGCCGGATTGATTTTCTATTAAATTCAATACCTTGTTCTAGAGTATAACTTGTTACTATCATCTTCTCTCATCATCATTTTATATGCAGTGTTTTCTAAATACTTTGTTAGAAATCATTCAATAGGGCCCCTTCATCTATCCTATAGAAAGTTCTTCTAATTCTACTCTAATTCTACTCTAACTACTCTAAACTTCTAATCCATTTTATCTGCGATGTTTTCTCAATATTCTAAAGCTAACTCGGTTCAAAATCCTCCAATAGGACCCCTTCAAATATCCATCAATCCTATAGAAAATTCGTATTATTAGGTAGGTACATCCAATCGATTTTATAACGATGGATAATTAAGCAATACGACCGATTCAAATTGGTCGCATTCACGAAATTGTAATTTCGTATGTAATTTGCGACGAGAGCTTTGATTTCGATAAACATGATTCGTGAATACCGAATGGGCTAACACTATATGTAAGACGATTCCGAAAAGGTCACCGGCGAAATTGGGTCACTGTTAAAAACATTTCTAATTATAAATACAACCCTATCAATTATGCAAGAAGTTCCTTTGCATTTTACATTTTAAGAACATGCACTATCAAATCCGATCATTTTTACTGCTCTTCTTATTTCTTAGAAGATGTTTTTTTTATTATTAATTACTTGAGAAGGCCCGAGTGAAATCTCCCCTGTTAAACCTACTTACTTAATCGTAAAGCATTTCTGCCGTTCGATGTAAAGTAAGTAAGTAAGTCATAATCTATTGCAATATTAAAGGAGAATAAATTATCAATTACATTAGCGACTGGCGGATACAAACCGTATCCGAGGATTTAATAAGGATTAATAATAGGAATTGTTATGGGCCGTTGTAGATACGCATCCGAGTGAAGTGAGGAGTGATAAACAAATTGAATAAACTTTCATAATTAGTGAAGTTCGCTAATGAAAAGCTTCGTCAGTGTTCAGTTGTAGAGTAGTGTTACCCTTGGGAATTATTTTGATGAGGTTTGCATTTTAGAAATATTTCATTAAAGTATAAGGCTGACGCGGGATGTGTGTAAGATGCGCTGATGTATCGAGGAATTTTTTTACCCGTTCCTCCGATAATAATGCCATTAAGGCAATGAGATTTTTTTTCTAATACCGGATCTGCAACCTTATAAAGCTTATATTCACACTCAATACAATGGTACATTTGTACACCGTGTTTTAATGTAATGAGAAGTTGATTGAATATTGTATTTTTGTTTCAGATGAACTTGGAGAATTATCATCTGATTAGATGGGCTTTGACGCTCGTCTTTCTTCATAGAGCAACTTTCACGCTGGTTCCCGTGTGTTTACCTGAATGCATTTGCCTGTCCCAAACACAAGTAAGCTTTTTTTACCCAAATTGTACTAATAAATTCGAACGAATTAAATTTCCAGGTAATATGCAATGCAGGAGGGCTGCAGGAAATCCCGAAGAAAGAGCTCCCGCTGTCGGTCGAGCATCTCTCGCTGACGCGAAACCAGTTTCTCGTCATCAAAAGCGACTCGTTCGCGGGGCTCCGGTACTTAAGGAAACTTTCGTTGGACGGCAACAACATTTCCATTATAAAGCCCTTCGCCTTCAGAGGATTACCCCGTCTCAGAGAATTATCCATCCAACAGACCTCGCTGGCAACGGTCTCGCAATTCGCCTTCGCCGGTTTGCAAAACATCACCGCCATATATCTCAGCTACAACAAGATAAAGAGGATCGAATCGTACGCGTTCGCGGGCACTTCCAATTTGAAGCTGTTGGTTTTAACGAATAATCCGTTGCACAGGATCGAACGGCACGCGTTCAGCGGATTGAACAACGTGGAAAGAATACATTTGCCCTCAGGTGAGTCGCCACGAGGCCCTTTAAATTCGATTTTTCTATAATATACACACTGTATTTATAAGATGCCACATAGGGATTCCTGTACAAATGTGTCGAAAGCAAGGTAATTTTTTTATCAAATAACGTTCGTAAAGAATAATGATAGATTTGTAAAGATCGTCGAAAAGTAAGTCGAAATGGACGTTAAATTTTATTAAATTCGTTCTGGTTTAATTAAAAAATGTATAATTAAGTTGAAAAAAGTCAAACGTCATATGTCACTATGTAATAATTGTTAAAAGGGGGGAGATATCTGGATTGGTTTACGCTCTGATGTTTGAAAAATTCAGCGGTAAGGAATCTGGTTCAATCCCACGCAGTGCCGAAATTTTTTTTCTTTTTTTCTTTTGCATTTTTCGTTTTTTTAATGTTTTTTTTTGTCAAGAATAAAAATATGGCATCATTTTAAAGGCTCTACCTAGTAACGAGATTTTGCGTTATTAAAATTGACACTTAATTGTCGGAGCTTTTATTTAAATAAAAATAAAATTATATCTCAAATAAGCTCGTCTTATTTTAAATATTTCTATTTAACATTTTTTAGACAAAAATATTAGAAAAAAACCAAAAAAAAAGAAAAAAATGTCTTTACTACGCGGGGATTGAACCACATTTTAAAAAAAAATTCTAAAATTTCTAAATTTCAGAGCGTAAACCATCCCGGCTAACTCCGCCCATTTTACAATTATTAGATAGTGACATAAAAATGACACATTTATGACATTTGACTTTTTTCAATTTAATTATACATTTTCTAATTAAACCAGAACTAATTTAATAAAATTTAATGTCTATTTCGACTTATTTTTCGACGATCTTTTCAAATCTGTCATTATTTTTTACGAACGTTATTTGATAAAAAAATTATCTTGCTTTTGACACATTTGCACAGGAATCCCTATGTCACATCTTATAAATAACACAGTGTATATTTTAACGCACATACCAGCTAGATTTAATAATCAATTTAGGTACATAACTAGGGTTTGTTTGATTTTTGTGTAATGATAGAGAATTGCGCATATCGCTCGGAGGAATAATTCCTTTGCCGGCGAAACGCAAACTGTACTAGAGGGCTTTTCTATTAGAAGAGCGAATTTTCTCTCTGGAGCGATCATCAACCCCCATCTGGGAGATTAGTTGCTCTCCGCCCAACGAGAGCGGCGAGTAATGACACAAATACGTTTAAATGCTCGAATTATTATAGGACAATTAGGAAAATTTCGAATTTCCAGTACTATTTCAGTTTAAATGGATACTCTACAGATATAGGTATAACATATATCGACTATTATTACTAAAGCTTGGATTATATGCAATTTCATTTTTTGCATAATTGTGCATAAATCCATAAATCGAGTAACTTTTGCATATTTTGACATATTTTTCGTATTTTAAGTAATATTAATTACTCAGTAATTTCTGGGACTTAAATTGAAGTGGAAATGATGAATTTATTTAAGTCTAAATACTACCTACTATGTTTTTTATGTTTGTACATTTTTAGCGTATTTTTTGTAAATATTTGGCGCATATTTGGTCAAAAAAAATTGCAAATATTCCGAGCTTTAATTATTACTTTCTACATAAATGTTAGTCATGTCATGGGATAGCTTTTCTTCTCAAATACCACTGGTATTATTTAACTAGGTACTGACATTAAAAATAACTTTTATTAGACGATTTCTTTAGGAATTTCTTCATGGAAACCACTTTTCCTGAATATTAGCTAAACGCGCAACACCTAAAACATTTCCTCTAAAACAAAACCAAGCAAACCTCTCTCTCCTGCTGCTCCCAAGAAGATTCTAACCCGAATTCAGCAACGGATTCAATTAAGAAATAAAACAAGTGTATCATCCACGTCTGCCTGTGAAGATTTAGCATTGTAACGAAATAATAATATTTCCACGGCAAAATCGGTCCCTCTGCCAGGAGAGCGACCGGGTTTTGTCGCTTTGTTCGGAAACCCTACGGTCAAAATAACTGCGAAACGAGCATTATATGGAAATACAGCGGAATAGTCGCCAACAAAATACCTATTACACTCGGTATAATTCGAAACAAATTGTAAATGAACGTTCGATAAAACGTGCTCATTACGTCGAAATTAAAATTAAAACAAAACATTTTCGCGAAATGCGGAATAATTGCTCCGAAAACATTATATTAGAAGCGCCGTCGACATCGTTAATCGCGATATATTCACATTGCTCGTTCCTATAACGACCCAAACGAGTGTTGGAGACAATTTGTGTATCGATTGGGGATTTTTGCGTGATGGAATGTACCTGGTCAATTTATAAAATTCAAATATTTATCGCAACTCCATTGATCTTCCCAGTTTTTACACATATATTTTTTTTTAAATCGTTCGCGAGGATTTATTTCTATTCACGATCGAAATTGCAATTATTATTATCTGCTAAAACATCGATAGTTTCTTTTTAATATTCGAACTACTCGATAAGTACATGCGATGATAAAATATGCAGGACGTGAAATGCATTCGGTTCGGCTTTATCTGTAAATAATGTTCGATGTATAATTCCCAATCTGCGTATAGTGATTGAGGGAAATGAACAAAGGACACTTTTCCATAGGGATTTACAACATAAATTGCGTAGATTAGTCGGTACACAGGTAACCAACTCTCCAACACTTCAAGGGATTCCAAAGTTTGCTCTTCCCAATATCACTACATTTTTCTCGATCGATTTCCCGCATATATTACCTATGCATTAGGTTATTGTAACTGTTACAGGTATAAGGATGATCGAGCCGGACGCTTTCGACGGTTTAGACACGGTGGGGTACATTAAACTGGCCTTCATGGACCTTCCGGGCCTCTCCACGGGGATGTTCAAAGGCCTAACCAACATCGGCGTGTTTTCAATACAAGAATCCGATTTGGGGATACTGGAAGGGTCCGCCTTCAACGGCATGTCGCTGATCAAAAACTTCAACATTCTCAACAACAAAATCGACGCCATCGACTACTTCAACATCAGCGAGGAGCAGAAAATCGGCCACTTGAAGATCCAGGGCAATCACATTCTGGAGATACCCAAGACGGACGCGCTGCTCATCGAAGTGGAGAAACTGACGGTGACTTCGAACCATTTTCCCTGCAATTGCCACATTCACTCGCTGTTGGAGGGGCCGCTGACCAACGGCAGCGTCAACGAGTTTATCGCCAAGAATTTCTGCATTTCCCCGTTGGAAGTCAACGGTTTGCCGATGAGCACTCTGGACGTGGAGGGCATCGGACGGTGCGAGGACGATTTGTCGAAAGGGAGTCTCGACGATTACAAATATTCCATCAGCAGGTCCTGCGAATTGGGCGTTTTTCGTAATTTACTCGCCCTGCCGTTTACTGTGTTGTTACATTCGTTGGTAATTAGGTGAAAGACGTCGGTAGATTAGTGGAATCGGTACTGAATTTTAAATCCTGCACCGAAATTCCGCATCGAAAATTTTATTCAAAATTGACATTAATGACAGTTCGAATGACAGAAGTTTAATAGAGGTGGGAGTCGATTTTATGGTATAGAGGTGTAGTAACGATTGTTACAAAATAACCGTTATTTTACAAAATATTGATTGCTCATTTAAGTGGGGAATTCCGGTGCAGGGGTGTAGGTAATTGTGCGATTTTTGTATATTGTAAATAAATATAATAACGAGGTATGTATTGTACAAAGTAATAAAGTTATCTAATGGTGTGCAATAATTATATTTCCCGTCGCCCGCAAATTGTATTATTTATTCTAAAAGTATTGAATATCGTTAGGCTCGCCTCGCTCTCGGGCTTTAACACGTAAATGAATTCGAGTCTCATCGTAAAAGATGCAATTAAGTGTCGATACGGAATATAGAGCGATCACAGTACAGATGATAAGTAGATATATTAGCATACATTAGTCCTCCCAGTTTACGTACTCGTCTCTGAGTTCATTAGAGTTCAGAAAGCTTGTGGTGTAGAATAAGCAATAAGTCTCTGCCTTTCTAGAAAGTGGCAATTTGGTTACAAAGGCCTCGCGCGGTTTTATTTGGGTATATTAAAAAAACACCCTTCCGCTACCAACGGCCCCTTTTTGCCTATGCGAAATTACTTTTCGCCCGGTCGAAAATTCCTACTAGTGTTTTATGAAATTAATTAAAAATCGAAGATCGAACGTACATCAAAAGGAGATACAACAAACGCTTTTTCTGGTTCGAAAGTGCGTGAATGAATGATTAATAGTTGTCGCGACAAAAGATTATTCGAAGATAAAAAGTGCCAGTAAAATTTTGACTTCCCTCGATCCTCCATTAGGCAGATTCGCAATAAAAATCGATTCATTATCTACGCGAAGAATTCATCACTGAATCAAGAAAATCGCTTAGCAATTTTAACTAGTATTCGAGGCTAAACGGAAGGAGCATTAAATAATGACCCTGTACGATATATCTGGAGGATGTACAGTGAAGTGAAACAGAGCCCTAATCCCTCGCTTTCCAGGAGCTTTTCGCAGGGCGGAGAGGAAAAAGCCCCCGCCGTGTCACCGGTCCCAGCTTAGCAGTTGCGGTTAGATTTCACACTAGGCAATAAAGAACTTGCCTAGCTGGCCATTCGAGCTTAATTTGCTAACTTCCAATTATGGTGCAACGTGGCGGTTTCTATTTTCTGCGCCCGACCGGCTGCAGCTCCGGCACATTTTTGATTTAACTTTACCTTATACGGAGTATTAATTAATTTATTACCGCGTCAAGCGGCCTCAATTAACGCCGGTAATGTTGTCGCGATTTACTTTTTTTTTTGGGTTATTGCGATTTTATGAATTAATGTTTAATTAAAGTTTAATGAATTGCAGGGACAATTAAACCGGAATTGCTGTTTGTTTTATACGAATTTGGTCGTATAAATGGAGAGGTGTTGGCGGTAATGGCGGTGCAGCAATTTTGAATCTATCTGTAAATGAGTATTATTGATTTTTTAATGGATATCAAAGGGTAATTGCAAAAATATTATTTAAAAACGCGCTCTGAAAGCTGTTTTAGGATAAATTCTATTAACTATACATTTGTATACATTTACTGACTGATTGATTGGCGTGTTTTATTTACGGCTTTATTTGAACAGAAAAAAAAGGAAAAAAATCTACTCTACGTAATTTGATGAGATTTTCTAGGAAAATTCGCCGACGATTTTTTTTGAAACATTCCTAAAATATTCTTTGATTTATTACAAATTACTTCCCACAAACCGATTTTTTTACCTAAATAAATAGCGAAGTTAGATAGAAAAGAAAAGTAGCAGACACCGGGGATTCCCGAACTCAGAAAGGGAAATGACGTCACACGTAGTCTTTTTCGGCGGGAAAAAGTGCCGAATCCCATGTAAACGAACATGCCCGATCGGAAAATCGACGTTTCGACTTTCTAAAACTCCATCTTCAGCGTCAAATGAGCAAAATACTTTTTACACTGGTGTCGAAGTGAGTGATATTGTTTTAGTTCAAAATTACGAGGGTTTCAAGGGGTTTAAAGGGGCCCAATCCAAGCGAGTCAGCATAAAAAAATTTGCAATACATAAATTATAAAAAAAAACTTCCGAATCGCAAAGTTTCCTTAATGTTTCCGGACAGTTCGACCGGAACAAAGATGTAAAGAAAATCGAATTAAAAAAACTTCCAGCCATTTTTTCCTTATCTCTCCCGATAGTAATTGAATTATTGACGAACCGACGAAACGCTCCTACTCCATTCCGTTCGAAAAATATTAGCTTCGAATATGCACAACACATTATTATATTCATAATTCAGATGCATTTTCTGTCGCAAGCAAACACATCGATTTGCCATTAGGAAAAAACAAACATCAACAACATTCAAATGAAATGTATTATTACAAAAAAAAATAAAACATACAAACTGAATTCGATTCAGGCTTATAACTAACGGATAAAAAAAAAACAGAACATGTTTTTTCGAATGGAACAATTTATAATAAATAATACTCTACCAACAATCTACTCATTGCAATTCCTCTTCTTTCGCATCCACTCCTCTCCTATTCTTAGCCGGGATCGTGTAATTGAAAGGTTTATCTAATTTCTCGAAGGCTTCCTTGCACCTCACCACAGCCGTTCTGTTCAAACTCTCCAGGCTCACCGACTTGGCGACATCTTCAAACGTTTTCACCACTTCATCGTACTTCCCTTTAGCGAATAGAATATCCAACAGACAGCTGTAAGCGTTTCCCACGGCCCCCTGCGACACGCTGCTCGACTGCAAATGCTCGATCAATTTATTCGCCAGCACCTCGTTCTGCTCGTCTCTGGCGCTCTGCACGATTTTCTGGAACATTATCTTCGGGGAATTCTTCAAATGGTCCGTCCATATTTGCTCCGCCTTCGCCTCGTTCTCGTTGATGAAGTACCAAGTCCACAGGACGTTCAACGGGCCCGTTATGCCCTTCGAGGCGTATTTCAAAGCGAGGCTTTCGTCTGCGAAAAATCGGGGAAATTGTAGATAAAATTCTAGTTCATTCGCGGAACTTAGATTATACACTGTTGGAAAATTATTCGCGCATAATAGGGAAATCAATGTTAAATTCTTAGCCGGCTGAAATACAGTCTACCAGTGGACATTTCAATAGAACGTCGCGATGAATTCTAATAAATTTAATTGTTCTACTGGATCGCACGCCGCGATTTGTAGAGGTACAAAGTTATTTGTGTTAGGTATGAGGTACAAAATTATTTAGAAACTACATTTAATAGGTTTTTTTGGGGATATTTCAAAAAATGTGTGTATCGGTAGGTACAGTTTTGAAACAGCAACAAATTTTGTTGAAATAAGGGAAAAAATAATTCAATTTTCTGCTAGAATTATACCTCAGCTCAGTAATATGAGATGACATCTGTATGACAGGTTTGGCTATTGTTTAGCAGAAAGCGGTGGACTATTTTTTAGAGTTCTTTTATTTTCTGTTTTAAAATAATCTTTAAGTTTATTTTTGGAGTTTTCTTTTTATTATTTTCTTAGAATTTACTTTCTTTTTCAAGCCATTGTGGCAAAAAGACATATCTACATAATTCTATTTTAATATTAGTGATATTTTTTCAACAAATTATCGTTTAAAAATTCTCATTTCTTTGTAATCGACTCGACGTTCACCCATCCGAATCCGTTTTGATACTATCGAAGTGTCGAAACCGTCGAAATTATTTGATTTTTAATCTAACCGAACCAAATCGCGGTGTGAAGTCCAGTAGAACAATTAAATTTATTAGAATTCATCGCGACGTTCTATTGAAATGTATACTGGTAGACTGGATTTCAGCCGGCTAAGAATTTAACATTGATTTCCCTATTATGCGCGAAAAATTTTCCAACAGTGTATAGAATATAGACTATAAATAGCTGTATACTCACATTGTTCTATCAAATCGGGATGTTTTTCTAGGATGCCGTAGGCTCCACCTCGGGGAAACTGCTCGCTGAGTAGCCCAAGATCGCTTTCCGTGGCACTATCGATGGAGTTGTTTAATCTATCTAAATATTCGGCGGCTTTGCCGGCCACGAGATTGGCGTGACACAATCTGTTGTCGAACGAAACCAGTTTTTTCACATCAGCGCTGATTTTATCGCTTATTTTGTGCAAGGTATCCACGTCGCCGGTGCTGGCCAATTTGTTCAAGAAAAATTTGAATATCCTACCAATCGGTAGGTTTCCTCTATCTAATATTTCCAATGTGACTTTAGCGGCGTCTTCTACGCGATCGTTCTGCAACAGTTTCTCGATTAGGGCCGATAAATCGTTCACCGATTGCGGTTCTTTGGTCGATTTTTGTATCCTTAAAGCTTCGTTTAATTTGTCCGTTCGAAGGAATCTCCTGAATTTAATTTGCGGCGTATCCGGCTCGCGAGTTTCCTGCGTTTCCCCCATAGAAACTTGTTCCATTCGAGGCTTCACAAACGGAACATTGAGTCCTTTTTCTTCGAGGAAACCAGCCAACGTGCTCAAAAACTGATCGTTCGCAATCAAATCCTCCTCTTGCATTTGAGTCCACAAACCCATCGCCTTATCCACATCATCTTGCTTCTTATAACTCAACAACAATTGATAGTAAATATCCGATCGGTCGATGTGACCCAGATCTTTGGTGGCATCTTTCAAACCCTCCAGCGGTTTAATCAGGCCTTCTTGTTGGTACCGTTCGCAGGCCAAATTGAGCCGTTGCGGTTTGTTCTGCAGCCCCGGAGTCTCCAATATTTTCCTCGCCTGTCGTATCCTTCCGCATTCCACGAACGCGAACACCAAATCGTACAAGCTGTTCGCCTCGCCGTGCACCGAAGTACTCAAATCGGTGAGTTTTTGGAGCTTTTCAGCGTCCTCGGCTTGGATGAGCTTACAGGCGAGATCGTTCTTCCACGGAGTGGCCTTGTGCTCGGTAACGCTCCATTCGAACTTCTCCAAAGCGCTGTCGATGTCGTTGTTGACGAGATGGACTTTTATCAAAGGACCGAGCAGGACGTTGTTCACTTCGGCGAATCCGTATTGAACTAATGTGTTGAACAGCGTTTGTAGATCGTTCACTCTACCTTCTTCAGCCAATCCGTTTAGGAATCTCCAAACCAACGAACCGTACGAGTACGATTTGTCTTCTTGTCGTCGATCGGCTGGTGTGGTTTTTAAGATGTTTATGCCGTCCTCGAAGCGGCCTTTTTTGATGAACAATTGCGCCAAACGGATGATTTTGGAGTTGTCTATGCTGAAGCCATCGCCTTCTTTCTCTTTGGTTTTCTCGTAGTACTCCAAGGCTTTGTCCAGATCGTCGTGGTGCGCGTAGAGATCGGACAGTTGCGCGAATATGCCCGAGGTGAATACGAAATCGGTCTTCTTCAGGTCTTCGACCAGCCCTTCGGCCTTTTCCAAGTCCTTCGATCGGTAGTACAAGGTGAACAGCTGTCGTTTCAAGCCCTTCGTTTCCTGGTTTTTGGCGTCTAAATTCTGAATTAATCGTTCTAATTGCGGTATGTTCATTTGGTGAGATGGCGTGTAACTGGGTGGTTTCTTTTGTAGGGGAATCGGCGTTAATTCGCCGGAGGTGAGCTTTCCTAACAACTCAGAAATCTGATCGGTCATCTTCTCGCCTAATTTCTGTTCGATTTTCTCCGCCGAAGGTGTGGATATGCTAAGGCCTTGTTCGACTAGTTCCTTCAGAACGGGTTCGATGTTATCTTTGAATTTGGCGTTATTCGAAGCCAGATCCAATACGAAACTACCGATTAACTCCGATTTATTGCACTTCTCGCTGGCGTCCTCGTCGTCTTGCTCGGATTTATTGTAAAAATTCTTTCGATCGATGTTATCGTACACGCTCCTCAACAGAGAAATGTAAGATTTTAGATCGTTCGTTTGGTAGAAACTCGTAGTAAGAGGCCTTTTAATCATGTCCGGATTGTAATAAGCCTGTACCGTAGTAGCTATGGCTGCGGCTTCGTTGATTTTACTGCGTTGTAATAAGGTCATTACCACGCTAGCTGCAGCCGTACCAACTGAAATATTCGCTTCGCGAAGCTTAGCCAATATATCGCTAGTATTCCCTTGTAAATTAGGTATCACATACTCCCTAATAGTCTCGCTAGTCGGTTGGATGTTATAATCCTGCATCTTCTGTAAAACGTTTATTACACCGTCTCCAGACGGATCGTTCGATTTGGAAATTATCAGCGGCCAGAAGAAGTGCTGTCTAATCGTTAAACCATCCTTTTGCAACAGCTCGAGTAGAGGATAAGCGAGCTTATCGTTGCCCAATTGAAGACTGGTCTCGGCCGCGACCAATACAGCTCTATCGTACATTTGTTCGTCTTGTAGCCTCGTGCAATATTTCACGATAACGTCCAACGGGCGATCGGCTTTGACTAGCTGTTTGATAAAGAAGAGGCCGGTCGGTGCGGGCGAACCGTCCTCTCTCATGCCTCTCACCATGGATTTCAATACGAGAAAAGCGGCTTCCTCTTTACCTTTGTTGATCAACCTCAATGTAACGTTAATGGCGTCCTGATTGTAACTCACCGCTTTCCTAACCTTCTCGATTATCAGCGGAATGTGTTCGTCGTGATTGTTTACTGCCAACTCGTATATGATATCTAGGTAATCTTTGTCTAGGAGGAATATTTCTTTGGATTCGCATTCTTCGAACAGCTTCGTGATCGTTTCGATGTCACCTTTCGAAGCGAACCCGCAGAGGAGCGTCGTGTAGCTGTCGGCGCTCGGTTCGAGGCCGGCTTGAACCATCACGTTGATTATGCTACGGGCCGAGTCCATGTCTCTGGAAGTTCGATTATTCGTTAAAATTAGTTATAATAAAGCGATAATAACTTACCCGGCTTTAGAATGGCCTATAATGAGAGCGTTGAATACGTTCTCGTTAACAGACATTTCCTTTTCCCTCATAAATTCTAATATTTTAGTGGCACCGTCGATGTCTCCTTCTTGACAATATCTGGCGATTAACCGTTGGTAGGTCACCCGGTTGGGCTCGATGCCTTTACTTTCGAGGTCGGTTAGGAATTCCGTGGGTGAGAAAGGGTGTTCGTTTTCTAAGTAGACCCTAAGAAGAGCGTTGTAGTGGGATATGTCCATAGGAACGTTTAGTTTGATGAGGGTGTTCCAGATTTCCTGGACGAGTTTCGTGCGCGTCTCGGGCAGCTCTTCGGGCACCAGATTTCCGCAACATCGAATCACCAGCAGGGACTGCGAACTGGTGGCCGAGCGGGCTAGGCGGATCTCCTCCAGGACATCTTCGATGTCTCTGCGAGATATTCGTCCGGACTTCCTGACATCCTGATCGATTCGTCGCAGGCTGCTCTCGAGGCTCTGATCGTGCAAAGTGGACGTTTGTGTGGCGAAATTGCTGCTAAAATGTGAGATATACAGTGCCGGAGTTGTTGCATCATATACGATTTGGATGGGTTGAAAGCTCACCTTGAAATTAGCCCGCAGAGACATTGCGAGTTGTTAATTAAAGTGCCGTCGAATTCTCTCGGTGTGTTAACTACGACGTTTCGAGCGAAACCCGCGAGATATCTCACGAATTTCGAGGATCTCAGAATTGACGCCATGCCGCTGGCTGTCTATGGAATTTTCACGAGTTTTATAACATTTTCTCGTCTTCTTTTTTGTTAACATCATTGCTGCCAACTTAAAATTTTCCAACGCGAAATGTATAGGGATATTTAGTTTCTAAATGATATTGACGTTTGATGTGTCATCGAATTTACAAAAAAATGTCAAGTTCTGTTGGTTTGTGTTTGTAAATATTTCATAAAATTATCTTTTTTACATAACATACTTAAATTAAAAATGTAATTATATTTTTGCCAATCGCCAATGACATGTATATACCGTTTAACACCTTCAGGTGTAAACCATTCGGTATCCTTATTAGCAAATTCAGCACACAAAGGTTTGTAACTAAATAATAATCATGTACTATCAATTTATTTAAATTTGTAACGTTTCAGACGAACTCATTACGATATTTTAAACTTACCAAAGCACTGCACAACTAAACAAATCAAAGATTCCTTCATTAAATTATCTAAAGAGGTTAGTTTTACATTATCCACAATAGGGCTCTTGATTTAAGTTGTTTTAGAACCATCCAGACGTTAATAAAAGTAAAAATGCTCATAAAGCATTTCTGGACATTAAAGAAGCTTACAATGTTCTGAGCAACCCAGAAACGAGAAGAGGCTACGATTTAACATTAACATCCGAGAAATCCACAAGAAGCTCGCATATGCGCAGAGTTTATAGAAGTAGGTACATTAAGAGAATGTAAAATGTACACAAATTTCATGCATTGAATTTTAGATGTCAATCCAGATTCCTCGTTCTACGAACATCGAAATAAAAGCGAAGATAAACACTTCGAAAAACAACCTTATTACGGCATAAAAGGACAGAAAAGGGTTTCGAATTTGAAAATTGTAGTAGTTTGCATGTGGACAGCAATTGTCGCGGTTTGCTTGCAATTCTATTTAATATCGTACGTTTTATTATTATCACCTTGTATAATTTTGTTTTGTTAAATTTTTTGTGTCCGTAGAAACTCCTTTACTCTTCAACGTGAGCTCATACAAAGGAGATCAGAGGAAACTGAGAAAACTTTGAGTTCGATAAGAAAGAACGCCATGGAAAACGGCAATGAAGTCCAATTGGAAATTCTAAAAGCAAAGTTTTCCGAAACTTCACGAGATGACTAATGTGATAATTTATTAATTCTATATTATAAATATTTTGTTACATTTTATTTTTATTTTATTTACCCTCAACTCCATGAATCCTGATTTAACAGGCGTTTGAATTGGAATCAAATGATCAATGTACAAATAACCCTCTCATCGGAAACAAGATTAACGTAAACAATGTCCTTAGTTACTTCATAACAACAATGCAAAACTGTCAAATTAAACAATCTCCCTAGTTACTCCATAACAACAATGTAAATCTGTCAAGTTAAAGAAAGTCCTTAGTTACTCCATAACAACAATGTAAAACTGTCAATTGAAAGAGACTGTAGGTTTAAAAAGGAGTTCAGAATACAGACCAATGTATTTACACAACAACCACATTAATAATTGATATCATAAAGTAAAAAGTCGAGAGAAATCGCAGGAAAGTGTTCGGTATAAATTAGAAAATTAGAAAAAGAAACATCAGAATCTCCGAGTGGGGGAGAGTGGGAAAAATTGTCACCCGTCCTCCAACAAACCGATATCTAATCAATTTGTGTAATTAGAACTGGAAAAGCAAACAAACAAGTTCTAACATAAATTTTCTCCTTAATTACGATAAAAACAATGGACTTTCAGTTTAAACAGCTACTGTTAATGTTCTCGATAACGACCATATGTATGTATAGAGATTAGAGATGCATTTGTGTGGAATCGATTGGTTTAAGTCGATCGTTTCGCTGGAGCGGGTTTGTAAATTAACATTCCAAAAGTGAAATCAGCTGGAATCCAACACGTGGTTCACGGCCCGTGCCTTGTGCACATGTCACGTGAGTGTCCTTCGCCCGTGGGATCGATGTTTCTGGTTTGTTCTTGGCACAAAGGTTGAAAAGAAATGGCACTATTCGAGTTTGTGATGTGACAATAATGCACTCTCAAAGTGAATAAATGTGTATGTATGTATTTTTAATGTTTAAAAGACTGGTTTTCTGATGCATGGTTTTTTTATGAATCGTTAAATTGTATTAATTTTTTAGCAGGTTTTCATTGTTTCAATCGAATTGATGAATGTTTTTTTGTTCGCTTTTATAGGAATTTATGAGGTGCATTAAAGTGAATCGGGAATTTTTAAATTTGCATAAGGTGGATGCATTATTTATTTTACTAGTTTTGAAAAATAAAAGAATCTGCAAATCGATTAAATTGGTACATAAAATGTATATTTTCCAATAATTTTTATTAATTCCATAATGAGCCTACAATGGCAACAAAAATAGAAATTTGATCATCAATAACTATTTATTGATTATTTATTAGGTCATTCCGAATTGGAGCAGTGACTAAATGGAAAAATTCACGTTCGTACCAAATTTTTCGTGAGAAAATTTCCATTATCAAAATTCAAACAAAATAATAATAATAATAATCTATTGCAATATCAATTATATACTATCTTTATTTACTTTAAACGAAGTATCTTTCCTTTCTTCTATATAATTTACATATTAATACTATTACAAATTTTCTTCAGAATGTTATAGCAACAAAAACTACTGACATCACCTCGTATATACATCCAATAATGAAAACTCGCCAGCTCTTTTATCGTCTTTCATATTTCTTCTCCTGAAGTTACAAAACATTATAGGTAAAGCATTCTTTATTATACTCCAAACACTAAAATTTAATTCGCCCATATTCGAATATTTCAGCCAATCGTTTACCATGTATAAAGAAAAAAATATGGTACCGCCCGATGGGGGATGGGGATGGGTCGTAGTCATCGGCGTCAGCGTAATCAACGTAAGTTCTTTTAAACCTTTAAACCTTTAAACTTTTAAATTTTCACGTCTAAATAGCTAACGACTAGATCGCTGGAGCAATCGTTCGGCTTGCTCTTCGGCGATCTCCTCAACGAATTGAACATTGAGACCACCGGCGCCGCCATTATAATGAGCAGCCTCGACGCCCTGGTCAATTTCTCCGGCCTTCTAGTCGGCCCCTTAATCCGCGCCTACTCCTATCGCACGGTATCCCTCGTGGGCACAGCCCTCTGCAGTCTAGGTCTCATCCTGACGTTCCCTGCGAGGAGCATGGAGCACATTCTCGCCACTTACAGCATCATCAACGGTACGTTCCAACTCAAAAACTCTTTTATGAGCTACTATATACACTCTATCGCCCGTATTCAGTACTCCTGTTTAGCGCTAATCAATCGGTTAAAGTTTCTTTAATGTAAACAATGTCCTTGGTTACTCCATAACAACAATGTAAATCTGTCAATTTGAAAGGATCTCCTTAGTTACTCCATAACAACAATGTAAATCTGTCAATTGAAACAATCGCCTTAGTTACTCCATAACAACAATGCAAATCTGTCAAATCAAATAATGGCCGTTTTCTTGTAAACTGTCAAGTTAAAGAAACTCTTTTAATTAATTTAAAAGATTATCATTTTGCATTAAAAAGGAGCCCGGAATACGAGCTATAAGCTTATATTTATCCATATAACAAATGGCATATTGTAATATGTAGGTTTGGGGGTGGGACTGGCGGCGTCCTCGACCTTCGTGGCGCTCAGCAACTACTTCGTGAAGCGCCGGGGGCAAGCGGTGGGGTTCTCGCTGGCGGGGACCGCGGTGGGGATGATGTTCATGCCGCAGGTGATCCGCTACCTGCTGGAATGGTACACTTTTCGCGGGGCCATTCTCATACTGGGGGCGTTCGCTATGAACGGTATAGCGGGATCGGTGGTCCTGCAGCCGGTCGAATGGCATTTGGTGCCCGAAAGGATCGACGATGAAGAGGAGGGATACAATCAGGTGAAGTTCGTTGGTTTTTAGTTGAAATTTCGTCGCATTATTAAGCAGGAGATATGGCATAAAAGGGTTTTTTATTCTTGTTACTGCTGCTATAGAAGATGATATTTTATTTCGCGTCGACAGAGGTAAAATAGTTAGGAAAAAAAGGTTCCGAGATACTTAGATATTTTATTTTATTTACCACATTTAAGTCTTCTTTATGCATGTTTTCCTAATTAACAATACGTATGCAGTAAAATTAGAAATTAGTTTTAATTTTACAGTGCATTTATACATTTTGCACGATCTATTAAATAAAAAAATCTGTGATAAATATTGCTATCGCACCGTTTTGTATAGGAAATGGAGACCATTAAAGAGACGGAAGACGAGGATTTGGATATACAAGAAGCTCAAACGTTGATAGCGAAAATAAATTCCGAGGTGGCCATCAAACAAATGGACGAGTCGCTGAAACCGAACGGTTTTTCGAGAAAATCCACGTTTCCCAGAAACTTTTCCACCATCAGCTTCGCCGGCAGTCAAAAAAAACGAAGAATATCCACGGAATCCCTCGTATCGAGTTATTCCCGATTGGACTTCACCGGATCTAGCATACAGCTACAGCTCGATGTACGTTTGACTTCAAATTGTCATTCTATATTCTAATAAATTTGCGTTAGTCAAGGGAGGCGGATCAATCGTTTCAAATCTCATCCAGACAGCTGCGCAGGAACATGAGCTATCCAGGAGTACCATCCACGACTATCCAGAAAATGCGGCCCATATCGCCCCCGGGGGAAAAGGCGGAGTCGAAGGCGACCTTCTGGCAGAAAGTGGTCGAATTCATGGATCTGGATCTGCTGAATTGCCCGATATATTTGAACCTGGTGCTCGGGCTGTCGTTAGCCTATGTGGCAGAGCAGAATTTCAAAACTGTTCTGCCCTTTCTCTTTCTCAATTTGGGTTACGATAAGAAAGACGTCGCGACGTTTCTATCGTTCCAAGCACTGACTGATATTTTAGCCAGACTGATTTTACCGCCGATCTGCGACAGGATCAATATTTCCAAGAAGACTTTCTTCATGATGGGCATATTTTCCGTGGGATTATCCAGATCAGGTAATTATTCGAATATCGTTGCATTTACAGTTGGCACCACTGGGTGTCAAACTTGTCATTTCTCTCTTTGTGATTTATTCAAAATGTCGTCGTTTTAATTTACATTATTTCTGTTTAAAATCCGGAGAACTAGCTCTTTTTACTACATAATCTTTCAATCGTAATTTGTAGATACATTTTTTACTTCTTTTTTGATGTATTTCTAGTAAACTTCTCACTTATTAATTTATACAGGGTGTCGATAAAATACGTTTAGACATGTAATAATTTTTGTTTGTATTCGTAAAAGCATCTTCTTTGCGTTTGAATTTTTCAACAAGCTTACTTTCTTGCACTCGATAAATGAAAAAGATTAAATATACATTGAGTTTATCATAGTTTTTTTTTAATTAATAACATATCTGTTCTAACATGTTTATGACTTTTTGTTGGCAGCTGTGGAAAACGCTGAATAGGTAACAACTTAGAAAACGTAAGCTTTCAAAATCACTTGAAGCATATTTGTTTTCTTCTGTTCGTTTGTAAGATTTCCAGGATTTTTTGTCAATTTTTGCTTGAGATCCAGACTTTTCCTTTTTTTTCTCAGTAAACCAAAGCTATTTTTTTCTTTCATTAACGTTTCTTTGCAGCCCTAGCGCACCAAACCGAATGGACTAACATTGTGATTTGGTTGTTGATTTGTGGCTTCGCCAGAGGGGCCACTCTCATCAATTTCACCATCACAATAGCGGAGTACACCTCTCGGTTTTCCACTTTAGAGAAGTTACCGGCGGCTTTTGGACTTCACATGGTCGGGAAAGGACTCTTCGTCGTGGTGTTGGGCCCGTTACTAGGTACACATCCAGCCAATTTACTTACGTAAACCTCTCGTTAACACCCCCGATTTCAGGCTACATTCGAGATTACACGAAGAGCTACCCGATTTGCATCCATTCGCAAACCATGCTGATTATGCTGGGTTGTTCCGCTTGGGTGGCTGAATACCTGATCATTTGGTGTCACAAGAAGGAAAAGGCCCCGTCCGTTGCTAACACAGCCACCACGACGACTACGAGTACGTGACACTCGAGTTTATAAAATTCAATGTTGATATTGAAGATAGTCGAAATTGCTTTAATTTAAATGTGTATAGGAAATTTTTAATGTCTCTTGTAGACTCATTCGAAGCGCTGGAAAAGCAGTATTTAATTTTCCACATAGAACTCCATGTGTACTTATACAATTTACCCAAACTGTTTCAAAGTTTTTGCCAGTAATACTGATACTAGATGTGAAACTTTGAAATGATAAATAGCCCGACAGTATTAGATAGGATTCATTGGTGTACAGGGTAAGCGAGTGCTTTTATTAATGTACATTCGAACTACTCTGAACTTTTCTTTTACATTATATTCGTTTAAAATAATAAGCGGTGCTCCCTTGTGCATTATAATTAAAACAATAATTCACGACACATTTAGCAAACACCAAATAGATACAGCGAGAGTGTTGTCCCTAAATTGAACAGCAAAAATACAATATTCACAATTATTTACTCGAAAATTGATAACGAATCGATAGTGAGAATTGCCGGTTATTCTTTCATCATTACTAAAACTTATTAGTACATAAAGCCAAATCGGTATAAAATGTATAAACTATATTTTTATGGAAACAAAACAAATGGTAATATTTTAACAAACAAATAAATTATTAGAAACTACGTATCCTTTTCTAATTTAGCGTTATATGTTACCATTTTAAACCCATTACGGCACAATCAACATGCACATATTTCACCTTAAAAACACTTCGAATCGTCCTCGAACACACCGAAATCCAGTTTTAAAACGAAACTTTCACACTTGCGATCGCCAAGTCAGGCTCGCTTTATTGACCGTTGTCGCATGCGAGAAAGGGCAATCCGCCTGATTCTTGCAATACTGTCCGAACCTGCAGGGCTTCGGGTGGTAAAACGAGCAGGCGCTGTACGAGCACTTCGGGAAGTACTTGCATATAACCGGTTGCGTCAAAGGCGTCTTGTTCATGAGGCTCGAATGACTGAACGAGCAGCCCCTCTTCGTACAACCCGGCCCGAATTTGCAGCTGGGGTGAATGTACAAGCACGAATCTCCGTATTGGCAATTCGGGAACAATTCGCACTTCACCACCGGGTGGACGAATTCGCATTTTTCACCCTGCCTACAGTTGGGCCAGTATTTACATTTTTCTTTATTTTTCAACGAAATCGGTTGGTGGATGATCGGTAGGATATCCGGTACGTCCGGTTTATTCGTTACCTACAAATCGAGTGATATTATATTTGTAGTTAATAACATCTAACAAAAGCTCACTTTAATCGACGCTTTATCGTAAATTATAGGCGATGGAGATTTCCTCGCTTCCAATCGAGCTTTCGCTGAAATTCTGGGCTTTTCGGGAATTATCTCTGGAGAATAATCAGATTCACTAGTGACTAGAACACAGTTTCTTGCCGCTTTCTTACCGTCAACGGAATTCCTCGATGAAGGAATATACGCTGGTAATTCTTTGCAAGTTTTCGTAAGCGGTTTAGGAACATATTCGAATTCTTTATCGTTGTCATCGTTCGAATCGCTATCTTCTCTCGAAACTTGCGCCAATATGATGTTCCTTAATTTCACTTTCTCTCTGTGAGACAATTTCCTCGTTATGGGTACGTCACCGTTTGAGTTCTCTTCGGTGTTTAGTACCTTCGAAATAAATAGGTTTTTACAACAAACTTTTATGCTTAGAATAAGTACTTACTTTAACGTTTTTAGTGGTTTGGGATACACTCCTGTGAGCCTCTTCTACGGCTTTTAATAGCAAAGCTTTGTTGGGCTGCGTAGCATTCGATGGTAGAATTCTGGGTTTAACTCTTACCATGCTCCGTACTTCCCTGGTTTTCAATTCGTCTTCTTCGTTTTCTACGGGAGGCTTTTCGGGAACGTATATTTTAGACATCACTCCTACTTGCGACAGTAGATTCTACAAAAATATGATAAAATTTCGAATTTTTTAATATAAAAAAATTCACCTTTTGAGATTCCGAATCTTTGCGATCCTTGACGGCGTGTCGAATCCTGTCTTTTGGCCTGGATTGCTTTCTATCATCCTTTTCTATCACCCTCCTCCTGGAATGCCTTTCGTCTTTCTTCTTGGCTTCGCTCGATTCTCTCTTCCTTTGCGAATCTTGCTTTCTTTCGCCCAATCTTTGCAAAATGGACACTTTTTTAGCCACAGGAGGAGGCTCCGGCTTATCTTCTTGGAAAATAATCGGCGAGTGTTTTCTCGGTTTTTCAATAGCAAATTCATTGTTAGTTTCCGTTTGTTCGTTAATCTCTTCTAGACCTTCAATTACATACACAATAATCAATTAATTAAATGGGTTGAAAGTAATACAAAATTACCTTTCTCCAATTTGGCCTCTACCAATTCGGCATCGTCGATAATTTGGGAACCCAATCGACTTTTGACGCTTTTAATTCGTCTCTCGATCTCCTCCAATTCTCTCTCGTTGGATTTGTTAACTTCGGAGAGCAAGGGAATGTCGAATTCATCGCAATATTTTTCTTCGTTCTTATTTTCGAGCAGCAATTTTCTTTGTTCCGTTAATTTCTTCGACATCATCGGGAGATTATCGGTTAACGAACTGGTCGATTCCGAATCGTTATTGCCGGTTTTCTTCGATTTCTTTTCCTTTTTAACTTTAACATCCTCTTCTTCGTTGGCCTTTCTCTTCGTTACTCTCTTATAAACATCTGTAAGTTAAATAATATGTAAATAACACAAAAGAGTTTCAATTAAATTAGTTAATTTACCTGGATTTGTAACAGTTACTTCTCTAAGTTTTTTTAATACAATGTGGAGCCAGTCGACAAAAACTTCTGTTTTTGTGTTTAAAAATAAATTCAAATCTTCCTTCATTTGAGCTTTAGTTCTTCTGTTTGCTACCATCACCATTATGTAGTCGGGTAATTCATCATCTGCAAAGTTTAATCTTTCGTATAAAATTGTGTACTGAAAGAGGAAATGATGGGACTTACCAACGTAACAATTCAATTCGAGAAGTTTCGCCTTGATAGCGGACTAAAATCAAAATAAAAGGCAATAAATACATAAATTCTGGGAATTTGATGAATAGGGAATTGTTAGGAATTGGACAATTTTTACAACATACCCTCATTTTCTGGCCCACTTCGGCTCCAACACTATCCATTGTAAAATTGCGATATTTAGTATATGTACATTTACAATTAAATTAATTACAAACAGACAACAGACTTTCGTGAAAAAGTTATCTCATCGGCTCATCGTTACATGTAGGCGATTGGCTTAGGTTATTTTTGACTTGTTATATTTATTTTTTTTGACAGGTATTTGACATTTCTACAAACTGAAAGTAGTTCAAATAACTTTTAAGAACTAAAAAAGAAGACTTGACAACAAAAAAATAATTGACAGTTGACGTAAGTAGTCGAAAGTGTTGTAATGTGATTTACAATTTTTACCAAAAGTAAATTTACCAAAATTTTTAATTACAAGAAACATTATAATGTAATGCATAGATTTTTAAATTTATTGAATAAATCGGATGCGACTGTAAGCTTATCGCAGTTGAATCCTTTTCAAAGAATGCTAAATAGAAGGTTCAATGCTTGTGTATGCAATGTTAAGGATAATTTATTAGTACCGAATAAATTAAAGAACGAAATCAAAGCGAAAACGAATGCTTTGTTAAAGCGACAAGTCAACCAAGTACCAAAAAGAACCAAGTCGAATGATAAATATAACCATATAACTTGTAATTCCTTTAAGGACAATTATAATTATCATCCCTTTTATTCCTTAGGTTTTAATCGTAGTTCACGTTCCCTTAACTTTCGAGTTTCTTTAATTTTAAATCGATGTTTGTCTAATCAGCACTTTTACGGAAGGAAATATTATCGAAGGACATTGAACAATAACAACCCAGGTATGTAGTTTTTTTCATTCTCCATTCTCCAATTTTGTTATGTTTCGATTATTTTCCAGAAAGAATTATGTCATTTCGAACATGGGAGAATGCCTCGGATCTGTCGGTGTCACAGCCAGGTTTTATATTTACATTGATGTCGTATAACGTTCTTGCGCAAGATTTACTGGAGCAACACCCTTACATTTACAAATACCACGATGCAGCATCGTTAAACTGGAATCAAAGATGGAGCAATCTGTACAGGGAAATAACCAAGTTTAGTCCTGATGTATGTCCGAAAACCACTGTACTAATTGTCCAACAATTCGTTGCATGTTTGTTTTAGATATTGTGTCTTCAAGAAGTACAAGAATCGCACCTGGGCAATTATTCCTTACTAAACGCTTTAGGTAAATTGAAACGAGAAGTCGACTGTTATAATTTGTGAGAGTTCCAGGTTACGAGAGTGTGTATAAGAAACGAACGGGTTCACAAACCGATGGCTGTGCAATTTATTACAAATCCGGTAACGTTTCTTTAATAGAATATAACTTCGTCGAGTACTTTAAACCTACGGTGTCTATATTAAATAGAGATAACGTAGGGATTGTTGTGAAGTTTGCCCCTAAAATGCACCCGAGTAGAGAATTTGTTGTTGCTACTACGCATCTTTTGTATAATCCCAAGCGGGATGATGTAAGAATGGCGCAAATGCAATTATTGTTGGCTGAAATCGAGAAAATGAGCTACAAAAATGATGATAAGTGAGTTAAATTTATATAGAGCTTTAAGGAGAATAATTGTTAAATTTTTAGAGCGCCTAGTTATCTGCCGGTTATATTAACTGGTGATTTGAACTCTACTCCAGATTCGGATTTGTATCAGTTTATATCAACTGGTACAATGAAGTTCGAATATTTGTCTCCCAGGCTCCTCGAAACTCGTCCCAATTCCGGTAGAGAAACTTTAGTAACCGAACCTTTAGGGATTACAGGTAAATATTTATACAAATAAGTGCAAATCTTATTGTTGCTTTGCAGATAACTGCCAGTTTAACGTTCACCTGGAAAATAGAAGAATCAACAGTTGTGCATCGGAAAAAGAGGAAACGAATGATAAAGCGAAATTGACTCACAATTTCAACTTTAAATCTGTCTATGACCACGGTACGAGAGAAAATAACGAAGCTACTACCCATCAATATGAATGGTTGACGGTGGATTATATTTTTTACAGGTACATGTTTTTTATATTGCTTATAAATGGTGGATTAATCGAGTTTTTTCAGTAAGAAAAAAGGGACGATGCATCCTCGCGATAAGTTGAAATTACTGGCGAAATATCGGTTACCGAGAAATAAAGAATTGTGCAATACAACCATTCCGAATCGTGTGTTAGGATCGGATCATTTATCACTTATATCAAAATTTAAATTAGAGTTTTAAACGACTCGTTTTTTGTAAATAAAAATGTTAATTCTTGTCGTCGAGTATGTTAGTTGTTTAATAAAAATAATTAACCTTCGTTTAATATATAGGCTATATTTCAAAAAAAATGAATTTACAGAATATTTACATTTTCAAGTACACCTCCCATACAGTACATAACGCTGGAATGAACCAAAGATTTCAATGATCTTGAATACAAACTAATAATCTAAAAAAAATGAATAACAAAGGGAATGGTTTTTACACCTGTCGATTTCATTTGCTCTCGTAAAATTAATAAATAATACATCTTCACAAAATATCGGTATTATAAAAATATGCTAAAAAATATATATCACAGACTTTCAAGCATGGCATTTAAACACAACGAATCTTCATGAAACGATTCCAAATTGCGATCTAAGCAGTGCTTTTGACACAAGTACATATTTTACTTTCATATATTTGTACGTGCTAATTTAAATCGTATGAAGCCCCTTCAATGCAATTTTTATCATTATTTCAACACCAAATTGGATAACTGTAAAACTTTTTCGAGATCACTAATTATTTGTGCGTTTGAAACAACAAATTTAAGGTAATAATTTTCATTCGTTCGCACCGAAGAGACTTTTTATATAAATAGAAGCTTATTTTAAAAATATGATTCAGATTAAATTTACAATAAATATGTATTACATTTACTTATTTCAACTAGTATTCACATATTAAATATAAAAATATAATAGCTACCCATCTTAGAGATATTTTTTGAATGTGCATATATGGATCTTTGAAAAGAACAGCAAATGGTTACAAAATAACATATTAGTACATTCTCTCTTAATGTAATGGACGCTTTAACAGGAAATATTACATTTATTGCTTTTGTCACCAAATGCTGTACTGTGAATCTATTTTTTTAATAATTGATAACGCTTTATGAATCTATTAAGGTAATTTTTACATAGATCTCCGTATGAGATATAAAATAATTTGGATTAATAACCACAGAGAGAGCCTAAGTAGTGTTTTCTTAAGTTACAAATTAACACTTCATAAACGAATATATTATCACAGGAAAAAAATAGTAAATAACAATTAAGAAGATTCTATGTTCGAGATTCATTAAAGTTTTGTCTCCTAAAAATATAAACTTTCACAACAATTACGAATATTCTATTATTATATATTAAAATAGGGAATGTAAAAATGATAGAAAATTAATAATTGAAATTTAAAGCTGTTTTTGAATGATTCCAATCAGGAACATGGTTCATTTGATAAAATATCCCGACTGGTTTAATATAAGTAGAAATATTGCGATGTGTATTAATTACCCAAAAAAATTACTTTTTCAATAAATTGATCCCATTATACCATTTGAAAATTTGTACCTTTCGTAAATTTCTCAATTCAAAGCCACTAACACACTAACACAAATTTGCTGTCAAAATGACTTAATCTGTTCAATCTATTACAAAGTGTAAATATAAAGCAAATATTTTATCCATTAAAAAATTCGTCAATAATATAGAAATTAAAAATTTTCTTTATCTAATTATTTCTAAAATCTAATACAGGGTGAATTAAAGTAACGAAAATTCCACTGCAATTTGCTTTGTAATCATAACTCACCCCGTACAAAATTATCAACACATTAAATTAAACAGATTAATTTGTCAACAGTACTAACATGCAAAAAGTGGTTTTGATCAGACAACAAAAGCAGTTTAACTACAACTTTCCAGTTAATATCTACTTAAATATTTGCAGATCGATTTTTATTTTATAAGGCTTCGCTTAAAACCTACAACTTGATTCTAATTGTGCAATTAATAAAAAGCCTAAATTCAATTTATCAGTTCGATAGCATCTCATAAAGAAGCAAGAGCAGTACATAGACATAAATTCATGCATTTAAATTTAATCGATCTCTACCATAATCTACCGTTAACTTCGGTATCGTCCCTTTGTTCCGTGTGAAATACAACAGTCGCTAAACTAATCGAACACAAACATACAGTAATCATCCCCAACAAAATATACACCGATGTAATTAACCAAAAAGCGAATAAATACAAATTTTTATTACAGTACGCCCCGAGATTCGGGTCGTAGTTCGGTTGATATTCCTTGTACACCCACACAGAACCTACAATGCAAAACATCAAGGTAAATCGTTTAATATCAATTAAAATAAACGCTTACCTATTATGAACCAGCCGAGCATGAAACAATTTAATAAAGTCTGCGTAGGAGATTGTCGAAGATTTTCTTCCTGGCGTTCTTCCTCCGTTTGCCTCACTCTAGTCGATAAATGCAAAAGCTGTTTAACCACACCGAATATACCTTGAAACAATAAAAAATTTTTAAGGAAAATAACATTGAAAATCGCAATTGAGGTTTATTAAGGTGAACTGTACAAGTTCGATGAGCAAAGGAAGGTTGTTTAAGTCGAACGAATTAGATTTTAAAAGTAATAAAATTCGACATTTAAATTTCATTTCTAAGGTTCCCTTATCTCTATAATTAGAATGAAAATATTTACAATCGACAATTTTATTAACAACAAACGATAATTACACTTGTCAATTATGCTTATTACAACTTAATGGTAGATCTATTAAAAACGCCAGACGAAGCAAAATAATTATACATAAAAAAATAAATCGATAACGGACGATTGTAAAATAAATTTTAGTAGAAAAAAATCAATGAATCAGAAGTAAGAAAAACTGAAAATCATGGCCAAATTAGATGAAAACAGATACAAATTTTTGGATTAATATCGAGAATTATAAATGAGAAAGTAATCAAAATTACTTACCTCCTACTAACAAATACACTGGAATATATTCCCCTTGAGGACAGTCATATAAATATATAGAACCCATTACTATCATACAAATCGGAATGACTATGGTAACACCTAAGATGAACGTACAACCCACTGAAAAAATATTCATTAGACAATACAAAAATAACCGTATTAATTCTACATATACTTACAAGTGCCTAAAACAATTATAATAACGTTTTTCAGAAATTCCAGTACTCCTTTACTTCTTTTTTGCGCCTCACGAACTCTCCCGAACAACGAATCGTAAGAGGGTGGTGGAGCTGTGAAAATTGCAATTGAATTAGTACAGAAAATTCGCGTTTTGTGCGTAATATCAACTTTCCCAATGCAAGAAGTTCACTGACCAGTCGTGCAAAATATTTCCAAAACGCTGACACGATTAAGGTTAAAAAAAATTGAAAAACGGTAGAGGAAATTTGAAATTATAATAATTTAATTCGTAGGGGAAAATAGTAAAATACATTACCGTTTGGGTTGATCGCCTCTTCGTAGGACGGTGGAGCCCCTTCTTCAGTTAAAGCACCTGGCATGATTGTTTATTTTGGTGTTTTAAAAAGCACAGATTTATTTCTAGTTTCTTCGAAACCCCCAAGGTAATTAACGATACTTTACGAAGTTTTCATGTTGAATTGTTATAGACGTTAAAATTTCTGCTAAACTTAATTTAATTTTAAAAACTACCAGTCTTTTTGTATGTCTTTTTTAGTCTTGTCTTTGATGTTTGAGGCAAAGCAAAAGTGAAATAAAACATGTCACTGTCACAAACGTCACAAACGTCAAAATCAAATGGCCGATTAGGCACATAAACAGATTATATAAAAAGAAGAAGAACATCAAAATCTCTTCTCGTAGGCCAATTGTAGGGTAGTTCTGTTAACATTTATATAGAAAGAAAGAAGAAATGGAAGGCAGCCATTGTTTTTAATTTTCAATAAAGTTATGTTGTAAAATGGCCGGTGATGTCTTTTATTATAGTTTCAAAAAATACATACCGCAGCAATTAAACAACGTAAGTTAATTATCCGAGAAAATAACACAGATAAATTAATTAATTTTCACTTTTAATTTTAGGTTCGTTTAACCCAGTAAACGGTCCTGTAAAGTAGAAGTTGTGTTCAATTACAGGTATGCTAATTACTTCTATTTTATACTTATTCCAACAGTGGGTATTCCACTGTTATATAAAGCCATTACATGCTTCATTATTCTACATGAAAATCGTTTCGATTTTGTATTAATTTCCACCAACGTTCGGTTCTCTTTGAATTGATTAGTACACTTTCATTTTAAAATCGATATTAAATAAATATGCATTGTAAAACGGTGTAAACGGAAGAAGTTCTTTTGAAACTTGTATTGGATAAATCGAAGTTTTCATGTATTTTTAGTTATTACACTTTGTGATCGTTTACGACTAAAGCCAGTGAAAAGTGGCATGTTTTTCAGGAAGTTTCAGATTTTGTAATTTTGAAAGGAAATTAAAGACTTCTACTATTTCGAAACAACAAACTTAACGTGAATAAAACATTACTTAATTTTCATGATTTGGCTATAGTAACCACCATACATTGGAGTATTTTGTGTTTTTTTATAAACTACGAATACCTAAAATATCTAAATTCTGAACACATTGATGATTTATATTTAATCAATTCCATTATTTTTGTAACTGTTAGATTTAAGTCTTAAGTCTAAGGAATCACACTAAAGAATTGCTTTGCAATTGCAGTAGCAATTAAATGCATATATTAATCAAAGTTACTTCGATATTTACACGATTTATATAACTGATTATACCCAAGTGAAGAGTTTTAAAGTGAAGTGTTTGTGGCTGTGTAATTACTCAAATACCTAACTGTACACACCCCAAGATAAAGGCCAGCTGAGCTCCAGGGAAATGTTCAGTTACTAACAATATTATTTGTAGTTTGGAAATAAAACTGTCTTAATTCGAACACTAGTAGTTCTATAAAGAATGGTTGTTTTATTTAATATTTCCTTCTTTAATAGAATATGTATACTGATTGTGATAGTTTTTATCGATATATTTTAATTTTTAATATATATTTTCGGCGGTTTTGAGTAAAGTTGTGAGAAGTACAAAATGAATATTTTCTTGCAGATAAATAATCTGTGTCTTTGGGCAGCAGATTCCTATGATTTAGCAACACTTCCAGAAAATACCAAGCACAATGGACTGCTGGTTTTATAAACAAAAAAAAGTGGCTCCGCAAAATATTGTCATACGGTTAAATAACAGGCAAATATACTCGTACAGGAAACCCGGCACGCATTTCTATACGGCGAGGCAATTCTATCAGAACGTCTTTCCCAATTACACCGTCATCAACATCGAAAAACCGCCTTGTTTCCTGCGGAAATTCAGCCCCGATGGAAAATATTTCATCGCCTTCTCCGCCGATCAGGCTTGCTTGGAGATCTACTCCTATCGAGGACCAGCCGCCGCCGCCGATTTACTGACGAACTACGAGCAGCGCGACGACGAGCAACGCCGCTTCGACATAAAAAGCAAAATGTTCGATAGATTTTTCAAGTTGAAACATCTCGTGAGCGTCGCCAAAGGCACCGAGCAATTGAACAGGGAATGCAGCCTCTTCAGCGAAGACGGGCGTTATGTTATCATCGGATCCGCCTCGTTTATACCCGAAGAAATCCGTCCGCATTTCTACGAGATCTACACGAACAACGAATCGGTGACGCCGAACTTGCAATCGCCTTTGGAAGATTACACGTTGTATTTGATCGATTTGCATCTCGGTAAATTGTGCGATAAAAGGCAGTTCAAAGTCGATAAGATTTTTCTGTCGCACAACCAAGGATTGTACCTCTACAGAGACACGTTGGCCGTGCTGTCGGTGCAACACCAGTTGATCCACATCTTCCAAATCCTCGACGGGATGTTCGTGGACATCAAGAGAATCGGACGGTTTTGCTACGAGGACGATTCGTTCATTTATAATTCGGTGTATCCTTCAGAGAGGGCGTTCAAAGAAACGTGCATAAACTCGCTCAAACACAGGCTGCTCGCGTTTCTCTACAGGCGAGCGGCCTCGTTGAGCGCCAAAGCGAACAATCCGACGGAATTGCGGAAATTCCACCACTACTTCGGCAACTTCCTGTCGCTCAAAATGTGGAAAATGCAATTACTCGACGACAACACTTTGCTCATAAAATACGCCAGCGAGGATGTAGTAACGCTAAAATCGACCGACGTAAACAGCCAACCGCAATTCTTCGTCGTCTACGACCTGAAATCGAGCAATATAATATCAGTCTACGAGAATTCCTCGAAGGAATTGCTCGATTTGTTCGAGAACTTCGGCGATTTCTTCCGCAACGCCAACATCTACAACGAGACGTCGTTCTCGTCGAGCCCCGCCAATAATTTGTATTCGCGATTGTTGCTCGGAAGGTTCAAGCAGACGATAATCAGCGCCAAGTTCGGCGGCCAGACCGAAGCGAACAAGCGATTGCTGGCGCAATTGCCGATCAGCTCGCAGTCGTACAGCTGCTCGCCGTACTTGGATTTGGGGCTGTTCAGCTACGACGAGAAGTGGATATCGGTGATGGAGCGGCCGAAGGCCTGCGGCGAGCATCCCATCCGGTTCTACGCGAGAGATTCGGGGTTTTTTCGGTTTAAAATATGCGCGGGGAACATCAGATCGGCGACGCCGACGGCGAGACGGCTGGTGGCTTTCACGTTTCATCCCACCGATCCGTTTGCTATATCGGTGCAAAGGGCGAACGCCGAGTATATTGTGAATTTCCATTTGCGCCACGACGGGGATTGTGGCGATGACGATGAAAGGCAGTATTTGTTGAACTTTTTGTAGTTAAAAATGTGGTATTTTTTTAGTGTAATGTATTAAAAGGGATGAAATCGCTAATCGGTGTTTATTCGTAGGGATGCAGTGCGGATTGCATACACAGTGCAAATTTGTATACAATATGGTCTGTGGGTGTAACAAAGACAATTTCCATCTCTTGTATAAAGGAAAAAGAGTGATAGGTATTGGTATTGTGGGAGGATTGCAACTGTATCAATCTAACCACTGTAATTTTAATAATCTTTCTTTGTTCAACTCATAGAATTGACCATATTGTACACAAATTTGCACTTAGGTACAGTTGTATTAAAAAAAAAAGGGTACAAGTAATAGAAAAATACATTAAAGTCATCTTATTTGTGTAAAACCGGCTGGGATTATTGAAGCTTATCAAATGTCAAAAGTTGTCAAATGTAAATAATTTAAGTATCATTTTTTTCAACATATGACATTTGATGATCTAAAATAATTCTAGCCGGTTTTACGCAAATAGGCTGACGTTAATGTCTCTTTCTATTACTTGTACCCTTTTTTTTAATACAACTGTACCTACCTACTCATTTATGCAAAGAAAATAAAAGTTTACGAGAGAGTAGAAAACAGAAAGCTCCTTCGATAAGGATTATTTTATTTTTAAACCTGTTACCTTTAAATTCGCAGGAATTTGTTGTGATAAATAAAGCGGACGAACCCCCGAAATTGTATATTGCATTTTAATCTAAAGTTTATTCGTTTCTATCGGTTTCTAATAGCAGTTTCGGAATATTTTAGTTTCCGATAAATAGGCGATAATGCGCCATAAGAGAAACAGGTTATTTTTCCCATCGCATTAAATCGAATGTCGCGCAATTTCCAATAATCTAATGTACCCGGTGGTTACTGCAGCTCCATTCCGAAACGCGACATATACTCGAATAAACCGATTCTTTTTAATACTAATTTTTATTATAAATTACATTCTACTATTATTACAAACTAAAACCAAACAAAATGATTCGTCTTCGAATTGATACAATTGCTATTTCAGTCTACAAAGTTTAAACAAAAAAATCGATATAAAGAGGATACTGCTACGTTAAAACGTGCCGCCAAGTAAGTCGAACAATCTTTTTACTTTAGCGAGTTGTAATCGAAAAAAAATAATGTAATTTTAGGATGTCTTGGCCGACTTGGTCTACCGCCGGAGCGCCCATTCCTGCGCCTTTAGCCGCCCCCGTACAATCCACCTTGTTGCCGGTGAATTCCGCCCCCGCCGTCATGGCGCCGCTGGGCAGCTACAGCCAGGAGCAATGGGCCCAAGTGCAACAGCAAAACTGGCAACAATGGGCCCAGTGGCAGCAGCAGTACCAACAATGGCACCAGCAATACGGAGCAGAGGTACATCCATCTTAAACCTACCGAATTTTCGGGTTAATTAGGATTATTTCAGTACCAAAAGTCGTTGAGCGCCTTGCAAAGCAACATCCCGAACGTAGGTGGAGTACAACCGCCTCTACCCACGCCTCTATCCGCATCGATGGTACCTCCTCTGCCGGTGGTGGAGACTAACAATAAACCTCCGTTACCACCAGACGAGCCGCCTCACCATCTAAACTTCTCGAGCCAAGCGAACGTGCACCAAATGGGCTACAGCACGGCGCCTCTGCTGGCCCAGCATTCCGTGCCGCCTCCGCAGGTGGTCCAAAGCGCCGTGCACCATCAGAATTGGCAGAGCGCCGCCCAGAAGAGACCCTCGGCGCAAGACTCGGGCGGCGAGAAGCCTAAACGTTTGATGCTCGAGAAAACCTCGAGCCAATGGACCCAACCGAAGCAGCCGTGGGAGAACAATTCGAGCTACAACCAACCGCCTCCGCTGGTCCCCGCCAAAGCGGCGGCGAACGTCGAGGAGCTGTCGGAGGCGGAGAAGAAGTTCGACAAGGAGTTCGCGGCGTGGGAGGCGCAGTTCAACAAGTGGAAGGAGCAGAACGCCAACCATCCCGATAAAATTCAGTATAAGGAGTACGAGAAGAAGTGGGAGTCGTGGAGGAATTCGCTGCTGGAGCGCAGGGAGCAGATGAGACGGAGGCGGCTCGGTTTGGTCGGGCAGAAATCGCCGAATACTTCGACTGTAACTGCGGTAAATTCGACGGGGAAGTCTTCGTTGTTGGGGCAATATCCGGGATCGGTTCAAGCGAGTCAATCCGGTGAATTCGGTAAAATTACCAACGAATCGGTGGTGTTTAAAACGGACGAAGACGCGAATCCCGGCGAGAGTTTCCTAAAGTCGTCGTCTACGGGTGGAATCCCGGGACTGGATTTGGTTAAAGAGGGCACGAACGACGAGAATCTACCCGATCGATCGGTGGAAACGAAAAGCGAGAAAAATCCGACGGAACAATCGCACAAAGGGCCCGACTTCGACGCCATCTCCAAAGGCATCAATTCGATACTCGGCGATCGGAAGTTGCTCAGCATGCTGTCGTTGGTGACGCAGAACGCGTCGTATCCTTCGGCGAATTCCGTGCCGAATTTCTCCGTGCCTCCGCCCAATTTGCATCAGCTACCGCCCAGATCGGAACCTTCGAACGAGCCGCCTATTAAGGATTATCCCCGGCAAAATTATCGCGATGCCAAGGGCGAGAATTTCTACGATTCGCACGACTTCAATCGCGCTAACAACAATTTCAAACGCGAGGAATTGCCGCGCCCGAACGATAATTTCGATCGACGAGCCGGATTCGACGGGGATCAATTCGACAAGAACAATTTCCAAGGCGACGGGGATTACGATGGGGACGACTACGGGGGTAACGAGGCGTTCGCGGGCGATTTCGGGAACAGAAAGCCGGAGTACGAGCAGCCCTACGACGATTTCGACGGCTACAACGAACAGGAGGAGGACTACGATCGGTACAACGATATGTTCAACGAGAAAGAGGACCAGTATCGACCGGCGAACGTCCAACAACAGCGGAAAATTCCATCGTTGATGGACCAAATAGCCCCAGCTCCGCCGCACATTACCCAAACCGAGGAGCCCGACGAGCCCCTCTTCGAACCTACCACCGTCATCGACTACGGGCACAAATCGAAAAAGAAAAGTAAGTAAAACGCTCAATTTGCGTGAAAATTGTGTTTTGTCGCCATTTTTGCGAAAAGTGGGACTTTAAGATGCGTTCGATGATACTTTTCGAAAAGTGGGACTTTAAGATGCGTTCGATGATACTTTTGTCAAAATTGACGTCACTGACAGACATTTAATAGAGGTGTGGAACCGATTTTTTGTATAGAGGTGCAGTAACGACTGTTCCAAAATAACCGTTATTTTTTCACGAATCGTTCTCCACCGTGTGTTTTCGTCGATTCCGTCGTTTTATTCATTTACTACCCGATTTTTTTTTAGGCGTTAACGAAGTCTTCGTAGTACCATTGAACATGTTCGATTACAACCACAAACCGCTGAACCGAGTGCCGCTACATCACAGGCCGAAATGGCTGAAGGAAGCCACGAAATTTATCAGAGAATTCGATCCGGCGGCCGTTCGATACGAAAGGATCCCGCCCCCGGCGCCTCTGGAAGACCGCTATTCCCGGCTCGACGAGAGACCGTACGAAAGAGGCATCCGGGACGAGCTGTACTATAACCGAAGGGCCGACAAATCGAGGCCGGACTTTGGGGATTCGCATTTCCACAGGAGAGAGGAGAAGAAGGACAAATTCAAGGAGGTGTACGCGGAGAAGCGCCACAGCGATAACCACAAAACCGATCCCGTGGTGACTTTTAATAAGGACGATTTCGAGGATTTCTCCGATACCGAGATGGACTTTGAGCACAACGAACAAGCGAGGCATCATTACGACGGCGACGCGACCAGGAGCAAAAGCAAAAGCCCAGAATTGAGCAATCCGCCGAATCCTTCGAATCATCCGGTGGATACCACTACGATAGAGGAGATATTGAATCCTCCGGGGAGGTACAATCGACCGCCGAGGATCGTGATTATTTTGAGGGGCCCGCCGGGTAGCGGAAAAACGTTCCTCGCCAAGCAGATCAAAGATAAGGAAGTGCGTATTTTTCGTTTTAAATTTTATATATATTTTTTTATTTTTTTGGTGTCTTTTTGTAGGTGGAAAACGGCGGTTCGGCGCCGAGAATTCTATCGTTAGACGATTATTTTCTGGTCGAACAGGAGAAGAAAATCGTAGAAGACGGCAAAGCGCAAATCGTAAAGGAAATGGTCTACGAGTACGAAGCCGACATGGAGGAATCCTACAGAATGTCCTTCATGAAATCCTTCAAAAAAACGATAACGGACGGTTACTTTCCCTTCATCATCGTCGACAACGTCAACGATAAAGTCAAACATTTCGGGGAAATGTGGAGTTTCGCCAAACAAAACGGATTTCAAGTGAGTATTACGATTAGAAATCTACCGTAAATTAACGTCAAAATTGATCGAAATTGACATTAATGACAGTATAGTTGACAGAAGTGTAATAGAGGTGGGAATCGATTTTTCGGTATAGAGGTGCAGTAACGACCGTTACAAAATAACCGTTATTTTTTCACTCTTAGTTTCTATTAAAATTCCATTATTCCAGGTGTACTTGTGTCAAATGGACTTGGATCCGGTGCAGTGCGCGAAACGCAACATACACAATCGAACCGAGGGCGAGATCGAAGAGATAATATCGAATTGGGAGCCGACGCCGTCGCATCATCCGACGATAGACGCGTCGGGTTTGTTGCAAACGTTCAACGCCATCGCCGACGTGGAAATGGAAATAGTGGAACAATCGCAGGATGTTCTTAACGAACCGTCCGATCCAGAGGTAAACATGCGAAACGACGATCTGGTTTAATGTTGATTTGATTTTGTAGGTGCACAGTGTAATGGCTCTCTCTCGTTTTCTAAACGCCGGTAGATTGGTTGATCAATTATTTATATATTTGTTTGTTTGAATATATGTTTAGTTTCGATGGAAGGATTTTATGATGCGTGTTAGGCTGTTGAGAAACATCACGGATGGTAAAAGCGTTTAATCTTTTGGATTTTATCGTTATCGCGAAATCGTTTCGTTATAAATTTGATCAACTGGTTATATCAGGCAGAAAGTACGGATGGATGTTAATGTGATTTTTTTTTCTGACAGCGCTGACAATCTGTCAAAAAAATTTTTATTCTTTTTAATAATCGTATTTCTAACCATTACATTAAAAATTGAGTATCCTCTTAGGACCAAGTAAGAAGCAAATGGGACAATTTCGACTGTTCTAGTAATAATCTTGGTAAGTTTAAAATATTGATCATCTTTTTCTGTATTGAGACTTTTGCTCTATACCGTTCGACGTTATTTGTGCAATTATTTAAATCATATAGAGCGTACGGGATATAATGTTGTCTTCATAGAAAATATTGCATTAATAGGTACTTGTAACAGTTATGAGTTTTCGGGTACGTTCGATTAAAAATTTACCTTTAAATTTTTGAATTTAAATTTTGATTATACTCATCCGACGCAGGTAAGTCGTTTTATTTTAATACCTATAAGGTTTTCTGTTTATTTCAAATAATCAGTGTTAAACAATCAAATTGCCATTAAAATACCACTGTTTGTATACAATTAACAAGCTACTTGGTTTGTTAATATTATTCTTCTTCGATTATTATTTGACTTTTGTATTGTACTGCGGCAGTTACAAATACATTTTTACTTACTTTTTTAAATTAAATACACAATTACAACTATATTTCATCGGTATTCGATCGGTTCGAACGATCTTACGCGCTAGCAAGTGTTCAAAACAATAATACAAAACTATTCATCAGTTCCAGCTGAACCAATACAACTGTGAATAAAATTGACAAATATAATACAAAAAGTTCTCAATAAAATTCCGGTTTATCCAAAGAAATTTACCTACTTTCTCCCATCCATTTTCCCGATTTTTATGTAACAATAAAGGTATTAACATTTAGCGGGCGTACCAATTGGTATTCTAAAGCCCCATTTCTCGTTCGTATCGTTTCTTCAATGTATTTTATTATCATTTTCTGTTTCAGCCAAACTCGATGGAGTCAGTAAGCCCCTCAGAAAATCACGAACCATGGAGGAGTACCTTCAGTTGGAAAAAGAATGGGAACCCCCAAAATCAAGCACACCGGGGAAGAAGAGGGTGAGATTAATTCCTATTATTTTTGTAATAGTTTTTAAATTTGAGCGTAATTTTTGTAGGTCCGGTGGGCCGATTTGGAGGAACAGAGACACCTGGAAAAGATGAGAGCCATCGGATTCGTCGTTGGACAAACTGATTGGGACAGAATGATGGATCCCACTGGCGGGAGAAGTGCTTTAACTCAAACTAAGTATATCGAAAATGTTTCGAGATACAGACATATTTAATTTCCTTTATTCGCATGGATTTTGTTCGGTTGAATTGTATAATTAAGCTGTACATGTTTAATTTATCTGCGTTTATTTAGAAGTAAATTTCTTATCATTTTTTTATTTTATTTTCGTAAGAACTTCTGCATTTCCATTTTCTAATATCTACACATATTTTGAAGTTTCAGCCTTGTTTCCTTGATAATTAAAACAAGTTTTATGTTCAACTCTTTCTTAAATATTATACATGTTTACAACTAAACTTATTTCTTCTCTTCGTTTTTATTTTTATCTAATAAAACGCTACGAATTCCGGCTTTTTCTAGTTCCTCGATTAAATCGCCGGATTGGTGCATTTGTAGCATTATATCACAACCGCCAACAAACTCGCCGTTTATGTAAATTTGGGGTATGGTGGGCCAATTTGAAAAATCTTTTACGGCTGCAAAACAAATCGTAATGGCATTGAAATGTCTGAAATAATTAAACCACTTACCTTGTCTCAGAGAATTATCCGCCAAGACATTGTGAGAATCGTAAGTAACACCGTGCATTCTTAATATTTGAACTACGGCATTGCTGAAGCCGCACTGAGGTTGCTCCGGAACACCTTTCATGAACACTACAACTTTGTTATTCTTCACCAGTTTTTCGATTTCCTCTTTGGATTTCGTGCTGCAATATCTGTAAATTATATTGGGCTTTAAGATACTATTCCGAAGAAAATTCATGTTATTTTTGAATATAAAAATTATGATAGATTTATAGGTTAAGTAATATTATGACACTGTTGACATCTTATGGCACAGAACAATAAATATAAAAATTCAACTTTTGTTATTCACTAAATAAACATATATTTTCAAATCACTTTTGCAAATTTATTGATTATCACCGGTTTTAGTCATAGACAAAATATAAGACATCTTTCTTTCTCTATGGTTTTAGTAACATTTTTATTCGAATTCTAATGATTTAATTATGAACGCACCTCCGAATGTGTCATTTTCGTTTCTGTCATCGTTTTACGTTCTGTGCTATGACATTTGAAATTTGACTTTGAGGTTTAATAATGCATGTATTGATTAAATATTAAATACCCATTTGTAAACAAAACTTTTAATTTAGTATTTTCGTAAATAAATCACAAATTCACTCCTCTTATCAGAAACTTAAAGTTCAATACTTCCATTTACGCTTTTCTTAGCGACATTGATTCACGATTTCACAACAGCACGTTAATTTAATAAACAAAAATTTATTGCGAGTATGGTAAGTTTTCTGACCCTAGCGTTCGTATAATACTTAAGATAAAGGTTTTCAGTCCGCCAATTTTAAAAAGACAGTCATTCCAACAGCCAGGAAAAAATCAGGCCCCAAATTCGACCTCAACGACGAACAGAAAAACGACATCAAAGAAGCCTTCGATCTCTTCGACAACGAAGGATCCGGCAAAATCGACACCAAAGACTTGAAAGTAGCCATTAGAGCGTTAGGATTCGAACCCAAGAAAGAGGAGATAAAAAAGATGATAGCCGATATCGATAAAGATGGCACGGGGCAAATATCGTACGAGGATTTCATGCAGCTCATGTCTGTAAAAATGGCCGAAAAAGATTCCAAAGAAGAAATAATGAAAGCCTTTAGACTGTTCGATGATGACGAAACAGGAAAAATCAGTTTCAAAAATTTAAAGCGCGTCGCGAAGGAGCTCGGAGAAAATTTAACAGATGAAGAATTACAAGAAATGATCGACGAGGCCGATAGGGACGGAGATGGGGAAATTAACCAGGAAGAATTTCTTAGAGTTATGAAGAAAACCAGTTTATATTAAACTCATTCTCGAATGCTAAGGATACATGCTCGAAAACATATTGATATATCAAACTAGCACTTTTAAATATATTACTTGTATAATTATTAAGAAATAACTATATTTATTTAATGACATCTTTTTTACAAAATGTTAATTGTTACTCGATAATTTTGGGCCTTTTTTATTCAGTTTTACAGTGATATTCATAAAATGAAATTGTATCAAATTATATAGAAAACAAAACTTTTAATTATGTTTTTTAAAGACTTAAAAGGCTTTAAATTATTGACTAAAACTAATATATTATGAAAATAAAAATGCCATCGTTCAAATGCAGTAAGACTGACAGAAAAATAGATTTTTTTTTAAATTTCGGGAATACCTCCTCTACTAAAAGAACACCCTTCGATCGATAAAACACATTCCACACTGTTTCGAGGGTGCTTCAATTTCCGATGTTGCCAGATTGTATTCAAAGTCACAGACATTAACTTCCTGATTTATTTTAAAGGGCAAACAAAAATTCAACTACAGCAACAATTGAGTTTATTATTATTATTTATTGATTTGTTTTTACAGCACTGAAAAGTTGTATCAGTATATTAAACGATTTCTATTAAAGTAATTCATATTTCACAAATCTTACGAAAAGGGGAATAATTAATCGTGGCAATCGTGTAAGAAATTTGACAGTATGTGGAGTAGAGTTAGAAATGTCAATGTGAAGTTATATTAACATGTGGTAAGTTTAGGTTAATTGTATAAAATTAATTCAATAATTTATTTTTAATTTGTAAATCAAACTTGTTTATGAGAGCACTGCTAACAATTGAAACAAATTATTGCAAATAAATATACCCTTAAAACGAGCACCAATTACCTTTGATTACATATCATCAACATAAAACAATTGATCATGTTTATGTCACATTCAATTACCAGAATTCTAATTGTTTAATATCATTTTAATTATACATTATTCTAAGGATGGCTCGTTATATCTAATTACAAATAGTTATTACAATTTCGCCAAACTGATAATTAGAAACAATCAATCTCCGCAAAATATCGATTTGAAAATTCGTTTTAAATCGAAACTGACAAGGAAATTTGTGTCCTAGAAGTGTCGTGGAGGAATCATCACACTTAAACGTGCCTACTTGATGTATAAAAATAGTTGCAATCGAATTAATAAACGCAAATTACAAGTGTTAAATTAGCGGTTAAATAAATCCCATTTTCATTTCTCCTAAGTACCTACACCGACAATTTGATGGAAGCTCTCGGGAAACTTGGAATTTATAATTAATAACCCAAGTGGTTGTAGTGCCAATTTGTTGTAATTTTATTAACGATTTGCGTTGTTAAAATCGAAAATTTGCTTGAATTAACAAAAATAGCGATAATTACACTTGCACAAATGAACTTTAAGAGATTACCTAAACATATCATATCCGTATTTTCTTTTATTAATTTCGAATAAAACTTTGGACTATTTCCAGTAAATTCGAGCGTCTGCTACTGGATCTGATAACGCTTACTACGAATACATGTAGCGTGCATAATAAAACCTCTATTCTTGTTTTTGAGATAATCGAAATGTGTATTAAGAGAGGATAGAGCGCATTTATTCGCACTTGGCAGGCTAATAATAAAAATGCGGCGCTTTAACGACGACCGCGTTAGTTTCAGTTCAATTGGACGTGGGTAACGTTCGGTCTTTACCGCTCTATCTCTGCGAATTACATCGTTTTCTATTCGAAATATCAGTAATGATACGGGGATTTCGCGATTAAAAAGTGTCGATGAGCAGTCGAATTTTTGAGAAATATTCTCTTGCCTAGCGAATCCTTGGTGAGTTTTGTACGTTCTTTTACAATTTTCGAAATTTTTGATTTTTTTTATTTGGTGCAATGTTAGATAATAAACTTTACTGTGCAGTGTAGATTTTTTTTGGAAATTTCATATTTTTATTATAGTAATTATTTCTGTTATGATAGCGTGGTTTTTGAATCGGGTTTGTTTGTATTTTGGGTGCTCCAGTTTAAAAATTAGACATGTTGTTAGACTCAAAAAGCCGGCTACTCTGCTTGTTATTTCTGTGTTTATCTACAAATTTTAATTGTATGTTTATAAATTTTTGTGCAGTAGAATTCCAGATGTTCCTTTAGTGTTTTAAATTAAACGTTTTTTAATACTAATATTTTTATCGATATTCTTCCTGTTACTAATTTTATTTACCAATCTCCACAATATTATTTCTATATAATATTTCGTTTTTAACCAAGGGAAACAACGCATAAGCAAAGTAAACGTAATTTAATACTGATACTCCGACCATATATTATCAAGTAAAGTAAAATAGCTGATAAGAATATGGAAAATATAATCATTTCTATAGGCTTTTATTTAACTTAATTATCCACGTGAAATCGGTTTTTTTATAGGTAAATTGAAATAACCCCCTAATGACATTCAGTATAATCACGTTACAAATTATGCACAGTTTTCAACAACTTTTCCAACTCTCATCAAAACAGTAGACTATAATTCTAATTAATTGATATAATGCAAACGTCTGATTTAATTATAAATTATTTTTAATTCAGATTTCATGTAGATTATCTTTATAGACATCAGAAATTGTCAGGTAGATAGATATAAATATAATAATTAAGAAATATGATTGCTATCTTTTATAATAACGAAATATTTGTTGTAAAAAAACTTGTGTTAATTAGTTTAAAAAAAATTAAACTATTCACTTGTTGAGTGATTTAATAAAATATTATAAAGTTGCAACATTAAAGCGTGTCATATTAAAAATATTAATTTGTTTTCCTCTTATGCAAATTTCTCTGTAAAATTGTAACACTATTATCTAATTTTTAGGATTATTAACTGGTAGATACTATAAAAAAATAGTAATTTTGAATAATTTTTGTGTTAGACACATTTTGCTCCAGTAAGTACAGCATTTCCGAATAATAAACAAATAAATTATAAGATACTTATTACCATTATATTATTGATTAAGTGTATAGTAAATAATCCATTATCTCGAAAAAAAAAAACTAAACAAAAATGCAATAAAATCTCAAAACTCGTAAATTTTTGAGCAAATGATTTTTCACTTTTCAATTCATTACGAAACATGTAAATTTTATTTATTTATTACCATTTATGAATTTTAGCTTTCTGTTGAGTAATCTTGTTTGATGAAATCGTAATTACTGACAATGAGTTCAATTTACCAGCCATTATCGTCCAATAACAGTTCGTTACTTCGTTCATTTATCATTTATCTTTAGGTCTTTCCATCCGATTACAATTTTCATTAGCGGGCGTACGTAAATTTTCTTGTTTGTACTATTCAGCTACAATAAAATCTATAAAAAGATTTAATAATCGTGTTTATAGTAGAATTATTGACCTTTGCTAGGAAGTAAACCGTAGTTTACTTAGAATTGTAAATATCGTTGCTTTTTATTTGCCCATCGGAATATTCTCGCTTTTAGCGATTTCGAATTAGTATAAGGTAAGTATACAAATAAAGTGTTCACAAATTATTTGCAGAATTGCCTAATTAAAGGCGATAAAAGTATTTTGATGTGGAATCGCCCGAGTCCTTGTTTTTGTTAGTTTCCGATATTTTTTAGAAAGTTTTATCGTAATTACTGTCCCATTAAAAGCTTTTTAGCACGTAAAGCTCCGGCGATGATTTTTACTCACAACAACATATATTTTGTAATTTTTTAAATCAATTATCAACTTTTATTTTTATACTGGATTTTGTTGTTTTTTTATATTACCAATTCATTATACAAAAATTAAATTTTTAATGAATTGTCATTATAAACATATAAAAAAGTAGTTGATAGAAAATTTTTATGAAACTTGTGGAAAAAATTGAATTGCTAAATGCAATACAAAACATTTTATACGTTACATTAAAAATTATCAGAACAACAAAGACTCATTAAATAATGGCGTAATTTAGGTACAAATGTGAAGATACTAATGTTGCAATTTTGCCTATTAATTCTAAATACCTACCGAATGCAAACAAATAAATTGGGAATTTGGAATTTAGGGAAAAAAAAAACGTAGCTAATACTAATAATTCAAAAAATTGATCATATCTGTATAAAAAACCACGATTTTTGATATTACTTGATGGCCTTAAAATTCCACTGATATATATATATATATATATATTGTTTTTTTGTTCAATTAGGTAATCTTAAAACCCGATTCATTTTTTGTTTTGATTTTTAATCCATCAATATTTCTTATGAATTAATTACTAATAATTCTATAAGTTAGAATTTATCTTCGATTATATTTATAGATTTTTACTCTAATATTCCTGACGATCTATTATTTTTTATATCCCTTTGTATTGAATCAAAGGAACAAATAACATTATAAAATGTATTAAATTTACTAGTACCTATTTCATTTGCAAGCTATAAACTTGTAGATTTCCTATTTTTTAGTACTCCTTAATTATACATCAGCAATTTTATTTGTTATGTATTTATAATTCCAGTCATGGTTTAATTGATATTTTCTGGTTACTAATCCATGAAAATCGAATGAATTCGTTACAAAACAAGGACGCATTTAAGTAATTACAACATACATATAAGGAAAATTTATCACCCGAGTCGTGCGACAAAAATATTTTGTTATAATAAATTTCCCGCCAGCTGATAGTTTCAGTAGTAAAAAATTAATAGAGACGATATTTTAAAATAATAGTTAACTAACAGTGTTCTTTCGACTTCACCTTGTATTTTATTAGAATTACCTACACATGTAAGGTTTCTGATAACATTAATTTATTTACCGATGTTTCACTTGTTGCTTTATATACTAGATTTATTTCTATAACGCTTTTAATTATGAAGAACGACCCGTTTTCTTCTAAAAAAATCGTGCATGTCATTCTCTTATCTATATAAATCAATGTCCAAACATTTAAATTAAAAATAAACGCAAATTTATTGGTTGTTAATAAGAATGTACATAACATATTTTATGCTCATTGGAATTGTAAACATAATGCATTCTAAACTATGGAATTGAAATATAAAATTGATATGATTACTATTAACAGGTTGATTATTCAATGGAAAACTAACCAGATAAAGATATTAGAAAAATCTTGATTTATAAATATCGTATCGTAACAGTAGAGATTAACAGAAATGATTGAATACTCGAAACTCACTTTGAAATGCCAGTAAAACGAGATAAGTATAACGATTTTTTGTCAATTTTTAAAACATATTTGTCGTTTTTCTACTAGAAGATTTACAATGGAATAATTGAGATGCAATTTTTGCTCATTGTCTGCCCTTAACAATTTTCCAATTAATTCCAGAAACCCTGAAAAATGGCGAAAGAGGATAAACGAAACAACCCTTTAACGTGTTGTCAACACAACGATTCCCTTTCATCAGTGACCAGCACCAACGAGGCCAATATGTCCGATTTCGAGAACATTAACATGAAGCACTTCGATAACAACAACACCAGATTCGAAGCCATTTTAGAGCACAAATCTAACGTGTTTACCAAGAAACAAGCGGTGGACATCTCCTTCGAGAACATCTCCTTCTCGGCGTACTCTTGGAAATTGTCCAAATTCAAGAGAGGTAAGATAACCTTTAGAGCTTATAAAATAGATTCTAATTCTCCAGGGTTTTTTTTGAAAACATGTTTTCAATCACATTGCCTTAGAGAAATTGTTAGATGTTATAACTATAAACTTACTCACCTTAACAGCGAAATATCGAAAACAATGTCGAGAACATATTTGTCGAAATGGAAAAAAAAATTGCAGAGTTTTATTGGTTTATTGAGCTCGCATATGCGATATTTATCCTTGTAATAATAAATAAAAATCATGTTGGATTTTTATATTTGCTTATTGTCGATGTTTGTTCGTACATGACATACGGTAGTGTCAATGTTAAAGGGAAATTGGGTCTCGAGGTGACCCAAATTGCTGATGGAGTTTTACCGAGAAAACGATAAAATCGTTATCAATTCAGCTGCTCTAGGTCAGTTCAAGGCACCTCATCCCAGCCTCCATTAATTCGTAAAATCACTAAATAGTTTCCTAACATTAATCGATATAAAAGTACAAAGAGTAAACACAAAAATGAGATGTATACAAGTGGCTTAACATACTAAGGGAAGCTCGAAAACATCTTTGTTTGATGCTAGAACTTTCTACTTTGTAATAAGTGCTAAATAATAATTCTTCAACGGTAATTGTAGTATTGTTGTGCCTACGCACAAGAGCACAGGAAGGTTATTGCGGTGTAACCATAACCCATATAACATCCCATAAGTGAACGTCCAAACGAAACTATTTTTCGATTACCTAATTGTTGCAAAATATTCGTAGAGACACACTTACACTTAATATAAATAAAAAGCACCAAGGCTTTGTAGATAGTGTGTACAATTACGCACATTGTTTGTCTCGCGTGGAAATAAAATAATTTTCTCTTATCTAGAAACTGTCAATAATGGTCGAGTCCGTTAGTGTAAATAGCTTCATTCGCCGAAACGCCCGGAAATTTTCCCTAATTTATACCTGTTTTTCGATTAATTACTAGCGAAATTAACCGGCCCTCGTTTAATGTAACTGTAATCGATCGTGTCATAGATACTTTTCGTTGCCATAAAGAAGAAAATTCCCGAAGCGGCCTTGCATAGAGGACGCGAATTTATACAAGCTTCTTCAAAAGAATTTGTCATTATAAAACGATTTCTAAGAGGCTAGAAGAATCTGCTTGGAAATTTTATGATAATTAGATTAATGTTGCATCATCCAATGCACTAAATGTTATCATTTTTGCAACGCAATAACCAATATCACAATTATTTTTCTAACTTCTAAAAATTGATAAAACTGTAGATTTAACAATCACTCTATAATTGGTATATTTCGTACCAGAAAGTAGAGTAATGAGTAATTTCACTTGACGTTTTTTGTTGATGCCCGTTCCTCAATCTCCGTGTATTTATCGAGTGCATATTCGTGTGTGGATTCTTTTAACCCAGACACTGAGAAAGAGAAAGCCAACTTGAACTTTCTTTTCAGCGCGCTGTTTATATTTAAGCGAATTGCGCGGTGTAATTTCGCAATATCGGCGAGAGTATCGTTTTCTTTCGAAGAGTCCCCGGTCGTTAAACTTGATATTGATATTTAAATTTGGCATTGGCATAGAAAGAACGGCGACGGGAAGTGGAATTGGTAAACAGTCCACTCCGGATTAATTCATCTGGAAATTTTCAAAGGTTCTAATAATTATTAGAGCGTAACGAAATTCGCGTTGATCGAAAAGTAATTCTTGATTTCTCGAAATTCATTATTGAGTCATAGTATTTTTTTATTTTGTGTACTTAGTTTTTGTGAAAGCTCGAAAGCTTGTGTGTTTGTTCAATTTATTTAAAGCACACCTTGAAAACAAACGCACGCATAGCGAATTTGAATTTACAATAAATTGCCTAATAAGGAGCAGCAGGAAGTAAAATTTCCACAGCAATAATAAATCATTCTTTGCATTACCAATTTTATTGCTCATTTCCTTTTCTAATTTTTTTACTGCTTCACCATTTTTATAAGACGAACTTTCAATTGCGCGATTATTTTGAGTACAAATTTGTTTTTTATTATCCGTAAAATTACACGGTATTTTGAATGTTTATTTAACATGTCTTATCGTTTAATTGAATTTTATTGCGTTAGCTTGGATTACAGGATAGGTCGAAAGTAGTAATTAAACTTTAATTAAAGCGAATTTAATTAGTTTTTTTATAATCTGCAAAATGCGTGTTTTTAGATTTTTTTTTCTGTTCCGGTCAGCAGACCGGCTGATAACGATGAGTAATACAGTGGAATTAATTCGCTGTAATGAACATTCATTATTTTGTTATTAAAAAGTACCATAATTCAAAAGATATTTGTGGGAATTGTCATATATGGTTATTAGAAAAGTATAATTTGCAATAATCGACTTCTAGCAATTGGTCGTAATTGGCACATAAAATAATAAATAATTGCACCAGCGGTTTCTCAAGTTTGATTTATTTCGAAATCCAACCGGGAGAAAATCCGCTCATATTTGGCAATTTGCGTTTGATATTGTGTAAAAATTAATATCGTGACTACAATTGAATCGGACCTCGAATAATTCAATCGCTTAATTGTCACCGATGTGTCCTCATTTCGACAATTAAACTGGCAATTGCCTTTTGTAAATACACAAACTTTTTATAATTTTCGCAAAAATGCTCCATCTATTCGAATAGATTTCGAAGTCATTTTTTTTGAGATTTCATAAGCCTATTCAATGGAGATAGGCGCGCAAATGTGCATGTGTATTCCAAGGACGTGCGATAAAATCGTTTATTTCTCATTTCGATCGCAATACAAAAGTGAAACTAGCCCAACGAATGCGTTTGTATATTCCTCCAGGCGGACATTAGGATGCTAAATATGGATGTATTCGCTCGAAAAAATGGGAATAATTATATTCGACTTCTTTGGCGATGTACTTGACTCTCTAATTTCTATTATTTGCTAAAAATATATAGTTAGCTGGGTACTTGTCTCCTAAAAATATTGCGACATCCTGTATATGAAAGTACTATTAAATAGTTATAAATATTCAATTTTTTGGGATTAAATTTCTAATTTTGTATAGAATTTTGTATAGACAAACTCTACTCGTGTTTGCAGGTATAAACCAATCTGGAAAATTAAATGTTTAAATTCTTTAAGAATTAGGTATTAAAGTTCAAAATGTTGTTAAGATTAATTAATTTCACGTGGCAATAATGGAATTGCCGATTAAATTAATGAACATTATTTCAATTGGAATAACGAGTCGCCTGCAATTAAATGTATCAACGTTCAACAACTGAAAAAAATAAATAAAAACGGTTTTCAGCGTTTATCGAATTAAAATTGTCGTGATTATGTAAGTATATTTGTCAAACGGAATTATGTAAATATAATTAGTTGCATTATTCCACGAATTGTTGGTACAAAAGAAAATGATGTTGAATTATCTTAATAGCAGTAAATGGCTCTCTGGTGAGGAGCATTCAATTTGTTGGTAAGATATCCATTACATTGAAAACATCTTAACCTTGCTCAATTCGAGGTCTTCTAACATAATTGAATTGAAATTTATAAAGTGAAGTTAAAGATGCACTAATATTACCTTCGCGTAAATTTGCTAAAAAATTATGTATTATTACAATCACCTTTGGTTATTTTTTTCAATCCACATAAAAAGTTACTGGTTGCAATAATTGCATTGAATTCGGTTTTTTTTTTTTTCATTAAAATATCGCAATTAATTCTTGCATTAAAATATTTCAAGGTACGCCTACCTGGATATTTTCGCAATAAAAAAAATTATTACTTTTATCTGGGATGAAACATCAATCAAATTCAAATTAATAACTCTTATTTTGGAATCAAGATTAATCTCAAACGAAATTAATTCTTGTGTAATAGATCATTTTATGCGTAAAATTAAGTTCTTAAATTGCTCAATATCTGTAAATTATGTTGTTCTATTACAGAACAGAAAAAAATTCTACACGAAGTATCCGGAAAATTCAAATCCGGGGAGTTATCTGTTATAATGGGCCCTTCCGGAGCTGGAAAGAGTACTTTGCTGAACATCCTAGCAGGATTTATGTAAGTATTTATTTTTAAAATTAACAGATATTCGCGACATTTTAATTTGGTAATAATTAAGTACCTTATAATTAGTTATAATTGCGTTCGTTGTTTCACTTAAACGTGTTTCTTAAAACGATCAAGTCGAGGTAATAAATTAGTAATGTGGTGTAAATAATTTTCTTTAATTTCGAAAATTTTAGTGGAAAAATTCGCGCGAGTATTGCAAGATTTCTATTCATAAGAACTTCTTATTTAATATTTATTCCAACGAAAAAACTTATTTATAAATTTAATATTTTGATATTTGCAATGTTCCTTATTTACGATTCTGATAAAAAAAAGTTGAACGATCTTTTGAGCGAGTCTTTCTAGAAAAAAAGGGGATCTTTTTAGAAATTATTTAATGTTATATATTATTTCTTACTATTTTAGTATTCTATCAGTAGATTGCTCAAAAATTGTGTTATACAAAGATGCATTCTAGATTTCAATGAACATATTCTCCCTTCCTTTCGAATCTTAATTATGTAGTTATACTAATAATTCGAAGAGTTGCATGGAGAAATATTAGTAGCTAGTTTGTGGGCCTTGTACTAGATCAATTTTACACGGAACAATTTTCCTTTAAAGATTACAATTATTTACACCAACTTATCACACGCCCTTGAACTACTCGTTACTCACACAAGCGGAATCCCGATGACATCACAAATACATATGTGTACTTATAATTCGTTTCTTATCGCATTCGACTAACTGTTAAAAGCGATAGAAAGAGGTTAAACTCCATTCTCCGATCGTAAAAACATTTATGCATGTAAATATTCCGCCTGTACAATTTGTCATGGATTTGTTTGGGGTTGTTACAGAACGCGGGGAAGCACCGGGACGGTGAAATTGAACGACGTCGAGCGGGACCAGAACCCGCGATTTAGAAAGCTCTCTGCTTATATACCTCAAGATGAAGAACTGCGAATGGCTTTGACTCCTATGGAGGCCATGACTTTTGCTGCTAACTTGAAACTGGGTTACAACGTTTCTAATGATTACAAGACGCAGCAGGTAGGTGGTTTTCTGCGTGCGATGTCCTTCGGAAATCTAATCGCATTGTTCGGTATTTTTTTTATAATGTAATACAAGGATTCGGGTTGTTTTTGGTTTCGTATCGCAACCATCGATTAATCAAGTTTTAGTGGATAAGTCGGATTAGTTTGTAATTTTGTGTGAGATTTCACAATGGATGGTAACTTTTTGAATAACATGTTTTCGGTAAATACGCTAATTATTGCGAGTTTCGGTGTAATTTGGAAATTGGCAGTTATAATAAAGGGGTACATACCATTTATTAGGATTGTAGACATGTTTATGTTGGGTAATTTGAGTTATTTGAGATTTTAATACCGTTGTTTGTTTCAATGTTTTTCGTTAAAATTTACTTGGAACATATTTAATTCGTAGATATTTGTTTTTTATCTCAAAATCCTTATTTTGATAAAAATAACTTCGTTTTCAGATACCCACTTCAAAATACTTTTGTATGTATTCTCTTTAAATATTTGCAGGTACACCCTTTACAAATACTTATCCCATAAATACTTAAAAATATAAAAAAGGCAATTTTAATTAAATTTCTCGTTAAATTTTTATTTAATTTGCAAAAAACAATTAATTAAATTAAAAAAAAACTATTCAATTTGCATTTTTATACATTTTTTTACTGTTATGATAAATTCTAGATCTATTAACCGCGGGGAAAAAGTTTTTAACGATAACTTTAACGTCCGTAACGGGGCAATCATCTGGTTATCATCTCGATACAAAGTTCACAATTGATCGTTAAATAAATTTCGAAACTCATCTGTGGTCATTGATTTTACCCGATTTGGAATCAATTCAAGTGTCTCCTAGGGGAAGTTTTAATAGCCATTATACTGCTAAACTTCCATGGAAATTTGCTGAAATTACCAACGAAATAACTTCAACTGTAACCTTCCAAATCGATTCCAGTTAATAGTATTTTAAACACGTATCTTTACAAATAGTCGGGTTCGATTTAAAGTTATTAAAATCTAATCAAATAATTTAAAAGTAATTTGAGTATTGACAATTCTGCGAATGTGCTGCTTTCGGTGCACTTAATATTCTTTCCACAACTCATCGACTGGCGTCTTGACAATTTTTTTATTAGGAAGTCTGGATAAGTATTTAATATAATCGTGATTACAAGACGCCAATTTTGAAGTTAAAAATTTCTATCACCTATTTATTTCAATCCTGGGACACCCTGTATCATTACGTTGCAATAAACTTTCTAATTGGAATAAAATCAATTAAATTTTTAGCGCAAAAAAAACATTAATAGCCAAAAAAATCTAATAAATTCGGTATGGTTGAACCCATAAAACAATTTTCCAAACGATTACAGAGTATAGTAATTTTAATAATTAATTCCAATTAGGTGTTTTCCATACTAACATTAAAAGCTTATGAGTCACCGTCGTTTATTTTTTTTATTGCGCAGAGACAGATTAAAATGGTATGTTCATGAATGGTCGAACAAATCACTTGTGATTAATTATGTAATTTATGCAATTTGCTATTAATACCTATAACTATGTATGTAATTATAGCATCAGAGTGGTCTAACAATTTTTACCTGCGTGTCGCTTCCTCAAAAAAATATACTGAATATTATGCATAATAACTGGCTATTTATTTCGCGTAGGTATAATATTTGTACTAGAAGTCTTTTAATTTTTTTTATTTCCTCATTGCGCTGCCAGACAAGCCGGATTAATTCGTGATATTTTTGTATTTCCGCAGCGTCGGTTTATGTTTTGCTTTATTAAATACCAAGGTTTTATAAAAAAATTGAATTCTTTTAACAAATATTGCACTGACAACATTGAGTAACGTCCGCAAATAAAACGAATTCGAAGTGCTCGAAATGTCATTAATGTCAATTTTGACATTTCGAACGACAGAATTTGAATAGAGGTGGGAATCGATTTTTTAGTATAGAGGTGAAGTAACGACTGTTACAAAATAACCGTTACAATTTATTTTATCATCGTTATTTTTTATACCGAGTGTTGCACCGTTACTGATGGTCTGAACCTTTTGTCTAAGCGCTCGTTGAATTTTAATTTATCCAACAGCGCATTTAACGAAATTAATTACGCACTTGCAAGACTCCCACTCAGAGTACATTCTTCAATCGTCACGTTTCTGTTGCAGATCACGGGAATCCTGCAAATGTTGGGTCTAGATCGATGCCAATACACGTTGACATCCCGTTTATCCGGAGGTCAGCGGAAGAGATTAGCTGTTGCACTGGAGTTACTAAGTAATCCTCCAATTCTATTTCTCGACGAACCGACTACGTAAGTGCTATTTGTTATACGGAGAACGTGCCTGCGTTTAGAGGAATAATTTAGAGGCGTTAATGCTCGTCACGTTCTAATTCATTAATCGACGGCTTTGTTTACTCGGTCGGGTTGAATGTACAGGTCGAATTTAATTCGGATGTTTAGATCGAATTGTGGAATCTGGTCTTGGGATGATAGCAATGGTGTTTGTTCTGATGTTTGTATGGTTAAATACGATTTAAAAAGTGTCGTAAAAATTGTATTCATTGTTCTATCGTCCTTGGACGATCCATTGATTCCGCGCTATTATCGAATCCTTTGTTCTTATTAATTTTTTGTGGAAATTATGCCTGTTCGTGGGCAATTATGTTCCTCTATTAGTCGTTTAATATAGGCGATCGGGGTACATTAAAACGAGTATTCGTGAATAATCGACGTTCTGGGAATAACGCCTTCCACATAATCTGTCGAATTGCGGTTGTATTGATGCATTAATTGTTGATAAACAATCGTGTAAATTTGATAGCACGTAGTAATAATAAGATTCGTGGAATACGCTTTAGAACCAAGAAGTAGCGATGTACAATCAGGAAATTAATTCGAAAACATGGGTATATTTCTTGATGTAAATCCGCGCACTTTAGACTACTTTTGATTCCAGTATAATTAACAATTATTTTTAAATCTTTCAGAGGGTTGGACAGTTTGTCGTGTTCACAATGCGTGGCTTTATTCAAGAAATTAGCGCAAGAAGGGAGAACTGTAATAGCGACAATCCACCAACCATCAGCCCTGTTATTCGATATGTTCGATAATTTGTACGCCCTATCCGAAGGGCGTTGTATTTACGATGGAAAAACCAGTGATTTAGTTAGTTATTTAGAAAAGCAGGACTTGAGATGTCCAGCCTACCACAATCCAGCCGATTATCGTGAGTAATTAAACCTACTTCGTATATTTATCGCACTAAAGTTGGACAAATAATTTTAATTGTTCGAGTTTTATTGGAAATTCGTTTTATTCGGGTGCAAGGGTCGTAAAAACAAAAAAATTTAAATGTATATTCGCGTTTACCTATACACTTACACGACGAACAATATTCGTTAAAAAGAGTCGCATTAGAAACGCGCAGTATGGCAATTTTAAACGAATAAAAAATTTATACGGCTGTAATTTATCGTTTGCAGTAATCGAAGTCGCAATTGGGGAACACGGGGCGGACATTCGCGCTTTGGCAGAGGAGGCTTCCAAACGACAAGAAGCCAATAGGACGTCTAGTGCTGATTTTATTAGTAAAAAAGGTACGTTTGGTACACTTTAAGATGCGTTCGATGGTACATTTCAGTCAGAATTGACGTTTAATGACGTTTCGTTTGACACCAGTTTAATAGAGGTGGGAACCGATTGTTCGGTGTAGAGGCGCAGTAACGACTGTTACAAAATAACAGTTATTTTTTCACAATTCGCTGGAAATTGACGCGAATTTTATTTCAGGTGGAGACGATTACTCGAGGGAGTTGTTCCCGAAGAAACGGGACCTGTCAGGCGACGAGTCGCGCGTCGGCCCGGCGGCGGTGATAATGCAATTTTTGTTGCTCTACAAAAGGAACTTGTTGACCACCAAACGGTGTTACGTAAGTGAAATTTAAATTACAATAAAAAGATCTAGGTTTACGTGTAATTCGTCACGAACGGTTCCAATGTCAAGGATGCGGCCGGATGATTTCGTATTCGTGTCGTTCGGTCTTTCGCGGTATTTTATTCATGTCACGATTGTGAATTTTTTTTTGTTGTTGTAAAGATCGCAGCAATTCGATTCGTTGCTTTGGAGTTTCCTGGACGAATGTTTAATAGCAGCTGATTGACGTTCGAGATTACGTTGTAAACACTCTTTGTTTTCGTTTAAATATCTTTAGAGGAAATGATTTTATACGAGGAATTTGACTATGAATTTTTTTTGTTTTAGTGTATTGCATTAAACAGGATTCTAGCGCATATTTTTATTGGATTTTTGTTCGGTTACTTGTACAGAGATGTGGGAAATGGGGCTAATACCATTTTAGCGAATTACGTGTATTTATATGGAACCCTTTTACTTACCGTTTACACTGGAGAAATGCCAGTTACTTTATCATGTAAGTATTTTTAACTGCGCAATAATTAAAAATCGAGCACGTAGTTTATTATTTATATTGCTCTTTTAGTTCCGAATAAATTTTATAGGTGTACCTATTGTTTTTATGTATTATTTATCTACAATTTTTTTAATGTTGTTGTTGCCGGTGTTTTTTACGAAAAATATATTAATTTTATATATTATTTATGATGTAACTTCCGAATAACAACGATATTACCAAATTAACTTCCTTTGTACTGTTATTATTTGTTTCCCACGATATTTATTAAAACGTATAATTATGTTTTCTGCTTTATTATAAGGAACAAAAACGTGCAATTAATAGTTTTTTTGATAAATAAAATAATTAACTCTTTGTTGCTTAAGGACAGGAGGCAAACAATAATGTAATTAATAATGATTTTTTGTTTACGATCATAAAATAATCTAATTCAAAACTATCACATCAAAATGTGTATTAATTGCAATCAAATGAAAGAATTTAATATTTAATTAACACTATCGGATTTTTTTTAGTTCCATTGGAAATGAGGATATTATCTAGGGAACACTTTAATCGATGGTATAAGCTCACGCCATATTTACTGTCTGTGATATTAGTCGAAATACCTTTTCAGGTAGGTGCAATTTTTCGTCTAATTAATCCCGAGTATACTGACCAATATTTTTCTATTACAGGTCATTTGCATATGGCTGTACATAGCGATTTCTTACTGGTTTACCGATCAACCCTTAGATTTCCGGTTAGCTCTATTCGTCATATTCGTAACAGCCTGCTCTCTATGCGCCCAATCCATGGGATACTTTATAGGCGCAACTACTCCAATTAAGGTAATTTTTTTCGTTTATATGCACCGAATTTACCTGAATTATTGTATTAAATTTCGCATTGTACGCGAATAAATGGAACTTAAAGATACCCTCGATGACACATTAATGTCAAATTGACAATCGGATTGACACTTGTTATGACAGAAGTTTAATAGAGGTGGGAATTTTTTTTGGTATAGAGGTGCAGTAACGACTGTGAAAATAACCGTTATTTTTTCACATGTCGTTCTTCTGATACAATATTTTACTGTAATCTATTCTACACGATATTAATTTCACAAGTTATCGGGTGCTCATTATTGTTATTTAAAAATTGTTTAGGTTGCCGTGTTCACCGCGCCCGTGCTGGCCTGTTTCCTGTCGGTTTTCGGCTTCTGCATCAGGAAGCTGGACACGCCGGTGATATTCAAGCCGATATTCTTCATCAGCTACTTCAGGGCCGCCTTCCAGAGCGTCGTCTATTCGATCTACGGGCTGAACAGGGAGCAGCTGTACTGCTCCTTCGAAGAGGATTATTGCCACTACCAGGACCCGGAGAGCTTCCTCCGGGAAATGGACATCGTCGACATCGATTTGGTGTCGAATTTCATTTTGATCGTGTGCATCTTTTGCGTGATGAACGCGGCAACGTATCTGACGTTGTGGTTGAGGCTGAACAAGCGATAGGTTGTTTTGAATGTTGTTTCGAATGAGTATTAATGATTACTAGCCAAAGATTGCGCGGAATAGACAATTTCACATCACGAATGTTATGTTTTACTTGTAAATTTTGAAGGATGGAATTTATTTAAAAGTTGTAGTGATAACGTTAGCGGTAAGTGTTGCAATCAGGGTAAATGGTCTCGTACGAGAGTGTTATTTGGTGTTGCATTCAATTAATTAGCTGGATTCTTCTTACTTTTTCTAAAAGTTGTTTACCATTTGAATTTCTTTCGAGTCCATGAGAGTGCAGTTCCCAAAGAGACATTGTATTGAATCAGTGCATTAAATATGTATCTTCAGTATATTACACCTATTGTTGTTCTAATATTGCTTTTTGTTACTTAAAACGTATTTTAACTTCGAAAAACGAATTGTAGTATTAGTTATTAATATTTACAAAAGGCATCTATAAAAAATAAACAATTATCGCCCTCTTATAGCTGCTTTTTGTAATTTTTTTCTTAGTTTCTTCAGTATTGCATACACTTTTCAGATTTTTAAAGTAAGCCATATTAAAGATATTCTCACACGTTTTTAATAATGAAAAGGTTAAAATAGTTTTTTAGGCTCACGAGTTGCATCTCGAAGATTGCATTCGCAATTTTCTAGCATATCCTGAAGATTGTTTTTTACATGTTTTTCACAATATTTAAATCGATACTATTCATATTAACAATGTCTGTAACTGTTGTAAAATTTTTCCTTTCGGTTTCGGTAATTTACCAATATTAACACGTGTATTTTTTATACTATTATACTATTTTCAATTACATTAAATCTGTTCGAATTTAATATGAATATGCTCGTGTTGGGTACAGCAGAACAACGACTGTGCTGCGATATTTATCTTACTAATGAAATTTACTTAAGATATTTGTAATTTTGTTTGTTTTTAGATGCCAAATATACTTTAGCTTACTGTAATTTAGATGTAAAATCGAATTTTGTTGTCATCAATAAAACGTTTTAATTAATACCACCAGTTTGATTCGTCAGTACACGATTCAATAAACCAATATATTTTTATGAAATACATTATAAATAAAATCACATTTATTTTGCATCGCTTACTCCAGCCCGCCCAAAGTAAGTTTAAACTACTCGCTAATAAAATTAAAAACGAATTTGTAAAAATTATACATACGGCATCACCTAGACAGTGCATTATACAAAAATATTTCAAAGAATAACAATAAATATACAAAAACCGCTAAAGGTAATTTACCCTTTTTGATTAAATATAAAATAAAAAATAAACTTATTTACATATTCACAATTATTTCTACAATTTGGTTAATTTCATATAAGTACGTTTAACGAATTTTAATAATTTAGCAAAAATAAAACACCTTACAAAAGCACCAAACGAGCCAGAAATTTGTTAAAATCACTAAGTAATTGTCATGCAATAGACTGATTTAAAATATACAACAAATCCAATTACAAGGTAAAGCATCTATCTAAACTAATCTCCTTTATTTAGATGTTTGTTAGGATAGACGCTTCATTCTCAAATAAGCTGTATTCGATGAAGTACAAGTACTTCAATACCCCAACAAACTGATTAAAAACTCTCCGGTGCTTTCATAAACAATCCTCTTTTCGCCCTACTTTAATCTCCCAAAAATTTCCAATTTCTACCGCACCGAAAACAACTTGTACCTCAGCACCACGAACGCGGATATTCTCAAAACGAACAGGAATATAAACAAAGCGATCATGTCGTTGTCGAATTGGTCCGATCGCACGCCCACCATCAGCAGGAAGTCCTTGGGGTACTTGTACATGCAGAACTTCTCCTCCGGACAGTCGATGGTCTCGCGACCGCGCCCGTAAATCGCGCCCACGACGCCCTCTAGCGCATAGCGCAAGTACGACGTGTAACTGCCCCAGTACATGTACTGAGGCAGGTCGCACAATCGCACTCCGAAGCCCGAGAACATCATCATCGGTACCGTCAGAGTGGGTCCCACGAACGTACCGTTCTGTAACACACAAATGCGGGACTTTAAGATGCGTTCGATGATACATTAATGTCAAAATAGATGTGTGACAGATGTTTAATAGAGGTGGGAATCGATTTTTCGGTGTAGAGGTGTTGTAACGAACGTTACAAAGTAACAGTTATTTTTCAAATGCTCGGATTGTTCTACTCTATTCTACTCTATGTGCGAATCTAGTGAGATTTCAAACGTCGTGTTTTACTCTATTGTGCTCTACTCTAATGTGAATCTACTCGAAATCTACTCTCTGAATCTTCTTTTTAAATCTACTCTCTGAAATTACTTTTTGAATCTACTCATTGGACCTCTTCTTTAATCTTCACATTTCTGAATCTTCGCTCTGAATCTACTCCTACTTTTACTTTTACTCCTACTCCAACTCCACTCTAATCGTTTTTCAACAGCGCCTACGATTAAATGGCGAAACTGTTTGAAATTTTTTTATACTTACTACAACATTGAAGTAGGCTCCGATCACTAATCCGAATCCTTGTGCTACTAAAACGACCAGCATGCAAGTGATGAAGAACATGAAAAATCGGACGGTTTCGAACGGCTGATCGGTCATGAAATAGATGATGACCGTGAATACAAAACAGCACAGTATCTGAAACGAGAAAATTATAATGACCAGATAAGTTCGGTAATTAAACTGGAATTATTAATGTTGAAAATTGCCGTTCTGATCCAGTTAAGATTAATCTAATGGGTTTGAACCGTTTGGAGAAAATATAGGTTAGAGCTTCATTCATCGTTTCCTATCTATTAAATTACTATTAAGGAGAATGTACAGTTAAACAATAGTAATGAACGCTCCGTTTTAAAGCAAAGAAGATAATGCAGACATAAACAACGATTATAATCTTGTATATAGTAATCATTAAGCAAACTTTTAAAGAATACTTACCGAAAGAGGTATATCAACAAGGGTTACAGATGTATAGTACATTTTCAAAGAATACCAGCGATTGAAGTGCTCCTTAATAAGTATCGACATTTCTTGAGGAACTAAAAAGAAAACGAAACCAAATCAATATTTGCGATTAAAATTGTTATTAAAATAAATTGCTTACAAGTTAATATGGTCAACATCATGGTAGCCATCATATGGTGCATTAATATAGCGAACAGTAAATTGTAATTGTCTAATACTTTCGATCCATCGTTTCCAGCCTTCCAGTAAATGCTGCCTAACATTAGGCCTACGACTATGTTAGTACCTACTCGAAGGTATGTTAATGTCTAAAAAAATAAAGTTCAATCGATTATGGGAAATGTTTTGTAAAATTTAATGCTTACTTCGTCTCTGGATGATTTCAAAAACCCTCTCCTTAACAACACTTTTAACTGATTCAATTGAGATGTTGGCAGTAAAGCATCGTCGTTCGGTGTTTTATTATCGGTTTCTGAAAAATACATTTTGCAAGTAAAATACGATTAATTGCTAGTCTCAAATTCTACCTCTAATTTTCGAATTATTGCTCAATCTTTCGGGATTGTTGAAATAGTTTAGCGATTTTCCATTGCCCGTCGCTTGCACCATTTGCAATGGTTTTTCGGTGCCATATTCCCCGCACGCCAATTCGATTACTGAAACAATAAATCAATCATCTACGGATTCATTTTACTATTTATAATTATATTTAATAGGGCAGGAGAAATAATAAGAGGAAAGGACGCAGCGAATTCCAATTCCAAACTCCACTCAAATTGTCAAATTGTCAAAATTGACATCTAATGACAGTTCGTATGACAGAAGTTTAATAGAGGTGGGAGTAGATTTTTTTGGTATAGAGGTGCAGTAACGATTGTTACAAAATAACAGTTATTTTTTCACATATCGCTCTTCAGATTGCTATGAAAGAAACAGATTCCCTAGCAACAAATGGCAATAAAAACATGCATCGGTGGCACTTACAAGGTTTCACAATTTTCACGAACAAACTCGCTTGATCTACAAATATTTCCTTTCAAACTTATCGCAATTTACATATTAACTTTACGCAAACTAATTAATCGTTGAAACGCAAAACGTTATCAATTCGTTCCTTCTATAAATGCACGTATACACATATTTTACAAACAAAAATTAAAAATGTAAAGCTCACCGTAATCGGCGGGATTGTGGTACTTGGGACAGGGGTACCCCACGTCTTCCAGAAACGGTACCAATCGATTTGTGGCGCCCTGATAGAGGCAATATCCATCGGCGAGGACGTACACTTGATCGAACATGGCGAATAACGACGCCGACGGCTGGTGTATCGTGCATACGATGGTTTTACCCTGTTGGGTCAATTGCTTCAAAAGCGTTATGCAAGTCGTGCAAGATGAACTATCTAAACCCCTGTGAAAAGATTATAAACACCATAAGTATACAATAGTATTACTTATAGTCTATACGCTGAAGTTATTATGGTTTCGGATTAATAGATTATTTATTGGTGATGATTGTAGATGGCGTTTGTTACAGAATTTGGGTCATTTTTTTATAAATTGGGGTAATATAAACAATTTAAATTTGAAGGCCTATGCGTAAGTTCAGCGAATGGGCTATAAGTATACAGTTTATTATTAAATAACAGGTACATACAGATCATTAGAAAATATATAATTAATGAAACCAAATACCATTATTAATACCTGTAGTTTAGATGACATGCTAAACATCGATTACATTTCAATATGCATAATTTTCGTAGCACGTAGATGAAAATTAAACTTTGGACGAAGAAATAAATTAACACCTCTATCTATAAAAATATTGTGTTTCGTTGGACGTTTGATCTTTGAACGTTAATATTTATATCGAAATGGCGTTCGAGGGATTTTTTTTAACAGTGACAAACGGAATTCCTGCCGATTAAAAAAACGGCAATTAGCGTCAGCGATGATTACATTTTGGCGGACAACTATTAAATAAAATTATAAGTGTAATACTTTATACATGTTATTATTGCATTTATTTTTTTCCCTTTCGTACATCGATCGATCATTATTATTTTTTTGTAGCTATAGTGTATAAATAAAGTACGCAATAAATATAAGATTTTCATATTTGGTCATAATTTGTGCAATTTTTCATACTTCTTTTTGGATTTCACTTCTCTTTTGAATTTTAAATAGCGATGTTTTGGATGCAAGGAAATAATTTGTAATATCCTCGTGGATTTCGATTTCCTATTATATGCAACACAAATCATTAGTCATTCACCTGAACCAGTTAAAAATCTAATCATTCAGCTTATCTAAATTTAGTCACGAAGTGTTGTATGTATTAGATAGAAATATGAACTGAAAACTCTCACATAAAACCTCTTAAATATTCAAGGTTATAAATTATTAAAAAAAACCAATTTGTATAACAAATCCTCCATCGAATTTGTGTACTTACGTCGTCGGTTCGTCCAAAAACATCACCATTGGATTACTAACTAATTCTAATGCTATTGACAGTCTTTTCTTTTGCCCACCGGAGAGCCTCGCTGCTCGCACCTTCTTCGTTTCGATTAATTTTAGGGTCACTAATATTTCGTCTATCTGTAAAAAAATTAAAAAATATAAACTCATATTATCTCACTCAAATTACATCAAAACTATAGTAGGTACTCTGGAAGCATTTCTTGGTGTTTCCACTATAAAAATCTGGGGAATCCCACAGGGATTTTGCAGTTGTTATAGAGTTATTAGATTAGAATATATTGGAAAAGTTGCAGCGGAAATTCGAAGCAAAAAATAAAAAAAATGACCTTTGATTATTTCCTCTTCACTATTATTAAATTTGAATCGGATTCGATGCATGCTAGTTTTGTTACAAACCGTTTAATTAAGCTTCTAGTATATCCATATTTATTAGCAAAATTGAAGGAAATCCGATACAAAAAAAATAGTAGGTATACATTGCGAGCCGATGAATGTCTATTTACAAAATTGTTATTGTTTTATAACTTGAATTCAAAAATAGTACTGTTAATAATTCAATATATCGCATTTGAATTTGAACAATACCGACTTCATATCACAAGGGAACGAAAAACAAACAAAAGAAATCTTCGGGTCAATTTTTTCAAATTTGTTATTCGTTTCTTTCAAATGCCATGAACGGAATTGAAATTCTAGCTATTGGGAAACGGTATAAATATAATAATTTTATCGCTGCTAAAAAAGTGCAATAAAATTTATCTTAAATACGTCAGAAATTTCAGATAAGGCGACCGCGCATTCTGATCTCGCTATTAGAAAATTCTATAGTAAAAATTAACTACTTGTGTATAGTAAAAAATATTATCTGAAAACGTAAAATTAGAATCCGGATTATCGCAACATTTTATGTACATTTTATGTACATAATTTTTCCAGCAATCACTCGGTTCTATTATATCTTCCTGTTTGTAAATAAAAGCGCTTTATATCGTAAGAAAACCTTTTTTTAATACTATTTATATCATTCTGTTAAATTGTATACAATTTGTAGTAGGTACTTTTTTTGGCATATAATTATAAAGTAAAATTTAGATAGGCATTTAATTGTAATTTTATAAGCAGTGATAATTAGTTACCATCTGTTTGCAAAGCAGTACAAGTTAATGAAATGTGTTTTTGATGTTTTAATTATTATAAATTAACATATCCACTTAAACAGGTAGATTTTTTCGAGAAATCAAATAATGCTATATTATTATTTACTTATATTTTTAGTGTTGTTTCGTCGATATCAAATCAAATCAATTTCAACAATTATTGGTTTATTTAGGATGTAATTATCATTATTTAAGAATTTACAGTCATTTGCAAGGACTGTTCCCTAAAATTTTAATTGTTTCTAGGGTGATAATCAACTGGTCAAATTAATAATTTGACCCGGCTTTATTTGAATTTTACAAATCATTGTTAATTCTGCAAAGCTACAAATTCAAGTGAATTATTAAATAGTACTTACATATTCAAATTTTTAAAAAAAAGTCAACCCATTTGGGTGCAATTGACCCAAATTCCGGCTGTACCTACGATCATTACCAATACAAAATCATTTAATCCGAAACCCAGATAAGTTCAGCGAGTGAACTATACTATGTAAGGTCGTACAGATTTTGCCATTGGGTAATAATTTAACGAGGCAGTTGTCCTTTCATATGCAAATGCCTAAGTATCTTCCAGCAGCCTAATAATAAACATACATAAAATGCATCGGGCAGCGCCAGAACAAAGAACTTTTACCAAACGGGTTCTTCAAATACAAGATAAAGTACGTTTTGTAAGTCGCTATTTGTATCAAACAATCCGAACAATTTCGGGTCAATACTTGAACCTCGAGGTCGATTTTTGTTTGGTACAAATTTGTGATTTATCGAACGAGGAATACGACATGCACGAAACTTTTATAATATATGCCATGCTGAGTAAGTAAATAAATATTGTCCTAGTTGCCTTTGTTTCTTATCGAATGAGAGGTCAAAGAATTCAATAATAACAAAAGCCACGCGTTTCACGAAGGATACGTTCACTAACGAAAGCGATATACTATATTTTTTTTATTTTGTTTAATCGTTTCACACGAGCGCAAAATTAAATTTACACGTTTATCGCGAATTCGAGTCGGTAAACAAAAAACATTGACTCAGAGCGATTCGATTTACTATAAGGTAGCATGCGCAATAAGTAGTAAAAGTTAGATTTTTTTGCGCATACTACAGCTCTCGCTATTTCCGCCGGTCTGTAAGTAAATGTTAAATTAATTAAGACAAGAGAATGGTACACTAAAACGCTATCATCCTGTGTATAATGGTTTTATGAATGAAAAAGTAATTAGATTATTTAAATAGGAAGCGCACGAGTTTAAAAACTAATTAAAATTTAAGCACATCGGCGATATCGCTATTAGTAAATTTAAAATATTATGTATTGTATTTTGATTTTATTTTATAATTACGACACTTATCGCTCATTTTTGAATTGTCGAGATATGAAATGTGTTTTCATCGACAATTTCTTAACAATTTTACGCTATTATTAGTATAATCGGCGTTTAAATATCGCCGAGATAATTTTCGATTTATGTATGTATGTATTAGAAATGGTTTTTTGTTTACCTCAGATATTTTCTGAATGATTCCCCAATTACCCAACATATTTTTGTAGAAAACCTATTATTTTTAGCGTACGAAAAGTTATAGTATATTCTCTGAACTCTCTGAATTCGCTAAACTAAAGAAATGACACGAAGAAACTCGAAAATAACCCAATAATTATTGAAATTGATTTGTACATTGGACATTTGGATAAGTCCAGCGAATGGACTGTATACCTCAGATATTTTCTGAAAGACTCCCCAATTACCCAACATATTTTTCTAGAAAACCTATTATTTTTAGCGTACGAAAAGTTATAGTATATTCTCTGAACTCTCTAGCTATCAATGAAGTTCAGTGAAATAACATAAAGAAATGACATGAAGAAACTCGAAAATAACCCAATAATTATTGAAATTGATTTGTACATTGGACATTTGGATAAGTCCAGCGAATGGACTGTATACCTCAGATATTTTCTGAAAGACTCCCCAATTACCCAACATATTTTTGTAGAAAACCCATTATTTTTAGCGTACGAAAAGTTATAGTATATTCTCTGAACTCTCTGAATTCGCTAAACTAAAGAAATGACACGAAGAAACTCGAAAATAACCCAATAATTATTGAAATTGATTTGTACATTGGACATTTGGATAAGTCCAGCGAATGGACTGTATACCTCAGATATTTTCTGAAAGACTCCCCAATTACCCAACATATTTTTCTAGAAAACCTATTATTTTTAGCGTACGAAAAGTTATAGTATATTCTCTGAACTCTCTAGCTATCAATGAAGTTCAGTGAAATAACATAAAGAAATGACATGAAGAAACTCGAAAATAACCCAATAATTATTGAAATTGATTTGTACATTGGACATTTGGATAAGTCCAGCGAATGGACTGTATACCTCAGATATTTTCTGAAAGACTCCCCAATTACCCAACATATTTTTGTAGAAAACCTATTATTTTTAGCGTACGAAAAGTTATAGTATATTCTCTGAACTCTCTGAATTCTTTGAACTAAAGAAATGACATGAAGAAACTCGAAAATAACCCAATAATTATTGAAATTGATTTGTACATTGGACATTTGGATAAGTCCAGCTAATAGACTGTACACTTACTGTTCGATTTTTCTCGTGAGAGCTCACTGAAGATGGCAATTTAAGATCGGCGGCGACTTGCATGTTCTCTTCAACAGTTAGTAACGGTTGCAGGCGGTCGTCCTGCGTGATGTAGCAGGAAGATTTTCGAAATTGCTTCAAATTTCTCGTCTTCCCATTGACGTAGACGTTTCCGTTAACCCCCTGCAGTCGATACCCGCTGAGCACGTCCAGAAGGGTGCTTTTCCCGGCCCCCGAGGGGCCCATTATGGCGATGAGCTGACCCGGGGGGAACCTCCCGGCCACTTTGTGCAGGATTTCCTTGTGATCTGCAATTGCATGGATTTTTTTATATCTCGAAAAAAAGGTTTCTAAGGTAGGTAGTTTTGTAATCAACGGTTCGCGCGTTATCGAATTTTATCGAAAAAATTAAAAAGGCGACTTTGAACTTTCGATTCGTTGGAAATGCGATGATGTAAGATTAGCAACGGGCTCGTAAAAAGCAATTAAAAGTTATTTCCCATTCAGCAAAGTGATAATGCATATCACTCATTAGCGCACATGTGTCCAGAATATGAAATTAGCGGAAAAAAGTAACATTGTTAGCGGGATCTGACGATGGTTTATTTTTAGTGCTGCTTTGATGATCGATCCGTGAATGATTAAGAAATTTTCGAAATACCGGTTATGCATTTTTAATAATATTATCTCAAATAAAACAACTATTTCCTAAGCCTCTCACGTGATCTAAACTCATATTTAATACAAGTAAATTAGGTAAATATCTATAAGTAATTTAAACATTGTATGTACGTGTATAAAAATACTTGTTCAATATTAAGTAGCTTGTACAAAATAAGATGTGATTATCTTATCAATTATTCCATCACTTTAATCTTTTGTTACTCACGTCAACTTGAAATTAGTAACTTGGAATTTGAAATTACCTGCTCAACTTTAAGAATAACTCGGAGGATAGTGAAGCAAATAAAATATATTCAATATTCTGGGAGAAAAATTAACATACGTAAAATATTAATTGATTATTAATCGAAATTGTCTACGTGACAATTTGTAAATACATGATTTTTCAAGGAAACTGGTAAATTTTACAGTGACGTAAAATAGGTAAAAACCGATAATATTTGTCCTTTTTACATTAAATCAATGATGTTTAATAGACCTTCCTATTTATAATTAACTATATTAACTAAGTTCATAAATTTAACAATTTTATAAATATACGAACAAAGGCACTGAAGGAAAACTCAATTAATCAAATTTATCAGTAAGTGTAAATACATGTATTATAGGTAGGTTAGTTAAAATAATTAAATGATTTCCTTAGGTAAATTATTAGTAAATGATTTATTTATTATTAGTAAATAAATAGCAAAGAAAACAACGATTTTCAATGCGTTTCAATGCGAAATGAAACTTTGGTTCATTAAAAAACAAGTTTCATCAAGACGACTCGAGTAATTAATGGAATATTTAAAAACAAAGCGCTTATGGGCATGTAATTATTATTGTTTATTGAATAAACACAAAAATAAAATGGTTTTAAACGAGCATTTATACGTTTTACGTTTGTTATTCGATGAAAAGATGAAAGCAAATAATTGTCGATTCAATTTTACATTAAAAATGTTTTTACAAGTCATATCTTCTGGCTAAAACTTGTGTATAGTTCTTGCTAATCGACATTCCAAGTTTAAATGAACTTATGAATTATAAATTAATTATTAGGTTGAAAATATTCAGAAGAAGTGGCGTGCAAATGAAGCAATCTTTGAGTCCCATACATACATTATGAATTGATAGTTTAGTTACAACTTCGGGAAAGTACCGAAAATAGAAGCCTATTTATTTGCTGCAAGGTGAAAAGAATTGCTTCTTAAGCTGCCTTTTATAGGTACAATTAAAGCGCATAGACAATTGTACTTACTTTTTTTTGTGAAAATATTCCCTTGGGTGGCGGTGAAGGAGACATTTTCGAATTCGATGTCGACCGAATTTTGCACAGTTTCCATCATTTTGGTACCGTAAAAAAGTACTTTTTCCGCAGCCACATTGACGTGAACGGAGGCAGGCGGTACCGGCGGCAGTAGTACCGCATCTGCAGCGGCCCCGTCGCGATTCGAATCCTCCTCTTTCGATTCGGACTGACCGAGGTGGCTGTTCGTGCTCTCGTTCAGAACTGCTTCCATTACCGTTTCGGAATGTGTCCGTTCGAATCGCGAGCAATTCCAAGGATTGCCCAACTATTTGAGGCTTATATTGTGCACTGAGCATTGTTTATCTCCGCTCGGACATTTTATACGGTGATAGATTGGACCGCTGTTTAAAGTTCACGCTCGCTCATCCAGTTTGTATTATTGCGAGGTATTCCGTTCTAATCGCTTTTCGTTAGGTATTATTAGGCAAATCGTGAAAAAATATATTACAGCGTTATCTTATCTAATTAATGTATCATAATGTAATTGAATTCATTTTAAATTCGTCTTGTAAAATTTGGTTATTTGTTGAACCATTTTGAAACTAATATTTTCGATATCGTCAGAAAAATCAAATTTCCGTTGCTTTAAAATAATAGAATTTAATAAAGCTCATACAAAAATAAGTGTCTATTGTAGAGATTGTAGGATTTAAAATTTTAACTGAAAAATTAGTTTTCCTGGTTGTTTGCATTTAAAGATAAAGGCCAAACTATATAAGTTAAATGAAGTGAAGTTCCAGTGGCGTCTCCTTGGATACGCAGAACTATTACTAAACTTTAACATATAATCCAATTAACTTATATTTATAGACAAAAAAGAGTTTCAGAATTAAGAAAATATGTATAATGTATCAATGACCACATTGTAATTGTCTGTTTTGTCAATATTATTTATTATTATTAGTTTTTAAAGAAAATTTACAAAAATAACACCTACGGCACTGTTTTTTGACATACTATTTCTTCTTTTTTTTCTAAGGGGTTACTTCGAGTCTACTCGCCAGTTGTCGGTTTTCCATTTAAATTTGAACGAAATAACGACATTTTCGTTTTGTGGAAGTGTCAGTAGTGGGAGTCTTACAGCTTACAGGTTTTGCTCTTTTTGAAGGACTCTAGCATTTTATAAGTCTATTTGATTTCTAATTATAGTTATATGATGTTCTGAGTGAATATTTCATCGGTAAGTAAATTCTTAGAAGCAGAAATTCTCACATTCTTGGTGTTTATGTTGTACTGCACAGTGACAACCATACTTTTTTGTAAATTCAAAGTCGTTAGTTTTTATAAACATACAAAAACTGAGCTTCTCTATAGACATTCAATAATTTATAATCTATCTTTTAGAAAATGTCCTCGAACTGGAGAGAAACCTCAAAATTATCCTCAAATGCCTCATCTTCATCTGAAGAAATCGTCGAGGACTCATTTGAATTTGTTCGAAAATCAAACAAACATAAAAGAATTAACGTTATATCGGACAGTGAAGATGAAGATACTCAAGAAGATATCGCAGATACCGATGAAAATGCCGACGAGGATGATAGCGATGATACTGATGAAGATATCGATAAGATTAATAGAGTAGATAGCGATGAAAACATCAATGAAGAAGATAGCGATGATACTAATGAAGATATCGATAAGATTAATAAAGTAGATAGCGATGAAAACATCAATGAAGAAGATAGCGATGATACTAATGAAGATATCGATAAGATTAATAAAGTAGATAGCGATGAAAACATCAATGAAGAAGACAGTGATGAAGCTGAGAATGAAATTGAAGATATCGAAGAAAATCCCATAGAGGCATCCCTTCCAATCAAATTGCCTAAGGAGAAATCCCTCGAACACGATTTCAAAAACACAAGCATAGATAAAGATTTTACTAATTTGCACGAATTTGACGGTTTATCTAGTACTCGAATTCAATTTAACACCACCGATAGTTATGTTATTAAAGATGACTCTCCTGTTAAGCAACAAACCAATGAACATTCAGAAAGTTATGTTATCGAATCGAGTAATGACAATAACAGTTTACATACAAAAAGCGATCTCAAAGTTATCCATTCATCGGTGCCCGATAATAACGAAATTGATGATGATGATGAAGATGTTGTAAAATTAGGCGCAAATGAAGTTCATGCGTTATTAGCGAAGAAGCCAATGAAGGATATCAGTAATATTTCTGCGGAAGATACTGGCGAAGAGGTACAAGTCTTAGACAGTTTTATTCAAGTAAGTTTATTAAACATATCGATTGTAATGACTTTTAACGATTAACTTTTTAGGTGACGGAATCCGAATATAAGGATGAACTCGTTAAACTGCAGAAGATAAAAGACGACATACAGAGAAACATTGCTCTATTAAAAAACATGAATCTATCTATTCTCCCAGATAAAGGCCTGTCTATAAAAACCAGGCAAACCACGCTCGAACGAGCTCAAGCGGAGCAGGAGTCGAAGATAAAAAAACTAAAAGTCGTAGCGATCAAGAAGGAATTGCCCCTCGTGCCTTGGACGCAAATCGAAGCAGGCGCTAAAGTCGTACAGCCGAAAACATTCGGAAAACAAGCCCTAGCGACTATAAATCTACAGCGACAACTAACCATGGATAGATTGCAACAATTACACGGCTCCATAGAGAATCGCCCCAAGGACACCGACCTCATGGCGCCCCCCGAAGGACTAAAAGTCGAATTGATGGTGCACCAGAGGAGCGCCTTGTCTTGGTTGATGTGGAGGGAAACGCAGAAACCGCCCGGTGGTAAGTCCTATACACAATAAGCCTTTTTCTATAGAGTTAATTTGCTACGAGAGGCACTCGATTAGACAGTTAATTCATCTCTTTATTTTTTGTAAATATTCCAGGCATACTGGCTGATGATATGGGTCTCGGAAAAACCCTAACGATGATCTCGTTGATACTAAAAAGCAGAGAACTCGGCGGAAAAGACACCCATCACAGCGACAGTGGTGAAGATAGCGACGAAAACGATTGGAAGAATCGACGGTCGAGCAAGAAATACAAAGGGGGGACTCTGGTAGTGTGCCCGGCGAGTTTACTAAACCAATGGTCCGAGGAGCTGGTTCGCAGGACCAAAAAAGGACTCTTATCCTTCAACTTATACCACGGCCCTAAAAGGGAAACTAAATCTAAAACGCTCGCGAAATACGATGTAGTTTTCACCACTTATGCGATCGTTAGTAACGAATTCGAAAAGAACGGGCCGGTATTTAACGTGAAATGGTCGAGGATAATCATCGACGAGGCGCATCAAATTCGTAATTACAAATCGAAAACTTGCAATGCCATTTGCGAATTGCATTCCAAATATCGATGGGCCCTGACCGGTACTCCTGTACACAACAAGGAATTAGATATGTACTCGCAATTGAAATTCCTAAGGTGTACCCCGTTCGATGATTTAACTATATGGAAAAGATGGATCACCGACAAGTCGAAAGGAGGCTGCGAACGATTGTGCACGGTAAGTACATGAATTTATCGATTTTACGATGGAATTGTATCGATTATCTTGCAGGTGATATCCTCCATTATGCTGAGAAGAACGAAAGAGGAGTTGGCTAAAATGAAACTGTTGAACGTTCTGCCGGAACGAACGTACGAATTGATCCCCGTACCGCTTGTTACGGAAGAACGGGGAGTTTACAGTAAAATTTTGATCTTCTCCAAAACGCTGTTCGCCCAATTTCTCTACCAGCGGGCCGAGAGGAACCAAGGCGAGCGATTCGATCTCGACTCGAGACCTAACGAGGAGTATTTCAAAATGAGACAGAAGTTGCTCAGATTGAACAAATTGAAGGATATCAAACAGCACGAGATCTTGGTGTTGCTTCTCAGATTGAGGCAGATTTGTAACCATCCTTCGTTGATAATCAATATGTTGAGCGAAGATAGCGACGTTAATGTGTTGGGGGACGATATCGATGAATTGGAGGACAAAATGGCGGGGCTTAACATATTAGACCAGCTACAAAAGTGAGTCTATCGTAATACATTTGGAAGGTATTTGATTCATTGTTTTTTTTTTAGTTTGTCGTTATCGGATCATCCGAATCCAAACAATTCGCAAGAAGATATCAATCAAGGCGCGTCCTGTTTGAAAGAGGCCGCCAATGCCATATTGAAACCATCGGATCCGATTTTCGAAGCTACTCGAATGAGTTCCAAGATGAGCGTATTATTCAAACTAATTAAAGAAAAACTTTTAAACAACGAAGATAAAGCTGTAGTGGTGTCCCAATGGCCCAGTTTTCTGCAATTAATCGCGTATCATTTAAAAGAAGAAAATATACCATTTTGTCAGTTGGATGGAAAAGTACCTGTACCCAAACGACAGGAAATCATTGATCAGTTAGTGGATAATTTATTTATTATGTACTAGATTTTTAATACTTATTTTTTTAGGATTAATGACCCCAAAAAACCCGCTAAGATCCTGTTATTGTCTCTAACAGCTGGAGGCGTCGGTTTAAACTTGATGGGAGCGAATCATTTATTTATTTTGGATCTTCATTGGAACCCGCAGATGGAAAATCAAGCTGTTGATAGGGTTTATAGAGTTGGGCAAATGAAGCCTGTATTTGTATATAAATTAATGGCTGCGGAAACCATCGAAAAGGGGATATTCGATCTTCAGAAGAAAAAATTGAATATTGCAGATAGCATGTTAACAGGCTCGAAATCCTTAGATAAAAATAAGCTTACCTTACAAGATCTTAAACAATTGTTTGAAATGTGATACTGTGAAATGTTCTTATGTTCTATATTTTTATATTTTTAATTAGATAATTTTTAAGAATGTTGCCTTTTATTAAGTATTTGTTATTTTATAAATTATGTACTTGATACGTTCTTAAATTGCTTAAGTTTAAAAAAAATTAACGAATATAATTTTTAAAAGTGCCGCCATTGACATTTGACAGCTCTTCTTCTTTCGTTTTATGAATAAAAATAGATTTTAACTGCCTACTTACGTTATTCAGCCACTTTCATTGCGGAAAAATTAAAAAAAATTATTGAGTAATGAGTTGCATGTTTTAAAAACAATGTCAGATCCAATAAATTACTATTATTAAATCATATTTCAACGATAATAAATAATTAATACGTTTCTTGTTTGTCAGTCGCATATGATTGACAGATAACCTTTATCTGTAAGAAGAAAAATTATATTCTTATTTGTTTTTTCTGTTTTTTTTTTCATTCCCTCAATTTCCGAATTTCGAGGTCAGCTCGAAATCTCGAAAACTCGAAAATTTAAATTCTGCGTATTTAATATTTAGTAAGTCCGCCATCGATAAAAATCACAATATATTTCAATCCAAATAAATACTCAAATCATGTGATAAAGATTATCGAAACTAAAGTGAATAAGTTTAACTTAAATTCACATTTAGTGTTACGAAATTGTGTGTGTAACCAACAAATCCAATATGTTCTAATATTTCGAACAAAAAAAAATGTTAAAAAAATACGTGAAGGAGGAAGTTTATTATTAAGTGGTAAGTTTATTTATGTATATGGTTATCGTTGAGATTTTTTAAAGGGAGTATCCTAATTTTTCTCAATTTATTATGATATAATGCAATGATGTTTAATCGTGAACAAAGTATAATTAAGATATACCTACAAGGAAAGTTTATTTGTTGACAATACCGGTTTATTATCTTTATTAACGGAATTATAATACATAATATAATCTTTATTTTCTTAGTTTTGGAACACTCGAATGTATTTCTAATGGTAGAATAATTATCTAATAGTAAGTTTTTCCACAAAACATGTGTACAATTGATCAAGCCTCAACAATCTCGCCTACGGCTACAGGTAAATAAAATAAAATCACTATTTATTTCTACATTTATTAATATTATAATAATCTCTAGGAAGCGTTAACGAAGCGAATATAGTGAACCCGAAACTTCTGAAGGTCCTTCAAAAAGTAGTCCATCCCAAATGTAAGCTTCACAACGATGATTACCTCAACTTGTTGTTCAATCACCTGACCCAACCTCCAAGTAAGTAAACGAAATTAAGTTTTTCTATATTGTTGTGCCACCCTGTATTACTTAACTGTACTAACTACTTACGTGTTTTAGATTTACCAAATTCCTTATCAGTCGAAGAGCAGAAAAGCATAATGCTCTTCCTTCCGGTATGGCTCAAATCGACCGTGGCTCAATTCGAAAAATGCAAAGATCCCCCCAACCCCCAAGTCCTCTACTTCATACTGAACGTATCGAGGCACATCAGCTCCAACGAACAGACGTTCGTGACCCTCAACAGCGAAGACGTCTTCGAGAAACTCATAGAAATCGTGAAACGAGTATCGAAACCGAGCATCTCGGTGGCTCTGATCCAACTCATTTCGGTCATCGTAGACCACAAATCCGGATTGCAGTGGATCATATCCACGAACCATTGGAAGTTCTACGTCGATTTGGTGTTGAGCAACGAGACTGTGTACATTTTGAAAGAGGGCAATTCGTTCATCACGAAGCTGCTGGTGAAATCGGTGGCGTTCAATTCGACGTTCTGTGATAATGTGATCAACACCATTCTGACGCCTTTGGAGTTTGTTACGAGGAAGCTAACGGATAAGGAGGATGTTAGCGGGAACGATTTCAAATGGCTGGTTTCTACGTTGCAGAATTTGAACACGCTGTTGGTGGGTTTGCTGAACGATTCGAAATGCACCGAGAACGATATTTATTCGTTGTTCGTCGACAAATTCAAATTGACCAGCCGCATGAAAGAATTGATCTCGCTGAGCCAAAACAACGATCTAACGTTTCACGCGATGAAATTGTTCATCACGTTGAGATATCACCAAATGAAAGTCAGGTTTTTCGACATCCCCTTCATCAGTGCGGACTCGCAGGATAATCCTCTTTACGACGTTTACGATATCTACTGTCAGGCAGTGTCCATGTTGCCCGCCGTGCAAACGTTCCATTTGCTCAACTGGTCTTTTACTTGTTGGGTGAAAATCAAAAGCAGCATGCCGATGTGTTTGATTAAGGGTCACCAGGGCTCGTTAGAAGATCAGATTCTGATGATACAATACATTCCGATCTTCACGGTGTTCATCAAATTCTTCGGCATCAAGATTTACACCGAGGAAAACGACGATCTCAGGGTGCACTTTTGCAACAAATACTACAGAAGGATCTGTCCGAGGACCGTCGGCGTCAAATACAAATGGCTGCCGTACTTTCTCGACAACTTTTCGTTCGCCAACGGCGTGCTCGCGCTGAAATTCGTCCTGCATTCCAAGAAATTGTTCCCCAAAGACACCGGCATTCTGGCCTTTCAGATTCTCTTCTCGCTGCTCCACGATTTCCTGGTGTTCGTGAAGGAAAACCGCGAGCTGCAGCTGCCGTTTCTGAAGGAACCCGAATACATAGCGCTGCATTTGAACGTCATGGAAATTCTGATCGAGGAATTCGACGTGACGTGGAAGGACAGCGTCGAAACCTTGTGGGTGATGTTACAAATGCGCGATTTGTTGAGCGATTTCGTTTGGCCGACGAAGGTAATTCAAAGTCATAATTATTTATGGAATTTAATGCACATCCCATATCAATTTCCCAGCTAAATTCATTTCGGCTCGCAATTGCAATTTAAAAACGCTAATCGTCCGCCATTTTGGAAATTATCCAATTTGACGTATTGTTTTGTCATTTTTCGTTCTTTTGCGTGGATCCGAATTGTTCCGAACTTGCACTGTCCTACACTATCCATGCACTGTCCTACATTTTTCTACACTACATACGCTTTCCTTCCTTACATACACTAACCTACACTACCCTTACATTTTCCTACACCAATCTGCACTACCCGTACACTGTCCTACACTACCCATGCTTTATCCTACACTACTCTTACACTTTCCTACACTAATCTACACTACCCATATCATATCCTACACTGCGGTCCCTTATTTTTTTTATCGAATATTTAGTTCAATATCTATTTAATTTTAGATAGTCGTGAACGCATTGAAGCTGGCCAAGAAGACGGTTTCGAAGTATTTGACGTTTCAAATGGCCCTTCTGATCGACGATAATCAAAGCACGGCCCTTTGCGATTTTCCGATTTTACTCAAAGCCAAATTGCACGACGGAGCGTGGGAGATCAGAGATAGTTCCGTGGAACTCGTCACTCAATTCGCCGTAATTGTCAACAAAACCAGTAAGTACTTCGAATATACTTTTTAATTGTAGATTTCAAATTGTACTTCGTCCGATGTAGCTTGGCATTCGGAATATTTTAGTCGTTCGACTGCCAAGCTACGTTAGATGAGGTAGGAAAAAAAAATCGAAATAATTTTGGTTCGAATTTTTAGAATTTGAATCGTTCAAGAAGGCGATGTTAGAGAACGATTTTCCACGGCACATCCTCGACATGTCCACAGGAGACGGTAGTCCTTACGTACGTTCGTCGGCGTTGAAATGCCTGCAGGAAATCGTGAAGGACGAAACGTTCTGGAGCAATATCGTCGAACAATCGGATATATTCGTAAGTAGCAATCGCGATTTAGAAAAAACCGCTTCAGAACCGCTCTAAAACCGCTAGAAAACCGCGTCGAAACCGCTCTAAAACCGCTTCAAAATCACTTAAAAATGCTTCAAAAGCGCTTTAAAACCGCTCAAAAACCGCTTTAAAACCGCTTAGAAACCGCTTCAAAACCGCTTCGAAACCGTTCTAAAACCGCGTCAAAATCACTTAAAAATGCTTCAAAAGCGCTTTAAAACCGCTCGAAAACCGCTTTAAAACCGCTTAGAAACCGCTCGAAACCCGCTTCAAAATCACTTAAAAATGCTTCAAAAGCGCTTTAAAACCGCTCGAAAACCGCTCGAAAACCGCTTGGAATCCGCTCTAAAACCGCGTCAAAAACAATCAAATTTCAGACGATCCTGCTGCGCATCCTGCAAATGGAAACGGAGGGAATGGTGCGCTCGGAGGCGGCCAACCTGGTGGGCAGCATCTTCGAGCACCAGCAGATCCCCGACGAGCTCCTGGGCAAGTTCTACAACGCGATGAGCCACGCGGTGGTGTCCGATTTGCATTGGGAGGTGCGCGTCAGCGCCCTCAAATTCTGGGAGCTCGTCGTCGACGATCGATTGACCCAGCAGGGGATGATCGACGGCTCGTTTCCGTCGGTGACGTTCTCCGTGCAGAAGAAAATCGTCACGCTGAATCCGGCGGAGATTCGCAAGCGGTTGATCGCCGTGCTGTTGGAGCTGTCCGAGATGGGCTGCTTGTACGTGTTCTACGAGGCCCTGCGGGACGATTGCGATCTGGAGGTGGCGAAATGCGCGACGAGGGCGGTGGCGAATTTCGCGGATTTGCTGAAGCAGTACGAGGTGACCGAGCGGGCCGTGGAGGAGTTCGCCCCGTCGAGTCCGCTGGTGGTTGGGAAGCGGATCGACGAGTTTCCCGTGGGGAAGGAGACGACGATGGATTTGGGTTTTTGCAGCCCGTCGCAGAGCTCCTATTCGGAGTGCATCATGGACGAGATATTGGATACGAGGGATTTGAATTTGTTGGAGTCGGTGTTGAATTCGCTGGATACGCCGGTGATGGAGAACGTGCAGTTCAAGGAGCGCGTCGTGTTGAGCCCCATCAAATTCTTGGATTTGGTTTACGGCGATCTTAGAAGTAACTTGGAGGATAAGACTAAAGCTATTAGAAATTTGGATAGTTTTCAATCGCTTTTAGACGATATTCTAAAGGAATACGAACCCGATGATAGAAACGCTATGGATTGTTATTGAAATTAAGTTAATTAGTTATTAAGTTTGTTAGTCTGTTATATCTGTCCACTTCTGATAGGTAGTAAGTTGTTGATCGGCAAGGATTTATTAAATTTCAATTTGTGTTTTTTTGGCGATTTTTTGTGATAAAATTTTTTATTGTTTCAAAATATATTTTGTCATACTTGCGTATAATTATTTTAATTTAATTTTTCGCCAATTGTTTGGCACCAAAATTAATCATAACCCTTATTGTTAGTAGAGTAATCAGAAGAACGATATGTGAAAAAATAACGGTTATTATATAACAATAGTTACTGCACCTATATACCAAAAAATCTACTTCCATCACTATTAAACTTCTGTCATACGAAATGTCAATTTTGACAGTAATGTATCATCGAACGCATCTTAAAAGCCCACTTAATCGTAAAATGGTAAAAGTAAGTGTAAGAGTAAGGATGTGAAGGAAATACCGGAAATGACGAAAGGAGGAGGAAGTAGAGTAAGATGTGGAATTCCTACGTGGGTTCCAAAACAATCGAAAAAAAAATATTTCAAATATTCAACTGCGAAACTCAATTATCCACTTCATTTTTACACAATTGGTTCAAAGACCCCGAAGTCCGCCTTATCGATTCCTAACAGTATATCGCCCACATGCTCTCCATATCGCCGATGAAATTAAAAAATACATCATAATTGCGAACGTAATACTTATTTACATCTTCGCCAACGGGCAGGTGCTAAAGCGTATCATCCACGCCGTAGGGCAAGCGCAAGTGTTACCCGATAACAACTGGGCACACGACCACGAGCCCACTACCGGAAACGATGATAAACTTTTAAAAGCCCGTCTTTCAAGCCCCGTTGCACAAACATCGAAAATCATTAATTGTTAATCCTTCATTACTATTATTAATATATCCATTATATCCACCATATGCTCCCTTACAGACCTTATTGCGCCATGTCTTGCACACTTCTTCCTATCACTGGCTTTTCTACTCCAATTATTTATTCCCCAACTCTTCTCCATCTCAACCAGATTCTTCCTCATCTATTCCACAAACTTCGAAACTCCCAGCTCGCTCATTCTTCAATTTAGCTATTAAAGTAGCAAATATTGCTTAATCAAAAGTGGCCAAGAATCGTTAAAAATAAAAACAAATCGTACGGTAGATATCCTGCTACCCTCATGTTAGGAATTCATTGAAGCGTGGCCTCGTTCGTGCTAGGCATACCAGCGACACTGGCCGAGCCGGGTGCCTCTCCATGGTCCGTTGGGGTGCTTTCGAGGAAGAGGAAGTCCCATTTACATTCTGCCAGCCGTCGGGCCGGTGCACAAACCTTCAACCGTGAATTTTTTATGCAACCAGTCCCGGAATACTATGCAATTGTTACATGAATATTTACCCGAAATGGAATACTGCATGCAGTAATGAGCGGGTAGATGGAAATAATCAACCGCCCTCGGCGTGTTTGTTATTGTTTTTCTCAAAAATATCGATGAGTCACCACTCAAACCGACAGGTAAACGTCTTGGAAAATAACACTCATGCAAGGCTATTTCAGACACTTAAATAATTCACTCGGGTGATCGATAAAATCCCGGTTATTCGGAGAATAAAGGATCAATTTTGTCTATAAACCAGTAGCGTTTCTGAAGATTCTAAAGTCTATTAACTCGATCGTTTTTCCAAAAAAACAATGAAGATATAGGACGTTTTCATAACTCACCTACTTATATCCTTGTAGAAAATTAAACGAAACATTCGGGTATGAACGCGATTCTTCAATACTAACAACCCACCTATGGTTAAATAAACTTCATTAACCATTGTGAAAAGTCTTGTAAAATGAGTTTCTTCTTCACTTAAAATGATTAAATTCGTTACTGACACCGCTTGTCGCAGTTTGTTGAACATGCCGGCTCGGCCTGGTGCGCTTATTTCGTCCTTTTTCAGGCGTTTCAGTTGGCTTCAGGCGCGCTCCCGGCTGGTATTCGCTCGGTTTTCCGAAATTCAGGCGAGTTTTCTGAACGGGAATCGGTTTTTTTCACGATAAAAATCACGGTCGTCGATTTGTTTACTGTTTCGTTTGTGATGGGATTGTTGACATAAGAGGGATTATTTTTATTGAAAATTGTGGTAAGTGATTTGTTTGTTTACAAACGTTTTTCAAAAAAATGAGTACCTTGTTTTATTAGTGAATCTACAACAGAAAAATTTCATAATTTATATTTATTTTATATTATTACCTAATATATGGTTGGTCCTTTGATAATTTTAATTGGTCTTTTACTTTTTATAAGGTTAGTTTTGTTTTCTTTGCATCAGCTTATTCTAGATCTTAATTAATTCCCTATTTTATTTTTGATTAATATCCTTTATATTTATACTATTCATTTATTTTATGCACGAGTTTTGAAGAATAATTATATACCTACTATAGCACAATTAATATTCATTGTCCAATTTGAGAAAATTAATTAACCACCAATTTAACCGTCGACATAATTTATAAGCTAAAAAACACTTAAATAAAACCCCGAATTTTTACATAAATTGGCACAAAAAACTGTCACTTTGCATCCCTTTAAATTACCTGTGAATTTCCCATTAATTGGTCAGGGAGCAGTTGGTGGATTTCGAAAATAGAGGAAGGCATTACATGGGGTTAGTCAGGTGGTGCTTGGGAATCGGAGCAGGTGCTATGCTGTTAAAAGGGGAGAAAAGGGGGTTACGGACATCGGCTTTTCAAATTACCTAATAATGATACACATCTCTCTTGGGGACAATTGATTATTTGAAATTGATCGCGCCACTAAAATATATAGCGTTTGATGAAGAAATTCTTATGGCCTCGCGCGGTGAGAATTAATGGTGCAATTGATGTAATTGACTATTATTAGATACAAGGGAATTAATATTACTTAGTACAAAAGTATTTCGAAAATTGTACTATTCTTTTTTTAGTTTTGTTCCGGGAAAATTGTTTGAATAACGAGAATTTTCCATCTATTGTAGATTGTAGATTTACTTCTGGGAAAGGAATGGGGCGCAATAAAATTGTGTCATATTATTGAGTTTTCATGGAAAACTAATTTCGGAGAAAAGGCCATTTAAATAATTTTCCAACATTCCCAGAGGCTTCCGAGTATATTTATAATTAGATCAAAACTAAAAATGTTTTGAAATCGGGAATAGATAATAATGAAATTCGCTTCTCTAGTTTGCAATATGAGTTGCAACTTGTAGAGTCCTATACAATTATTGGATCTTTATCTTTTGTAGAACAAGGATTCGTAAAATATTAAATAAGATTAGCGTATTTTTAAATTATTGATTTGCAATTTCATACAGTTATTCAATACTATGACACAGCAATATTTATTAATTTCGATTTAGATTAAAAACGCAATGATTCACAGTTCTATTTCGATCGAAATAAAGAAATATTTTTACCTAAATTCCCTATTTATTTACGATAATTATCTCAACTATATTTTTTTAGTAATGTATTAAAATAACACAGGAGATTTTCCACGTCGAATACCTTCCGTACGCTTGCACCTGTTTGCGTAATCCCACCCCAACAAACACATTTAAGAGTAAAATAAACAAATCTACCCCATTTTCGAGTTTAATTTCCCGTTCCGAGGAGTACCGAATAAGTCGAGGGGCGATCGACAATTGAGATAAACCCTAGTATGTCCAATTGCGCGCCATTAGAAAAAGGGGGATGATCCAACCCGTATACACACGGAAAACTATTGATCGCAGACAGCTCTGGTCATTCGATGACGTCACGATGGTCGAAATCGACCGATATTCTCGCCTAACTACCCCCCTTTTGCAGATCGAAATCTGAAGTCTTTTGTGCCGGCGTCGGGGTTTTCCACTAGCGCCTTTATTCCCGACTAATTCCCGCGGGGTTACGCCGAATATTTACTACTATTAGGTGAGCTGTCGCCTTTTTAAACATGGAAGTTGATTTGTTGCCTAGTAACACTCTTATGGAAGGTATGATACATGTAAATTGAGCGTGGGAAATTTCCCATACGCATGGGGTTGTTACTCGTTTTAATTCATCAGCGATTTAGTTTAATTGATCGACGAATCAACTTTTTAACGCGCTACTAACACACGAGTAGAATTCATTTTGCTGATTGCACGAACGTTTGCTAAAATACAATGTTTCTTTGTAGAGTAACTCGCCATGTTCGAATCGACTTGAAAGCTACGAAAGCGCGAAAACGAAGATGTGATATTTTCGGTAGTGGAAAATTCGCTGGAGATGACGCCGGAAGCGCCCGAGGATTTGCAGAAATTGCAGCCGAGCGGCGTGCAATTCGGCTACCAGTCGATGGAATGCGATCCGGAGACGGAGATCGCCGCGAAAAACCTGCAGAACATCAACGATCAATTGATGTTCCAATCGAACCCCGACCAAATGGATAAAAACGACGCTAAAATATTGGAGGGTATCGAATACATGCCTACGGAGATACAAAACTGCGTGGAAATCGAATCGACCAATCTAATCAGCATACCGGATAATCAAATCGTAGAGATACAATTCCGAAACGACGGGGGAATAGTCAACGCTCAATACATAGTGGATAATAATCTAACGGAAGAAGCCGATGTTAATAAATCCACGTTGATAAACCTGAAAGATGGCGTGTACGAGGAAATCATACCGTTCCACGTTATGGAAACCCCCGGTAACACGGAGAACTTCGAAATCGTCCAGCAAGTGGAAGAAGAACCCGTCCAAAAATCCAACCACAACTCGTTCGAAAACATCATCAACATCCCGATGCTCAGCCCGCCGAGCGAGACCGACGAACAGCCCGAGACCGATCTGACCAGCCTGAACTGGTTGCACAACATCACCAACATCATGTCGGTGCCCAACATTCCCACGCCGCCCGTCTCGCCGCCGCCCAAGCCCAAGCGGAAGTCCGCCGCCCACCAGGAGGACCTCACCATCAACATCAACTACTACAAGAACAACGGCGACAAGAAGCCGCCCTTCTCCTACGCCACCCTCATCTGCATGGCGATGAGCAAGAACGGCAACAAGATGACCCTCTCGGCCATCTACAATTGGATCCTCGAGAACTTCTTGTACTACAGGAAAGCCCATCCCAGCTGGCAGGTCTGTATCCACATCAATATCAGCATCAGTGTTAGTATCGGTATTAATATCATTAGCATCTACCTTTTTTTATTGGTTTTATATAAGGATTTGCTTTGTTTGGCAGAACTCCATTAGGCACAATCTGTCGTTGAACAAGTGCTTCGTGAAACACCCGCGATCGAAGGACCAGCCGGGCAAAGGGGGCTTCTGGAAATTGGACCTGGAGCGATTGGAGGAGTCGAGGCGATCGAAGAGGCGGTCCAGTTTGACGGTGAGATCGCCGAGGAATCGACTGCCCGATCAGAAAGTGCAGAAACCATCTCGGAAAACCAAAAGGTACCTCTCTTGAATCATCTCTCCCACTAAATCACTATAAATTTAATATCGCAGGTACCGATCTAGCCAGAAAACGGGCGAAAGAAAGCACAATATCCTCTCTAACATATCGATTTGCGGGGACACCACGGACATAGAAAACTGCGACGAGTCGCCCAAAAAGGACAAGAAAACACCCAGTAATCGATCCGAGGATGAGGAGAAAACGAAGGATCAGAAATCCAACGAATTCGTGCCGAATTCGATGCCAAATCAATCGGTGATCACCGAGCAGGTGAATCAAATGTTGGGAGAGGACGAATTGACGGGGCTCCTGCTGGCTACCAACGGTTGGGACGACTGCCAGCTGGAGTTGCTCGATTCGCTGCTGGATTCGCTGTAATCCTATCGTGTACAGGGCCCCTCGAAGGGGTGAATAGGTAGGCGAGATGCGGTTGGATTTTTAGATGTTGCAAAGTACGAGGAAAATAAGGCAATAAGGGTTGTCAGTATTAGGGTGGTTTTTACTGGAATTCGAGCGGAGCTGTGGCGCAATTATTTAGTAATTGTTTTGTTATAGAATAATTTGGAATCCGGGTCTGTTATTTTCGAGATCAAATTAGTTTCATTTCTGATTTGATCTTTGTTAATTTAGGTGTAATATGTACTATCTGTAATTGGAATTTATATAATTAATGCGGAATTGTAATAATGCAAATTGCTATTGGTAATTGGGACAGCTCTGCCCAAGTAAATTTGGGTTAATTTTAAGGTTCTATTCTTTATTGCATTAAAACTTTATTCGAAATATCGAGCAGAAAATCAAAAAAATATATTTATGCCATTTCTACTAAATACTACTAATGTCACAATTGTGCTCTTATTATTTTCGTTTATATACGGCAAATGATATCTCTAAAATCAAACATTGCTCAATTTAATGTTTTATTTGCTCAAAACTTTAGCTCAAAAACGAATAATCAATACTATTTCCTATTTTCGAAATATGTTTAATAATGTTACAGTTTTTGTTCGAAAATTTAATAGTTGTCTCTGTATCGGCGAATAGAAAGAATGATAACAGAGTTTATAAATTTTGTGAATCCACGGTGTGTTTTTTGTGCCTTTATTAAACACGTGTGTCTTTAAATATGTATATAGATGAATATATTTCGCTTGAAAATTTGAAAATTACTTGTAGATGAAAAAGTTTTGTGTGAAATTATTCGACTTTTGTATATTCGAATGTACCAAAATAAGTAAATCATTTTAATAATGCTTCGTTTCATATCTTGTAGAAGTGACTTATCGAATTTATCAAATATTATTTATTAGATGTACTTACGATTTTTAATTGTTAATAAATATTGGTGCATTTTTGTACAAAAGTTTTTTTTCTTTATGTAAAAAATGAGCTCTAAACTCTTCCGTCCAAAATCTGAGATAGTTTTAGATTAGATTTTATGTAAGGTGTTGAATAAATATTAATTAAATGTTCGTCAAATATTCCTTTGACAGTCACTAGTCGCAGTAAGTTACGAAATTTTTAGAATTAACAATAATAATTGGCCAATGATTTTATTTTATTTCATTTTTAGAAGCTAATCCAGGTTAAGAACGGGCCTTACTAATTTTATTAATATTTTGTAAAATTAACAAAATATTCAAATCAATTTACTGTAGATACACTTAAATTGGATTAGCTGACTATTCAATTGATTTTGATGATAAAAATGTTCTGTTAAGAGACTTTATGGTATGTGGTTTGAATGATCTATGAATAGTACATTGAAAAAGAAATTAATGTAGAAAAATAATACAGAAATTAAATTTCTGGAATTTGTATTACATCCTGTGTAATTGTTGCCCATAATAGAAAGTAATATTGTATACCAGTTTTGGCTCGGGTTTAAAAATATGTGAGTAGAATATACTCAATTTCGAATGTAATGTATTTTCTCAATACTTACATTTAATAAAAAAAACACATGAATTGTTACTTTTTATTGATTGTGGTAAAAGTTTGTGCCTAACTTGTATTTTTTGTAACCTAATCTTAAGAATTATATTCTAGTCCTGCAATATTTGTATTTATACACAGTTTGCTCAAAAAAATTGTGCTAGATTTGTATCAGCAATATCTTTGAATGTGAAATGAAAATTGTATTTTATCAAATAGAGGTGATATGAATTAAACTACGTTTTATTCAAAATTATACTTACATATCACAAATAATAGCAATAAAGTAGGTAATCTATAAAATGATTATTATAATCACGTTTTTATTCTATACTATTTATCGAGTGTTTCCTTTGATTGACCGAAGCAAATCTCGCCATTTTCGATATAATCGACATTTTCCTTATGCCCTCTTCGCCATTTAATAACGCTTTTGCTTCTTCGTTTTCCCCAGCATTATCTGTGATAACAATTTCTACAATATCCTCTGAACTACTACACAGACTTAAATAATTAGTATCAGTAACTGATTTGAAACTGGAGAGAACGTTGGCGTTGACGTTTATCATAAATAATCCGATTTCTGTAGCGTTGTATTTAATTAATAAGTTTTCTAGAGTCTGAAAATTGAAGGGAAAAAATTTAGGTGTATTAATAGGCTTGTATACTCACCTTAGCAGCGGTATAATCTAATCTAATGATATTTGCGCAATCTAAAACGATAGGCAAACCAGGATTTTCTTTGTTAATTTTCTTGATACAATCCGAAATGTAATCCGCACCAGCGTAATATAGCCCTAATTCGGGTTTAATGTATACATAATGCCCGATTTTACCAGGTTTCTAAAACACCAACATTAATTATAATATTTAATAATTACCGTAATATTACCTCTTTAATTTCCGATAAAATTTTAGGCCTCGTCCACAACTTCAACAGCACCAATAAATTGCACAAGCTACCTGCAACAATTCCCGCTTCTACACCGACGAATATTCCAATGATAAAAGTTCCCAACGTGATGAAAAAGTCGATTTCTGTAACGAAAAAAATTGAAAAATTCGCGATAAACACCGTCGGTTTACTAACTGTTGCATTTCCAAAGTATAGGGAAAATCTTGTAATCGAACAACGAGCTTACTGCTGTTATCAACACAGCAGCCAAAGCAGCTTTGGGGATATAGTAGAAATACGGAGCCAGAAAAGTCAGCGCTAGAAGAATCAGCGTACCTGAAACATCGAAACGTTTATAATAAAAAATAAAACAAACCAAACTCACATCCTCAAACAGGCATTCACAAATTCAAAAATTTTTGACGCCAACATTGAAAATTATCTGTCACCTGTCACTTATTGTGTAACATGGCGGATCCAATCAGGCGCCTTGAGCGTAGGCAAATATATTTAAAATAAGAATTTGATTATGTTAAGAATTGTTATGGTAAAAATATAACAGTATTTAATAATTACGTATGAAAATTTTGTTGATGTTGTATGAAAAAACAGTGACAACTGCTTCCCGGTTTTCCGCAATTTGCTATTATTCGCTGGGAAAATGAGATAGATACTGTTGTTTGATCTCTCTTTAGTCGAAATTGTCTACTTTTTTACTACGAGCGGTAGTACACCGTTGCCAAATTTGTAAGAATTTATCTATTACAGGAATTTTGAAATATATAATTCGCCACATTTTGAATCTATATATTTCTTAAACTTGTAATAAGTGTAGTAAGTGCGATAAAAACAACTTCGATTAGACACTTTATAAAAGAAAAAGAAAGAGTGACATTTGTGTCATTGCAACTTTTCACTCTGACAGCTGTCATTTTATCAATCTTTCTTTGTTCAACTCACAGAAACGACCATATTGCGGTCTGAATCGAATCAATCGCTATATCAACGATTTAACTCACCCGAATATAATCCTTGAAGGGGCGTCCGTACGCCACTGCTGCTCGCCACCGCGGATCTCGTAAAAGCCCCAGTACTGGGCATGGCCCGCACGAACGAACCCATTATGTTGCTCAATCCCAACGATATCATCTCCTGCGAGGCATCCACTATCACATCGGAACCTTCAAACGAACGTTTGTACGTTTTTCAACCAAACAACAAGCAGGGAAATTCACATTTACTCGTCGCTATTCCGCGGAAATGAACTTACAGTAAGCCTTCGCTATGGCCACATTGGCCAAAACAGCCACTAAAGGTATCACGATGAGCCCGCTGCCCAGCGATTGCAGCATATCCACGTAGCCGATTGCTGTCTCATTCCCCACAGCAACCGGAGGAGATGGCAGTTTAAAAGAAGGCACCCCTTTGGGTACTTCGCCTGTTATTTTAAACGGGCAATGGCTGTGTTGGTCCCAAAGAGCAGCTGCGACAGTTGCTAGTAATACAACCAAGGCGTTTTTCGATATGGATAGTATCCAAAGGTACTTCTTAACCGCTGGATTGGCCACTTTTATCCTATTCACGTACTGAAAGTGCAACTGAAAATGTACAGGGGGTGTTGTAGGGAATTCGTACTAACCTTTAGAGCGACTAGAAAGGCGATACAAACGAATCCCAAGGCGGTATCGGCCGGTCGAATTTCGTGGATCTTTTCAAAGAGCTCTTTCAATATACCGATCAAGTCGTGGCTTTTGATATTAACGCCCAGGAAGCCTTTTAATTGAGTTGATACGATGATTACGGCGGTGGCAGAAGCGAATCCGGACGATAAACAAGGCGATATGAAATCCACCAGGAAGCCTGCGAACGTTTCAATCAACTGGTGAATTCGAAATAACTTGTTGGATATTCACCGGATTTTTACCTAAATTTAAAACGCCCATTAGAAGTTCCACGCAGCCCGCGACGAATGTTAGAAGGATAATGTATTCTGTGGGTTTCCCCGCTGTATACGAGTGAGTTAACAGGGACATTAGGCTGGTAGGTCCGATTGAAACCTGCGGAAAATCTTCATTTACAACTCTTGTAATATAAATGTTTTATTATCTACCTCTTTGATTGTTCCTACGAAAATGTAAGTGTAAGATCCTATGAAAGCTGTGTACAATCCATATTGGGGTTTAAGTCCAGCTAAACCGGCGTAGGCTATTGATTGAGGCATCATTGTAAGGCCTAAAGTTAGACCAGCTATCAAATCCGCCAGGACGTCGTTTTTGGTGTATTTCGGTAGCCATTGCAAAATGAAAAGCCGTTGGAAAATTAGCGATTTTACCTTGGTTAGTAGTGCTATTTTCGATTCATCCTTTTTGACCACTACAAAGGAATTGTTTGTGAATAAATTTTGTTGATTATGATCGAAAATGTCGTTGTTACGTAAAGTTTCTTCAAATTTTGTCATTGTAAACTGAAATTGCTTATAGAGTAAAAAATAATTAATGCTCCTTTTTTGTTAGTAACTAGAAAAATACATACATAAGTAGATAACTAATAATTCATTATCTCCAAATTACCAGTAAATAAAGTTATTACCGAATAAACTAGCCTGTAGAAGAATAAAATAGAAGCATAAAATGTTATCTAAATTTAAATGAATTTAGTGCATATAATTAAAAAATTATTTCGACAAATATTTTTAGTTCAGCTATAGGTTTACTTACTTGTTTGGAAATTCGTCAAGATTGAAATGTTCCTTTAATAGTTCACGTAAGTATTTTCTTATCGAAGATGTTAATTAGAATGAAAATGAAGTAGATAAAGAATCACGTTAGTTGGCACCTTTTAACATATTTCATAAATTCAATTAGGGAGAAACGATTATGTTACTTGGACATGTTTTGCAACTGTTAAACAGTAAGAGAGCTCTAACGACGATAAAAACTTCTAATGATTAAAATTTGCTTTACCCGTGCTTTAATTACCGCGGCTGATGCCCTTCGAAAACCATTTTAAATTCGAAACAATTTGACTAATTCGTCTAAAGCTGATAATACAAACTTATTTTTTCTGTTCGTTTGTTTGACGTCTTAGAATCCATAGTATCCAGTTGATACATATTAATATTAATTATTACAATATAATATAAATTTGATTTTTTTTAATATATTTAAAAATATACTAACAGCTCTATAAAGATAAAAATTGTTTTAATCACAGTTTTAAACTATTTATTAACAACTTACTTATTGGTAGGTGTGTTTATTTAGGAATTTACAGGCAACAAACACTTTCAAAATTACAATTTAATGTACTGATTCTGCCTAATGAGGATGTATCAGTAATTGAAGTCTACCTACGCGTTAGAAGTATACTTATATTACTCTCTTAATTCGTTATATGTTTGCAAATATTGATTTAAATGAAGCATAATATTTGTTTTATGCATTTTTTGATATTGATGTAAATATTATTATTTCTGGTTTCTAATATTTTTTTAAAAAAATTCCTTTATTTTATTCAAGAAGAATAAGATAACTGTTTAGTGAACTCTTCAGTTATAAATGTGCGTTGATTAGTTAGTAGAAGTTATTTGTTTAGTAGAACTTATTTATTAGTAACTACTTTCTTTTTCTAAACTAATTACATAACTTAAATTACTTTAATAACATTATAATTTTAAAATCCCCATTTTTACAACATATAATAAAAATTTCACTGTTAATAAAAGCGTAATAAATTTAATACATTCAACTCACCTGAATCACTACAAGTATGCTGCATAATACCTACTGCATGTTAATATTTTTCTGCTGTAAATAATATTGAAAATGTAGAATTTTTTTTGCAACTGTTGAAAATTGTATAAAGTGTACAAAAAAAGCGGCTGGAAAATTAACATTGAATTCCATATTCAATGCCCGGGGCAAATTTATTGGATAAGCGGGATACAATAAACTCCGTAAATTAATGAAAATTTTTATTTCGCTATCAATTAAAACCATAAAAATTTCGAAAACTTAACATTAATAATTTTCATTTTGATACTCAAAATAGCCTCATGCAGTCAGACTTACGAGCGGTAATTATATGTCAGCTCATTTTTAAGACAGAAGAAAGCTAAACATTTACAATTTAAAATTATTTAAACAATTACATTTTAATTAATAAATTATTAAATCATAAGTTTCTATCACATCGACAAATCTTATTATTATATATATTTAAATTAATTAATTTTTACTACACAGATAATTCCAAACAACTGGAATATTTTTGGAATAATTGAAGAGTTAACTTACACAATAAAATGATAGGTAGTTACAGTTAGGTAAATATTTGTTCTCCGAATGTTTGGAATTATCTTGTAAATGGCTAATCTAATTTTGTAAATGCGTAAAACTATGCTATACGATATAAGTTTTAGGTCGATATGAAGTTACTTTACAGAACAATTTGAGAGTATTTCCCCGAAGAAATCACTCTGAAAATGTCCGCTCTTCGAGATCGTGCTCTTAAAAATTTAAAATATTCAACAATAACACGAATTAAGACACCTAATGAAATTAGGAGAGGATGAGTTTATTTAGCTGAAAGGGCTTTTAACGGGAAAGAGGAACATTTTCCTCAAGGAATACACGTTTATATAGGGATTTGGAGTAGCTTACATGAAATAAATACAATTATAAAGAGCACGTTGTAAAAATATTTCACCTAGCAATTACAAGTCATAATCTAATTTTGGTTCTGAATATTATACCTAATATAAAAATGACTATAAAATCACTATATCCTACACTCTTATTCAAAAAACGAAATAAAAAAAACCACTAAATTTTGTATCTCAGTTAAATCAGTATTGATGATTAAGACACACATTTACACAATTCATTTTGATATGGGATATTGTTTCAACACGTATCTAGTGAAATTTTACTACATATGAATATGTATGATGTACCGATAAACCAAAATATATCAGTTATTTTAATTAGAACCAAACGCTCTCGCAAACGCGCCGACTAGATGATACGAAACACTTTAATTATACTTTTTATACTTAAAAACATTTTATACGATACTTTCAGCGATTCTTTGAAGTCTAATCAATCGTTTAAAGAGTCTTTTTAATGCAAACAACGTCCTTAGTTACTCCATAACAACAATGTAAAACTGTCAAGTCGAACGATGTCCCTAGTTACTCCATAACAACAATGTAAATCTGTCAACTGAAAGAATCTCCTTAGTTACTCCATAACAACAATGTAAATCTGTCAATTGAAAGTCAAAACTGTCAAAAGTCGAGAGACTCTTACAAGGATTGATTAGGGTTAAAAAAAAGGAGCGCTGAACGGGGCGCCGTGATATCTAGTCTTAGGAGTTTGCGGATCTAAAAAATGTCTGGAACATTCTGTTGCCTGGCGCCCGACAGGTGGTAGTCGTTCATGTCGTCTTCGACCGGTGCACATTGGTGAGGGGAGCACGTCACTTTGGCCCCCTGACCGCAGATGCACTCCAAGCAGTTGCCGGTATCGTGGGGCAATTTGTCTCCCACTTGGTAGATTTTTCCTGTGGAATTTCCGATCGATTTATTACCGTTTCTTCAATGTTATCAATAAGCTCCTGGAGTAGCAGCATGCAAAGCATTCGGGATAGATTACTTTGTAAAATAACGTATCGCCATTCCCAGGATTTTAAATATCGGAGTATTTAATAAATAATTAATAACGCGGGAATTTCGCTGGAATGTTTGTGGAAATTTAACCGAAACGTGATAATCGAATGCATCCTCGAATTGTTCGCGTTGCCCGAAATTAATACAGTCGAATATAATTCATGAAATTTTTCTCATACTCACCCATGACCGTGCAATAATCGATGCCGCCCGACGGGCTGCTGCTTTCAGTCGGATAACTCGGAGTTTCGGTTTTCCCGGTAACAATCGGCGAAGTTCTTGAAGACGCGAAAATGGTAGATGGTGTAGAAAACAGCGCTTTAGCGGTGCTCGATGGGCTCGAGGATTCCACCTTCGCGGGAACCTTGGAAGTTGTAGTTGAAGATGGTGATGTTGCAGCCGATAGTAGAGAGGATGATAGCAGAGAAGAGGAGCCGAAGGCCAGCGGATTCGCGGGAATGCTCACTGGAAATCGGTGGAGTTTTTTTGATGGATATTCGGAGATTTCGATTGGTTACTTACGGCAAGGGGAGAAGGGCCCCCTGTCTCGACACGGGCCTTCCAATGTGGGCGGGCAATCCTGCCACCAGCAAAACATTTCTCCGTCGAGGCACAGGCAGAATTCGCAGGGGTCTTTGCGATATATCTAAAAAAAAATTGTGGAATTTTAAAGCGCATCTTTACTCATTTTGACATAAAAAATTATAGAGCTGTATTTAAGATTTAATGCTTAGAATACATTTCTTCAAATATCTACAGCTTTCACTGCTTCTCCTCCATTTAATCCTGTTGTAACCGTTGCAAAAATATCAGTAACAATTCTAATTTAAACTTGTTTTATGCCGATTGGTATAAAGCCTTTTCTTGTAGGTTATACAGTTATATACAAGTCAGAGGTGTACCATTCTTCGACTTATCGAAGGAACTTGTTCTTAAGGACCAATTTTATAGAAATAGCGATGTCTGTTTAACTATCAACTCACCTTTTTCCTACTTTCCACGAGCATACGACACATGATACTTTAACACCGATATTTGTATTCGAATGGGCTCCTTCCTCAACTTTTTACAGGCTGCTCTGTAAGCACAACGCATTGCGAAAATTCCCTCTACTTGACGAGACTAATTCGATTCAACGACTCGACGGCGTAGCGAGCGAAATGAACATTTCGCAATTGCTGGTATTCCCCCGATCGAATATTTACCCGAGTTAAGATAGCTCAAAATCCCGCTTCGACTTCCTCGCACCGCCGCCACCGGGCAATATGAGGCAATAATCGTTTACCGCCACCTTAAATCCCGCCGTTACGTTTTCCAGAAAATAATATCGGGCGCTTAAGCGGCGAAACGAAACATCAAGCCTTTATTCAACGTTTTATTTCCGGCGAATTAGTAATTTTCTACGAGTCTTTCGGGATGTATGTAGGGTAATGCTTGAGGGAGTGTTTATTTATAGTTTTTGCTTCAATATTCACTCTACTCTACTGTGAATTAGTAACATTTTCCGTATTGTTTACAAAATGCTTGACAGAATTGACATTACGTGACATTTCTTATGACAGAAGTTTAATAGAGGTGGGAATAGATCTTTCGGTATAGAGGTGCAGTAACGACTGTTACAAAATAACCGTTATTTTTCACTTTTTACCGAAAATTGTGCGTGGGGTGAGTTTTATTTAGGGCAATGGAAGAAGGGCGGCGGTTTGTCGGTGGCGTTGTAAGCGATGATAATCGTAAATAACTGGAAGTTGAAAAACTTCAAAAAGCGGTCTCGCGCCGCGTTGAATATTCATAGACAAACTGTTTTGTCATCGGATTACCGGGGCGGTATTAAGGGCGCGATTAAGAAGAAGGGCCTATTATTTTCTGGCGACGTGAAAATGCCTAACGACAAATTACCGGGCGTCTCGTTTCCATAATAAGCCGAAAATTTTAGCAGGTTGCGGCAGACATTTATCGATAAGTCGCATTAAAGCCTTCGGATTTCCATAGGTACGCTCGAAATTAATCCGCGAATCGAGGAAAAATCAACAGGAAATGGCGAAAATATGATAATTTTCGGGTTTAATCGTAAACAAATTCATGCAAATTTCATAAAAAAATTAACAAAAAAATAACATTCTTAATGGTACATTGTACTGTTATTAACTGTAGCAACAAATCCTTCTTTCTTGCTTTCCAAAGAAGTTTCTTCACTCGGAACAAAACTAATAGTAGTACTCTTAGGAATATTTTTTGTTCGGGAATCTGTGGAACCGGCCCTGCGCTTTTCTCGCTCCATTTTCGCCGGGCACCGGAATCTATCACTGCGGGATTAATACCGACAAAGCGGTCACTTTCCTCGAATAATGGAAACATAAACTGCTTCACGGCTTTAATTAAGCCCCTCCTGATGAATTCAGTAGCTTGCCGACGTTCGACTGCTGGCAGATTACTCAAGTCTGGCGCTTTCCAGTTTCCAGAGGCCAACATATGCGTCTTGTTAACGATTCAAAGGGGATTTGGAGATCCGATCGAAGTGTGGAGGAATTTCGTTTAATTAATTTTAGAGTTTCTTCAATCGGTTCGAAGTTGTTGTCACACGAAAATTATCCATTAGTCTCGGTTTATTCCGTCTAAAGTTTATAAAATGCTACATAGGGAGTCCTGTATAAAAATGTCAAAAGCAAGCCCATTTTTTACCAAATAATAACGTTCATAAAAAATAATGACAGATTTGAAAAGATTGTCAAAAAATAAGTCGAAATGGATATTAAATTTTCTTAAATTTGTTCTTAAATATAAAATGTATAATTAAGTTGAAAAATGTTATACATCATAAATAAGTTCTTTTTATATCACTATTTAATAATTGCAAACAGTGGCGAAGCTAGCAGAGAGTGTTAACGCTCTGCAATTTTAAAAATTACAAGGGAGGGATTCAGGTTCAATCCCCAGCAGTGCAGAAATTTATGTCTTTTTTTTTTGGTGTTTTTTTCTAATGTTTTTGTCTAAAAAATTTTAAATCGGAATATTTAAAATAATACAAGCTTATTTGGTATATAACTTTATTTTTAATGAATTTTGTTTAATTAATTTTAAAGTTTCTTCAATCGGTTCGAAGTTGTCACACGAAAATTATCCATTAGTCTCGGTCGATTCCTCCGTTTATTCCATCTAAAGTTTATACCGACAATGAGCCCGATATCGTTAAGTTTGTATGAGTTATAATAGGCTGGAGAGTTTGAGAAATTGGCCGGTCGTTTTTCTCGATGTCAACGTTTGTTACCACGACTTTAATTAGCAATTGTATTCCTCGAATCCAATTAAATTCTCACTCTACGAGGAGAAAAAAGAAACTGCTGCAACGATTAACAACTCTGCAGAATACTGTTTGGAATTGTTTCTGCTCGCTGATGCTAGTCAAGAAATACACACACTCTTAATTTAAATTACCGTGCAATCCGGCTCGCGTACCGTGAAGCACCCACACACATGTGCAACCTCCTTTCAATTAGAATTACTGCTGTTCAACCCTTCGGAATTTCCTCGCGCCTTCTAATTAGTTAATTCCGTTTCTCTCGGCACATTCGATGTACCTGCAGCTTCCGCTGACGTATTGTTATTAGAGATGCGAGTCTTCTTTACGCTGTATTAATTCGTTTCAAAATGTACCTCGATTACATTTCCACGAGAAATTCGTTCGATAATATATTCACGTCACAACTGACGTTTAATGACGTTTCGTATGACAGAAGTTTAATAGAGGTGGGAGTCGATTTGTTGGTGTAGAGGTGCAGGAACGACTGTTACAAAATAACCGTTATTTTTTCACATATCGTTGTTTTCGGCCTTTTTGGATCACGCGCAGGCCGAAATGAAGTCGAAAAGCGCAGTGATTTATACCGCGCCATCAGTTTATTTAATTATCCGTGAAACAGTCCCGTTTTTTTTCTCCTCGGGTCTTCATATGCACCTACACAAAAGATTGATTGATCGGCCGGGACGATCGAAAAATCGATTAATCACTCGCCGGGCACTTCGCCGACTAATTACTCGCGAGAATTTTCGGGGCGGGTCCGAAAAGGGCCCGAAAAAAGAATAATTAAAGTCTGGAAATAAACGCGGAAATTCGCGGAAACGCCGATGATTTGTCGAGTCGCCGACGATGCCGGAGTAATTTGTTTAAAACTCCACCGGAGAATGACGTGACCTGTTCAAACAGCGCGAAGCACAAACAATACAAAATGAAGGAGAGACAGCGGGTGAGCAATGGGGTTATTAGAACGGGCGATTCCTTCTGCAAACAATATACCCTCTATGTAGGCTCTAATTTGCTAAATTTTCTGTTGATTGGGTTCATCAACTCCATGTTTCTTTCATCAGTAAATTTTTTGAATTATAGTATTGTAACATAGGGAGTCCTGTACAAAAGTATCAAAAGCAAGCCAATTTTTTTACCAAATAACGTTCATAAAAAATAATGACAGGTTTGAAAAGATTGTCAAAAAATAAGTCGAAATGGACATTAAATTTTCTTAAATTCGTTCTGGTTTAATTATAAAATGTATAATTAAGTTGAAATATGTCATACGTCATAAATAAGTTCTTTTTATATCACTATTTAATATTTGTAAAAATTGGCGGAGCTAGCAGAGATGGTTAACGCTCTGCAATTTTAAAAATTAAGAGGGATGGAGTCAGGTTCAATCCCCCGCAGTGCAGAAATTTTTTTTTGGTTTTTTTCTAATGTTTTTGTCTAAAAAAAAGTTTAATCGGAATATTTAAAATAAGACAAGCTTATTTGGCATATAAATTTATTTTTATTTAAATAAAAGCTCCGACAATTAATTGTCAATTTTAATAACGCAAAATCTCGTTATTAAGTAGAACCTTTAAATTAATGTCATATTTTTATTCTTGTCTTCTTAATCATTAAATAAGGTTGTTTATAGCAAACGATACAATTACAACCCCTCGACGAAGACGCATTTAACCCCTAAAACTCGCCGGTTAGCGAGAACAAGAATCGAAACGAATCAAGTGTAAACAAATTCGTAGAGAGGGAAGTGACGCCTTTCGCCCTAATAAGACCTAATTGCCTCACCCATGTCAGGACCTTCGACCGTTTTTAGTTCAACAAACACCCCGACCCTACTCCAACTTATTCGGGGGTGTCTCTCTAATTTGTTGGCTACCGAGCAGTGCTATATTAGAGCAGCAGAAACTCGACACGGCTGCTCGAATGAATGAAGATGTTCAAAGTTTCCCATTTAGTTCGCTGTTGTTTTGCGGTCTCTATATACGTCTTTTTTTTGTACTAACGAGACGAACGAATTTACTAGCATATACTGATACACTTGCGGGATTACGTATCTATTTTGTTCTAAAAGTCTTTTGAATTGAGTGGAGTAATCACTAGAACGATGTGTGAAAAAATAACAGTTATTTTGTAACAGTCGTTATTGCATCTCTATGCTAAACAATCAATTCCCACCTCTATTAAACTTGTGTCATACGAAACGTCATTAATGTCACTTTTTCGCGTACAATGAGAAAGAACAATGTTTGGTGCGGAATTTGGTATAAAATGCTGTTACTGGTGGGTCTTAAATTTGGAATTCAGTGAATATAGTGAATTTTTCATACTAATTCTAATACGAAACATTTCACGGTTGAATGGAAATTGCGATATTAAAAAGAATCCACTCGAGAATAACGTTTCAAATTACTTCTTTATTCACCCACGCATTCTTTCCGCTCTTTTCGCTCAACGCGAAACGGCCCTTTATCATTTTCATTTGAACCTTTTTTCAACGATTCCGTATCTGGATTTTACGTCCTCCGGATTTATACTTGTGTTTTATTTTATTAGTCCGTCGCTGCAGAAACTGACATAAATTATATTAATTTTTTCCGGGCGATCGTAAAATCGCTTTTTAAGTGGGAGAATAAAATTAAGCGCAGATGGCTGTATAAATCGAAATACCCGGTGTTTCGTTCGAACAACAACCTTTTGAATCCCGCCATTTTTACGAGCAAATTGCGATTGTAAAAAATTTATCTCGGCGTCGTGCAGTTTTTTTTAATCCGAATTTGCATTATTTCTCGCCAATTAAACCTCGTTTTTTATTAAGCAACGACAACAATACCATTTTTCTCGGCTCGTTCTTCCCTGGTGGCGAAATTATTAATGAAGTTTCGGGAAAGTTCTTCCAAGTTATACGCAAGTTTTCTAATTAGTTGATATCTCTGCCGGCGACATATGTGTTTGTTAGTACTCCTAAATAAACCCAGCCTTATAGAAAGGAGACTCAGACTCGGAAAAGCTTATACAATTTATCCCAGCGAGGATTTGATGAAGATTATAAAACAAGCGCGACAAATGAAACATTCACACGGTATTTAATATTAACTTGCACAAAAGTTTATTACAATCGCGTCGAATGAAATTAGTTTTTAACCGGCCTAAAATATAACAATTTCGCTCATTAGAATTCCAATAGAAATTCTTCCAAACTTCGCAATTATTCCCCAGCTCTTCGAGCCTCGTGGAAGGAACAAAACTGAAAGAATAAAAAAAAATATCGCTGAAAAAAAATAACTCGGGGTAGAATATCGCCGTCGGCAGTTGTCCCTAGTTGGGAGAAACTCATTACTGTAATTAGAGAGTGCGGAATTACGAGCGGAGAGCAATTGTTCAAGTTACTATTCGCGGTAGAAAAATTTGTTTTGTCGTTGGAAATGCTAAAAAGTCGTCATTAATTCATCTCCCGTATATTGACGAACACACGCGAGTATTTCAATCCCTCTATAGAAAGTTCGTTTACCTGCAGAATTAATGTGTTATTAAATATATGCAAGTTTGGTAACTAAATTTGGAACATGCAGAATGCCAATTGTCGAAAAATAAAGTTATTGTATCGGTGTTATTTTTGCCGTGGAGAAAAAGGGGAGGAATAAAATTGCTGAAATGGAGAATCAAATCGACGTTTTGAAGACGATATTTATAAAAGCGTGGAGTTAGCGAACATTTGTCAGAGGCAAGAGAGCGAAAACGAACGATAACGGATATAGATAGATTACATGGAACTGCCCAGCTAAGCACTTCGGATTACTTCTTCCACTCGGATGGAGAATTGTGTGTATATGTACACTCTCCCATACAGTTAAGATAAATAGGACTGAAATAAGTGTGTAGACAATATTTTTTTTTCCAATGAATCCAATGATCCAATGAATAAAAGTTATTTTTCTTACTATAATAAAAGATTTATGTAATGCGATAACATCGAATTGTTTGTTAACGATTCTACACCACAATGTAATTCTGGGCCTGCATTCAGTGTTGAATACAGTCAAACGTTGACATATTTGACAGTTGACGTTTTCTTTAGTTCTGAAAATGATGAGTTGTTCTATGTTCGTTCGTGTTATTGGAAATGTACTCTTTTGTACTTAAAATAAAAGTTTAAGATAAAAAGGTCTCAACAATGTGTTTATCTCGACAATAATATAATAAATTTCGCATTTAATTTTTCGAAACAGATATTTAATTAAGTATTCGATTTCTGACAACCAATTAAACCGAATTGTTTGAAAATACCCAGTATTCGAACGATAGAATCAAGCTAGTGAATCGAATCCTGGCGGTTTAAACGCCCGCCAAATTCGCCCGATTGTGCGACTGGAAATTTACATTTCGTAGATGGCAGGAAAAGGGGAGAAACGTTGTTTACCTGTTGCCCGTGAGTGTATTCGATCCCGGCGACAAGGCATGTCGCAGCCGAACTTAATCGCTCTAATCCGCGCGTCGTCAAATCGTCCTCGAGAACCATCGATTCGTCCTCGTCCTCTTCCTCGTCCTCCTCCTCTTCGACGCCGTTCGTCGGCTCGTCCTCGGGCGCGCCGTTCGTCAGAGGAACTGCAACCAAACAATAAACCGTGCTAAAATAACAGTTATTTCGTAACAGTCGTTACTGCATCTCTATACCGAACAATCCGTTCCCACCTCTATTAAACTTTTGTCGCGAAATGTCATTAATGTCAAAATTGACAATCGGACGCATAGAACGCATGTTAAAGTCTATCCACGATTTCCCTGAAACCAATACTGTCTGTAAAACAAAGAGATAAACTCGAGTACAAGTTCCGAGGGTGCATTTCGCACAGTATTTTGGAGAGGAGCCAAGTATTCTTCAACCACAATATGCGCTTCTTCTTAACTGCGGCAGTTCGTCATTCGTTCTTTGGCGTTTCCCTAATGTCAATGCCAGTAGAAGGCCACCCGAGACGCTTAACAAGGCGCCCAGATGGTGCAGTTTTTCCCTTTCGCTGTATTATCATCGACGATGAAATTACGAAATTTCGGAGCAACTTCGTTAATAAACTCGAAAAAAACAAACCGAGAGGAAATCCAATCAAAGTTGCACGGGGTGTAACAGAAGGAAAAATATTGTATGGACGGGATTTAAATTCGATTTTTCGTTTAGCACCTTTCTCGGCTGGAAATTGGCGTTAATAGAAAATCGTTGTCGAATGTCAACCGATTTCGCGATCAATGCCAAGTATTTATTTTATTGGCGAAAATGCCGCGGAAGAGATTTTCCAACCGGCCGTGCAATAAGGCCGGATGGCGGAGGAATTTAACCGCCCGTCCCACCCCCGTTCCCGCCTCCCTTACACACAGAATGCAGCATTGTTTGTGTGTGATAGGAGAGTATGCGAGGAACGCAACGGCCTCCTCTAATCAGGACATTCTTACCTATTTTGGGAGTTCATTTTTTTTCCTATATGGTCCAGTTATAGCGCGAAAATCAGTAAGGTACCCCAGTCTACCTTCGGTGACAGATACTGACTAGTTAAAATGGGTTAAAATGGCTTTATTTTTTGCATAAAAAATTATAAAAAATATCTTTGTTTATAAGGTAGACTGGGGCAAATGTAAAAATGGGGTAAATGTAATATTTTTACCTATTATGTTAATGTTTTTTTATTATTTTTATAGTTCTTTTGTGCATTAGACAAGGTTTGTTTCTTATTTTTTCTTTATTATTTTGTAGCTCTGTTATTTTTTGAAATAAATAAATAAACAGCATATCAAATTTTAGAGGAACCGAATATGTATTTATAATTGCCCCATATGTTTTTCTATATAATTGTATTGTCTCTTTAGAAACGTTTCCTAACATATTGTCAACATTTTAAAAAATATGTAAAATCGTTTTCTTCCTTTTTCAAAAAAACTTTTTAATACCTCGATTCTTTAGTTTAGGAAGTTGTGAATTTAATGTGGTATCAGCATTTCTAATAAGAGAAAAAAATAAAGCCACATTTTAGGATTTAATTTGAACTATTCAAATTTTACAACCCCAGTCTACCTTACATAAAATTTTATGAAATTAACTGTTTCATCTGGATTATTAACAAAATTATTGATACTATGCTAATTAAACGTCAGCTACCAATCAATTGGTATAAAATTGAGTTTGCACTAAAACCAAAATCTCATATGTCAAAATATTGTATTAATAAAGATCATTTTATTTTCGTATTGTTCGGTTTTCCATTAGTATATTTAATCCTTTCAACGTATTTGCAATTTTCATTTCCATGATTTAAATATACACAAACACAAAAACTCCACTGGACTTTATCGTTTGCTAGTTAAAAACTCTCCAAATAGGCGCCCGTGTGGGTTATTTTTCCGCATCGATAACCTTCAGGTTATACCATATGCAATTAACATATGAAACAGGCCAGGTTGTCATTACTTGCGGAGTAAATATCTCCAATATTTGAAAGTCGAAATGGATTAGAGTTGCTTTTAATCAAGATTCTCTGTGTAAACAGAAATTATAGTTTGTAGTTTTGAGTGTGTTGGTAATCTGCTCATCGCGGAAGTTTTTCAGAGCGTGCAAAATCGGACAAGTGGAGATATTAAAATTCTTCGATGGAGTTTAAGACGATAAATCCCGCCCGAAAGTAGTTTCAGTAGAAGTTTCAATTTCCAATTTCGCGATACTTTAATTGAAAAAATTTTATACAGCAACTTATAGATAAGTTCAACAAACATCCAGGCGCATTTGGAGCCGCTCTAAGTACGACATCGATTAGAGCAATTCGCTCGTTTTCGCCATTGATATAAATTAAATGCTCGAGCTTCCGGCCAGGCTGTTTAATTTTTCCCTTTGGCCTGTCGGCGAGTAATTTAAATTTCGCATCGGATAGAGCATAAATCTTCGAGTACAGCCTGTTACACGAGCATAAACACCCATATGGGTCGAAAACAGTCCCGTCCCCGCGATGATTTAGAGCCTGATGCAAGTTCCTGCGAATTTCGCTCTATCTCAGAATCTCAGATCAGGTCGAATCTCGCCGGTTTCATCGGAGATTAATTTTTATTAGTTGTGTAATAGCTGGGTTAATTGCGATGAAACGTTTTAGGTTTTTTGCGGGCTTCAATTGGATTTTTTCCCGACAATACGAATTGATTAAAAAACCATCAATATGTCGCGTTATTCGTTTAGGAGCTTTCAAATCCATTTCCTGAATATGGCGTATTGATTTTTAATAATTGGAAAGTTGTAGAAGTATTCGGTTTGCTATTGAATTATATTGTTTATTGGTAACTTCCTGGTAAAAAAGTAAAATTACATTTATAAATGAACATTTTTTTCCTCTATAAAATACCTCATGTAGTAAATCTTGTAGCAGAGGCAAAGACAACGTTTTATTCCTGAATTTCGATTGGTTTTGAAATAATGGCTCCCTCTATAAAACGGGATCGTTCGAAGCCCGGTAACTGCAACTTATGAATAACGAAATTATGCAATTTCGCAGTGCTCCTTTTTACATATTGCGAATCTAATCGTTCAAATTCTCCGCTCGGGATATACCGAACGGTATTTGAATTTAAAGCACACGCCATCTTCTGTATTATGTCGATGTGTTATAGAGCCTTTTTTTCACCTCTTTCGAGCGAAATATTCGATGCACTTGCAATCGCTATTACCGGTTATTTGCAATCTTTCATTCGCTTTCTAAAACTTCGAGATCGTGGGAATTTCAAAAGGAGATTTATAACATTCTTTTCCCCACAATTCTGGTTACATTTTCAACCATCTTCCGTGCTACTCGTCAGGATTATTATTGCGCTCATTAGAAAATAAAATAGTTGCCGTGCGAGCATCAGGACCAACAAGGACGCGGAATGTCCTGGCACATTTAATTTCGTTTAATTTAATTTCTACATGCGGCTTAAATTCCTTTCTGCCTTAAATTCCCTAACGCAACGTACTAATTATTATTCAGTACGTTGTGTTAATTGCGAATATTTTTTGTCGAGCTTAAGTTTCAGTTTTTTTCGCTGTGTGCGAATAAGTGGGACTTTTTAAGATGCGTTCGATGATACGTTTTTGTCTAAATTGACGTTTCGTATGACAGAAGTTTAATAGAGGTGGTGGATTTTTTGTATAGAGGTGCGGTAACGACTGTTACAAAATAAGCGTTATTTTTTCATACATCAGATACTCATTATTTATTCGTTAACTTTTGTCGCGCTGGTTCAAACGATCAATAATATAATAATTAATGATACTCGGTTTAAGTTTGGTCATTAATTAGGGTAGATTGACAAGGATTCGTGGATGCAACAATCGGATTTATTCATTGTTTATTTCCTTATTTTCGAAGCTTTCGCGACCGGTAACGTCGTCATTTTTATCTCGAGAGTAAAAAGTTTATACATTTCTATTGTATTTGACTTTTGCTCAAAAACAGACGCGCTTTTAGCGGAGATGAAATACGTTCGGGGGAGAGAAGTTAACGTCCCGTCTGCAGGAAAACAAACAGCGAAATCAATCGATAGGATATACATTTATTGTCGGTATCATCGAAAGCGGAACAATCAGCCAGATTTCGGATCCTTCGCTCGCTCGCTCTTCGATTTATCTCCGAATTCTAATTTCTGAATTATTCATCAGACATAACACAATCGGAGGGATGAAAGAAAAAAGTTTTTTTTGTCGCGAAAGTGTCAATTCGGAAAGTGTCATTCGCTTTAAAATCAAAATCGAATGAATCCAAATTGCCGCTTTTTACTGAAGAATTAACATTTTCTCGACGTCACCACGCCATTAGGATTACAATAGTCCCGGCAATCGAATAACAAAATTTATCAATTCACACCTAATCTCTCCCACATCCAACATAATACAGCGATAATCGCGCCGTTTTGAAGCGAACGAAGGAAAATAAATTATCCACTTGCCGGGCCGTTTTACCTCCAGCGAAGCCTTCCTGAATAATTCATCACCGGTGATGAAGAAGAAGAAGATGAAGAAAAAGAAGAAGAAGAAGTGGTCCGGAAAGCCGGTGCGTCGCCCGCAGCCATAATCGCGGCACTCCATGAAATCCGGCTTATTTGAAGTCGAAGAGATATTAGATACTAGATGTACTATATGTACTATATTTGTTAAAGGTGCAGGACTGTCTCGATCCGTTCTCGTTTCTGCCGAGGTGATCACCCCCCTTTAAAGGAAAGACAGAGGAGTTACCGCGACACGGTTGCCTTACATCACACAAAGGATTCCCCGAGCGGTGTGTGCTTGTCGTTGAGATTACTCTCTGTATTCTGTGTGTGTGTGTGTGTTTACGGTTCTGCTATAGGCAGAATCGGGTTAATAATGGCTTACTGGCGGTTATACCACCGAAGGGTTGTTTTTTCTAAATATTAGCGGATAAATTAATAGCGAAAATGTTGAACAAACAGTCTATAGTTGCAACGTGTGTCCTACTCAAAGACCTTACAACTAAGTGACTATGTTTTTATAAATGATTCTATGATAAATCGCATATACATGTTGCTCCATTTTTGATTGCAATGTAGGTTATATAGGCCATGGGTGCGATAAAGACAACTTC